AGGTAGACTGCCAGCTCGCTCGAAGAAGTTCTGACATGCCCATCAGCCTGTTATAAGCCTAATAAGCTTTGTCACTTGAGAAGCTTGGAACAGTTGTATCATATATATCATATATCCCATGATTCTATCCCCTCATTCCCATTATATCGACATCATGTTGGTTAAATGCCACATTTCGTGACATTCCGGACTTCAGAGCGCCAGGTCCGTAAGTGGACACTGCAAAAACACCCAAGCTTGTGTAGCTGACCAAACAATCGAAAGCAATCGAAAGCAGCTACAGCATTCTTCCAAGTCAATGTAGGCTGCATCATAGGCCCGGCATCGCAGTGCAATTACTGTCGACATGCTGCCCCGCTCGCTTGCTGTCTCATCCGAAGGATGCCGCTCCCCAAAGACATACCTGGACATCAAACTGCACAATCTACAAACTTCAGAATTGTAGCAAGCTTCGTGCATCATGCTGGCCACCTCTCCCACAGTGCTAACTGGAATCTTGTGGCTGCTGTTCGGCTGAAAAGAGCCATGGTTCCCAAGAATCGGTTGTAAACAGCCCCTCTAGATCCTCCTTGCAATTTCCTCTACAAAATCGCAACAGTTAAGCGCTTGGGAACATGGTGATCATGGTGCGTTTTGAGGCCCTCCTTTGTTTAGGGGTACCTACCCAGTGTCAACGTTTGCAATTTTATAGAGGACCTTGGTGTCAGCGATTTTCTAGACATTTCATGTTGAAAACAGGTTGACACTGAAAACTTGGAACAAGAGCAACTGAAGTATTTAGGTTTATCACTATAAAATTGCTGACACCAACACTTTCACTTAATTCACAAGGGGATTCTATCACAATGGTTCCATGGTTCCGTCCTAATATTTCCTACCCTAACGATAAATAATATAATATGTCAAGCGTACTGCTAGATTTCGCGCCCCCTTCTCAGAAAATGTCCTTTTTTTGCTTGTAGGCCCAGAAAATCTAAGAAATTTAAAGTCACCTTCCTGCAAGGTGTGTGTTGCAATACCATTGACGGAAAACGAGATTCAGACTGATGCCATGTTGGAGCTTGCATGGTCTTCTCAGCCTGCCACCAGCCACAGCCGCAGCCACAGGGAGAAGAAGTGAAGTTACTAATTACATCTAATTACCTTTGAAATAATTTGATAACCGGGTTCGTGCTGGCAGGATTTTTTTCCTGACCCTGTGCCCGAAAAAATTATCCCTCTAGGAAATTTGTGGCCTTATTGGGGGCATTTAATGTCAGGCAGAAGAGATGATGAATACTGACATAGACCATTGGAAGACCACGCTACCCTATGGTGGGGATTTCACCACGTTTAAGGCTTTAAGGCTTAATCTGTTAATCTCAACCACCAACAACCCACCCAAAAAAAAAGTTTTGGGCGAATCCCCACGAATTCACCAAGCATTTCACCGCAAATTCACCGTACTCCACCAGGGAAAACCAGGACCAGGACCCCAAAAACCCAAGCTTGTGTAGCTGACCAAACAATCGAAAGCAGCTACAGCACTCTTCCAAGTCAATGTAGGCTGCATCATAGGCCCGGCATAGGCCCGGAATGTATCTGGCCTGGGCCTTCAGGGTCACGTTGAGTGCATCGGAAAGATCCGACCAGCGACGAAGACGGGCAAGACGGGCAAGTTTTTATGCCACAATCTCCCTGCCGCCGTGTACATCACCTTAAGGTTTTGCCGCTTTGCCACCGAAGGACGTGCATTCCGGACTTCAGAGCGCCAGGTCCGTAAGTGGACACTGCAAAAACACCCAAGCTTGTGTAGCTGACCAAACAATCGAAAGCAGCTACAGCACTCTTCCAAGTCAATGTAGGCTGCATCATAGGCCCGGCATAGGCCCGGAATGTATCTGGCCTGGGCCTTCAGGGTCACGTTGAGTGCATCGGAAAGATCCGACCAGCGACGAAGACGGGCAAGACGGGCAAGTTTTTATGCCACAATCTCCCTGCCGCCGTGTACATCACCTTAAGGTTTTGCCGCTTTGCCACCGAAGGACGTGCATTCCGGACTTCAGAGCGCCAGGTCCGTAAGTGGACACTGCAAAAACACCCAAGCTTGTGTAGCTGACCAAACAATCGAAAGCAGCTACAGCACTCTTCCAAGTCAATGTAGGCTGCATCATAGGCCCGGCATCGCAGTGCAATCACTGTCGACATGCTGCCCCGCTCGCTTGCTGTCTCATCCGAAGGATGCCGCTCCCCAAAGACATACCTGGACATCAAACTGCACAATCTACAAACTTCAGAATTGTAGCAAGCTTCGTGCATCATGCAGGCCACCTCTCCCACAGTGCTAACTGGAATCTTGTGGCTGCTGTTCGGCTGAAAAGAGCCATGGTTCCCAAGAATCGGTTGTAAACAGACCCTCTAGATCCTCCTTGCAATTTCCTCTACAAAATCGCAACAGTTAAGCGCTTGGGAACATGGTGATCATGGTGTGTTTTGAGGCCCTCCTTTGTTTAGGGGTACCTACCCAGTGTCAACGTTTGCAATTTTATAGAGGACCTTGGTGTCAGCGATTTTCTAGACATTTCATGTTGAAAACAGGTTGACACTGAAAACTTGGAACAAGAGCAACTGAAGTATTTAGGTTTATCACTATAAAATTGCTGACACCAACACTTTCACTTAATTCACAAGGGGATTCTATCACAATGGTTCCATGGTTCCGTCCTAATATTTCCTACCCTAACGATAAATAATATAATATGTCAAGCGTACTGCTAGATTTCGCGCCCCCTTCTCAGAAAATGTCCTTTTTTGATTGTAGGCCCAGAAAATCTAAGAAATTTAAAGTCACCTTCCTGCAAGGTGTGTGTTGCAATACCATTGACGGAAACCGAGATTCAGACTGATGCCATGTTGGAGCTTGCATGGTCTTCTCAGCCTGCCACCAGCCACGGCCACAGCAGCCACAGGGAGAAGAAGTGAAGTTACTAATTACATCTAATCACCTTTGAAATAATTTGATAACCGGGTTCGTGCTGGCAGGATTTTTTTCCTGACCCTGTGCCTGAAAAAATTATCCCTCTAGGAAATTTATTCAGCCCCAACTTTGGTATTTTCAAAGTTCAGGGGGGTTGTCCCATGAAAAATATTCAGCGACACTGGGGTTGCAACCAAAGAAAAGAGTGGAGTTTCTTGGAGCGGAGTTTGTTGGAGACTTGCAAGGGATAAACAGGACCTTGGCCACTGGAACTTTATCCAGAGATGTTTGCCCCCGGGCCCCCATGGTCCCAAAATTGATTCTGGATATTTTTTGTGTACCATGTACGCCTGGGGGTTGTGCCCTTTTTTGGGAATGGAAATTTATTCCGAAAAAAGCTTGGCCCCAAGAAATGCGGGATAAATTTGGGTACAACACCCCGTAGGCACCACACACGGGGATATTTGATACCACATCAGTTTTGAATTCTCTACAGTAATGCCAAAGCGGCTTTCTTTGTCCGTATGTGTTCGTGTTCAATGAGAGGCTATCACCCACAAGATTTGCGAGTGTGTGTCTATGGAGAAATCCTCAGCGCAGACACATCCATTCTGAACTTTGAAGTTTTGTTTCGTTTCGATTGAAGATATTGAAGTCGAACGATGTCGAACGATGTCGAGTGGTGTCGAACGATGTCGAACGCTCTTCGTCTACTGTAGAAACATGTTCCCAAAATTTGACGCTCGACCGCTTGATGCCTGTCGCCTGACTGAAGTCGCATACCGCAATGACGCATGACGCACAGAATGATGTGGAGAGACATCACTGGTTGCTCGGTTTCTCGTATCGTTTTCGGAGTAGTGGGTTGATTGCTTGCAATCACCAAGAATGATGTTCAAGAGAATTGAAAGCTGGCTTCCAGCGCATGCAGAAGATATGCCCTGGACGCGCGCGGCTGAATCAGGGGTATTTGTTCAGGTCCGGATTTGAGGAACTTGCACAATGTTCATGTCGTTGCTATGATGTGGAACTTGCACAAATTTGAAGCAAGTTCCTCACCAATTGTGCTGCAAGCAGAAGAGCTGTAAGAGAAAGGCAGCTGTGAATATATGTGTCCGACATGTCCCAAGTTTTGCAAGCTATTTTGCCGATTTCCATGCCATGTTTTTTGAAACTTCCATGTTGCCAGCCCAGAAATGTTAAATAATTTGCCGCAGTTGTCACCTACCAAAACTACAAAGTCCATTACTCATCAAAGCAGCCGGTTTGCTGCCAGCATGCCGCCCCAAAACCAGCCACCGTTGCATCGCAAGTGGGGTGTAAGCAGACAAGTGTGACAACTGTCTGACAACCTGTGATACCTCATGATTGAACGGATCACAGACAGACTTGAAGGTATCAAAGAATCAAATTAGGCAGACAGATGCATAATAATGCAGATAAGTTGTGCTGGGAGGTTCTTTGGCCAAGATTCAGCAGTTACGATACTTCAAATATTCCAGCAAAAAGCGGCTTAATTAGTGGTTTAAACCCATCCCGAACCAATAGTGGTCATGCATCATCTCAGTCAAACTGGGAAAAGTATGACAAAAAGATACAAAAAGTATGACGAAAAGTTGCACATATTTGAAGCCAGCATCCAGAGGGCAGGTGAGAAAAAATGACGAAAAGCGTGAGTTCTTAAAGTCTTCAAACGTTGAAATTCTTCGATGTCAAAAGAGATCAATGGAGATCAATCGAGACATGAATTCGCAAGAAATTGGCCATAAGTTCCCAGTCGTTTGAGAACGGTGAAGTTTGGCCATAAGTTCTGAAAAAGTTGCCTCTATCATCCTCTACCTCTGCCCCGGGCCACGGGGCCTCGGTTTCCACCGACACTTGGCTGCCTTGGCTTCACTGCTCCGAGAAAAAGAAGCGCCGAAGCCGAAACGACACCGCCGAAACTGAGTGAAACGACAGTGAAACGATAAATTCATCGAATTGTTTGTGAATTCAACTTCCCAGACTTCCGAATTGTGAATTTATTGTGAACGAAAACACTGAGGCTGAGCACATCAACGTCTCGGTACTTTGGGATCGCGAAGCTGACAAGGCACAGAGCTAATGTTGCAGCATGTTTCAGCAGTTCAACACACCACGCGAATCATGTCAATGAACAGATGCCAACGATGCGAATTATGTGAACGATGTTCACACGATGTTCACACGATGTTCACACGATGTTCACACGATGTTCACTTTCCAGTCTGCTGAGGATGCCAATGTGTGCTCATTCTTGAAGGCATTGGGTGCAGGCGTGGATCCTCTCTCCTTTGCCGTGGGTGTGACGGGGTTCCCAACGACCATAGTTTTACTACTTGTGTAGTCTAAGCTTTGTAGTCTATACATGTTTATAGCATAGCTATAACATACTATAACAAACTATAACATACTATAACTATGTAGTCCAGCAGCCTAGCAGCTCAGCATTTGTTAGCGAATTTCTTCACATAATAGGACGGCCGCAGAGCGTGAAAATATAATTTGGATTTCTGACATCCATGAGGCCATCACAAAAAGTTATCAAAAGACCACGGCAAAAGATGATGGACAAAAGCCTACACATGATTACACATGTATATAGTATCTTTTGAAATTTATTGTAGTATTGATAATATTGAACTGAACCTGGTTTTCATTGCAACTCTCCCGTCATTTATTGTAATATTGAAATCGTTGAATTGAAACTGGTTTTCGTTTGCTTCTTCAATGCTTCTTCTATTCGATGCATTTCTATTCCTATCCGCCTATTCTTTCTTGACATCCTATTCTTATCTTTCTTAGTCTATCCTGAAAGTTCTTGTGCTCACTGCACCAGGCTAAGGCATGCGGTCTTGAGCCTTCAACTCGGAAGAAGGCGCCCGCAACAATGCAGCTTCAGTGTTGAACTGTTAAGTCTGTGAAGCAGGTGAAGCGTCTTGGAATTTGAGTCTGAATGAAACCTTTGGATGGTGAAAGTTGAAATGTTTCAGTATTTCTCTTGGCACTGAGCTTTCAAAGTTTGCAACTGCGTCAACTATGTCGGGCTTGAAGAGATGGCCAAACACATCCAACACCACAAGTTCCGCGATGTTCGAAGTTCGCTCATCAGGTGGGGGGTTGCACATGGACCTTGGAGAAGGCCCTGTGAAGCACAGATGATGGACATTGATGAACACCAACACTCAGTGAGTCACTCAGTGAGTCAGTCCTTTTCTTTTCCCTTGTCTTTCCCCCGCTTCTCCTTCCTTCTCTTCGCAGCTCCTTTGCATTTCTTCATAACGCTTCCAACATTTCTCTAGTCACCAGCCGTTTTGGTTCTAAGTTGTCTAGAAGGAACTTGCAGCTTTTGAACCGCTGAAACCATGGCTATGGCAGAGATGGAGGATGTCCCCTTGGTGAGCGAAGAGAAGATTCCCAGCAACCGGCGACGTTTGATGATGGTAGTTGGTGCCACAACCTTTCTGATGGCAATGACTTTGTCAATTAGTCTGGGCTATGTCTACTTCCACAAACAGCACTTTCGTATCCGTGCGGGCGATCCTTTGCATACCAAAGTGGGCTTTCCCAACCAAAAGGATGTGCAAAAGCTGTTGGAGCTTCTGCAGGAGTGTCATGCCTTTCGTCAATGCGCGTGGCAAGTCGCCCTTTTTTCATCTCTTTTCATATTTTTCATCATTCCTGTTATTTCCGACACTGCACAGCATGTGTTCGCCTGTGCAGGAGACCTATCCGGATCCCCAGATTGTTTTCAAAGAGCTGAAGTCCTTGAACGTGGACAATTCGGATCCGGAAAACATCAAATTCACACCGAAAGACTGGTGCCTTAGTTGCCTTGGTAATCTTGCCATATTACTTCATGCCCTGGGAACAGGTTTCAGATACTTTCAGATCGCATTTCTCGGCAAAACCTGCTGGGGTTTCTGGAATCATACAAAGTCAGAGTCATGACATGAGTCAACATGAGGGGATACCGGTGTCCAATCTCTTGGCCAATTTCTTGTCCCTGAGGAAGCCGTCCAACGTCACACAAAAATCACAACTCCGGTCTCGAAGACTCCAAGGCCTTTGTGACGGGCTCTGTGATGTCATAAAGAACATTCAAAGATGGATTCGTATGCATTCAAGGTTACTTTGTTAATCTTTGGTAATTGCCGTGATCTTGCTGCGATTCATATGCACCGTTCCAGGTTCCATCTAGGAGGTCGTTTCATTTTTAAAACTTGAAAGATATCCGCTCGGATTTCAGCAGAATTTCAAGAATTCTCCGCCTCAGAATTCCTCCCGGACCAAATTGACACTCACATGGACTACGACTACTTTGAATCCTTGAACTTGGCTCTCTGCGTAATCGATGGCTACCAATCTGCTTTGACGATTGGACAGAGCCTCATCTGAACGTATCCGGGTTCTGCCATCCGTAAGACAAGAAAGTCTCGATCCTTGGTAAATCTTAAGTCTTCAAGCCAACAGCCTAATGCATCCACTTAAGCTTCCATGGCACCCAAACGAAGTTCACACTTCAATACCCCAACCTGCTCCACCATGCCTAAAGAGACCACTCGATTGAGATTCTGTTTTGCATGTTAGGTTCCATGTTCCATGCAGATCATTGTGCATTCAAGAGTTGTTTTGCACGTTTTGAACTGTTTTGAACGTCAGAGTTGCAGTCAGATCAGGATTGCAACGAACATCCACTCCCTGACCATCGCATGCGAGTCTCCGTATCCAAAGGATCCCCAACAGCAGGACAGGGGGCCCTAGGGCCCTAGGGATGGTACACTCAGCAGCTTTCCATGTCGCTGAGACATGCTGAGACCAGTATCAAGATCCGTAGTGATATGTAGTGATCATGATCTGAGGCACATAGTGCACATAGTGTCACAATCTGAGGCACAGCATATCAGCATATATGAGCTTATAGCAGGGAGAATCTGCTTAGTGTCGGAGGACTTCTGTGCCCAAATGGTGTCCCTGAATCTGGCGCTGTGGGGCTATCTGGCTTGCTTCATCGAGGAGAGAATTGAAGACAATGAGACCTCATATCAGTTTTTTTCCACAGTTTCATCAATGTCCGGTGCTTTCTCGAATCTAGGAATCTAGACCCTTTCTATTGCGCCGCAAATATAACACACCTTTATGATCCTTTATGCAACGAAGCTTTCTTGGCGGTGTATTTTATTTGCGGCGCAATCACTCTCCTTCGCTTCGAGGGTCTTCGACAGCAGCTTCGACAGCAGGACATGGTGTCGGCATGTGGTCCAGAGTTCAATCTCAATGCCGGATGTTCCTTGGATGTTACAGGTTTGCTCACGAAACTTGGATGCAGCTTTCAAGGCCGTCGAATCAGCTCGAATTGTCCTCTCTGCAAGATGTTGGCCGCAGCATTTGGAGCATTCCTGTGGTTTCTTAGAGACTGACAATATCTGACAATCTCGATCCGTTGGAGCAGTTTACCACAGGAATTCCTTTCTGGCAGCATCGGCTGGTGCTGGCATGAAGCAGAACTGCCTTCCTCCTGGAGGCTACAAAGGCAGGGGATAAATCGGATAAATATGTGTGGCAAATTGTGGCAATATCTTGCTGATCCCGTTCCCGTTTGTCTTGGGCCAGGTACCACACCGGCCCCTGAAGTGGAAGTTGACACAGATCCGGTGACACGGACCTTTGGTGTATCCGAATCTCGGCAAATGTGGACGCGCAGCAACACAAAAAAAGGGGTTTCCAATTCTCCCAGGGATTCGGTTAAGAGAAAGTTCCGGCAGGTGAAGAGCATTGTAAATTGTAGTTGCAGGAATTGCAGATATACAATGGTATACGGACATGCAACTTTTTGGAATTCCAGGTGCGTAAACGTGAACAAAGAAGAGTCCTTCCCTTTCTGCTCGAAACGAGGTACAAGACGACATTGAGGGTTTCCTGAAACGGCTGCGAGAGAGCCTTGGCGTGGCGCGCAGGTTTACAGATAGAGGACGCATCCAAATATGCAAATTCATAAAGCATCAAAAGACATCATGAAGCAGATCGATCCATCAAAAATTATAGCAGTCATTTTTCCTGCTCAAAGTGGAGCCAGTTCCAACAAAAGAGCAATTTCGGCATGGAGACAACTTTGCCATTTGCAGAGCGACATGCCGTGCAAGGCGACAACAGGCTGCACAAAGAGAACGCACTGAGCGCTTTAAACTTAACTCTGCCGTGGGCGCTGGCAGTCGACGCCTGGACGAAATTGCGAATCTGCCTGCGATGCCGCTGATGAAGCAGGAGCAATGCGGCGGAAGGTCAAAAACTGGAGCAAAAGTGAATAGATTGAATAGCTGAATATATTCGTGTGACATACATACTGTATCATATTATAACAAAAAATCAACCTTGTAGCATATCATATCTGATAACATTGCTGAGCTGGAGGAATTTTGGAATGGTAAGATTCAGGACCTCAGACGAGGACTTCAGGAAAAGAGAGGATAGACTGCAATTGCAATATGGCAGAAAATCAATTCCAAAAATGGTGTTGTTTCAAGCAGAGACTAGCAGAGGTGTTGGGACACGAACTAAAGGCCCATCAGATTGAGCCGGTGTCATATCATATGACAGCGGGGAATGTGAGACTGAAAATCTGTTGAACATTTGGCTTTGTGATGCTCTATGATGCTTTTAGTTTATTTGCAAGTTTTACCTGCTGTTTTTATGTAAGATCCATAAGGTAATGTCAGGTCATTGAGTCATGTCAGACCTGTGTCATTCATTTCCGAATGTCTCTGCAGGCTTTCAGATCGGGCACTTTTTTTGAGCGCTCCGCCAGGAGATGGATTCGGAAGCGGATGCCGAGTATATTCAGAAGAGAGCGCAGGAGACGATCGACAGCTTTTTGGGTGGTAAAGATATCGACATCAAGGACAAAGCAGCGGTGAAGAGACAGCTGAAGCTGACCTCCGAAGAAGTGATCCAGCTGAAGTGTCTTGGTCGACGTTTTCTCACCGTCAAATATTTAAATACTGTATATATGTTCAAAAATCAAGAAATTGGCCATGGGTTTTAGATGGTTTTAGCATGTTTTAACGTAAAACACACTCGAAGAGCAAATTCCACCCGTACAGCGATTCCCAAGTTTTATTCTGTCATTGTCACCTAGATATTTCATTCAGAGTTATTCAAAACCTATTTGAGTCTGAATCTGAGGAAGGACAGCGACGAGAAGAAGTGGAAGCGCGCTGCTTGCGGCTTGGACACTCAGAAGGCAGCTGCACGTCTGGCACAGGCGGCTGTGATGATGGCTTTCGCCGTGAAAGACTGTTCAGCCTCTTGGCAGCTTCGAACACACCAAGGCAAGAAGCATATCACGTCGGATGAAACATTGGATCAAAAATCTATGGCTGACGATTTTTACAAGTGATATATACAGTAAGATACACTCCAAAATGTATGACCACGTACCAACAGAATCTAAAAGAGATACATTTTGTGACACCCCATTTTGAGAAAAGAGATGCGTTTTGTGAATTATGCCCAGCATGGAGAACAACAGTGTTAAAAGTGGATAAGTTGGAAGTGACCCATCCACAAAATTTTGTGGTTCTACACGGTATTTTCACTTTCGTTGACAACTTGTTAACTGGACTTCCAAGAAGAGCAGAGAAGACTCGCAGACTGTCTGGAAATGCCTGTAAATTGTTGTGATACCTTGTGACTTTCTGTGAGCTTCTGTATTTTGCTGTTTGTGGTGGTACACTTTTTGGTACTTCATGGTATTTCCAAGGTGGAAAACTTCCAGGACAAGGGCCAAGCCGGCAAGAACAAATGCGCTGTGGACATCACTGCGGCAATTGCATCTGCTGGCATTGCTGCCAGTTTGATTACCATCAGTGCCTTGGCTGCCTTGGCTCGTTGCTACCATTGTGGAGAAATCCGATGATTGCAGGCTCTGTAGCACTGTAGGCTTGGTAGGGAGATGTAGGGAGTACATGGAGTACCTTTTACAGGTCAAACAGAGCTTGGTGGAGAGCCTTCAAGGCTTCATTCGTAGCACCCTACAAATCGGTTGATCTCTCAATCCGTTCCAGCATTGCGAGAAGTCTCTGTGAGAAGTCTCTGTGAGGAGTCTCTGTTTGAGTGTCTCGATGCGCAATCGAAGGCGTCATCAATTGCCCTGCGAGCCTGGAGTTCACTGAAATCATGGGCAAGCGATTCTGTGCAGCGTCCATCATTGACTTGGTAGTGGCCACGAGCTACATCGGGACTCCAACACAGACACACACCGAGACACAGAGACACGAGACACAATCTTGTACACCAGATATCATAAGATTGCTCTTGGATCACTTGGATCACAGGTATCGGAGATATTGGAGATGTATTGGAGATGTATTGGAGATGTTAGAGAACTGTCACATCTTTTGGCTTCAGAAGCTTCAGATGATTTGAGAAGCGTTTCTGCTGCGTTTCCGTTGCGTTTCCAGGACATCTATTGCCAGCATTCAGGGCACCTGTGGTACCCTGGACAATGCCTGGGAATAGCCGTAGAGCCGTGACCTGTAGGACCTGTAGTCCCAGCTTTCAGCACTGGCTGCACTTCCACGATAGCTATCCGAGAGCACTACACTGTGGACATCTGTGGCGAGTTTCTGTGGATACCTGTGGATGCTGTTTCTGTTTGTCTTGTCTTGCACTCTCTGAGTTATGCGCGGCTGGTGAGGGCACATGACAAAGACAATATGATACACAAACCAGATGCATCTGAGATAGCTCAGGACAAAAAAAACATGCAATCATCAGCCACCAGATATTTATCACATTTTATCACTGTTTATCCGAGTAAGTTGTTTTTGCCTTTCCTTACCAATCCAGGCGTTGAGAGCCAATCACTATCATACCAATTTTCTTGCTCATGAGGGGTTACATGGGGTTACTAACACATAGCACTTGCTGGCATCTCTAAGAAAGTTCTTCACCAGCTGTGTATCATTCTTTGCTGATTGAATTTGGTCTTGCTCAACGGGGCAAGTCACTGCATGCAGTATGTAGGTTTCATCCGCCAACTCCAACCAGTGACCAATGCAAAGTCCTTTCGAGTCACTGGGGGGTGAGGATTTCTAATTCATGTTTAGCTTGTCGTTTGGCGGCCATCAGTGTTTGACATGCTACGAATTACGTTTTTTCCAACGAAGTTGGTCGGTTGCTTCATCAGACTTCACCCATTGAAATTGACCTGGAAGCCAAAAGCTGATAGAAGCTGAGCTAAGCTGATGCCTCCAAATTCTCCGATTCTGAACGCATGACCAAGCTCTCTGGTTCCGCACTCCGCGAAGAGCCGAGATGCCCTCTCGAACCCGCGACCAGCCTCCTGTCCTGGAGGGGCACGGAAGGCTGGGCTGACGGTGCACGAGATATATCGAGATCCGAGAGATTCAAAAGAGATGGAGCCTTCCAGCTGATCTGCTCCGAGTCTTCCTCTGGTGTGATTTATATGGATTCATCATGATTCATCACATTAGCTGCTCCCAGGGTCAGATGTTGGGTGAGTTTTTGTTTGAAAGTGTTTGGACGGCTTTCTGCTCTACCAGTTCCGGAAGGCAGATCTGTTTCTCCATCTAATATCCATAGGTCTGTGTCTAACGCCTCGTGGCTAAGGGCAGTGCCTGGAGGTAAAAAGGCGATGCGGCAAATCCTGTCTGCACGGCTTGAGTGTTTCAGGATCAGTTGCACATTTTTCCAGTTTTTCTGGTAGGAAGACAATCTTGCACTGCGTAGCAAAGAAGACCACTGAAACCATTGTGACTTGTGTCTTCACTTGATCAGATCCACTGCGGGTGTCCTTATTCTTTTCCAAGACGTGTTTCTTTTGCAGGCGTGTCTGTGATCCTTGCGCCAGATTCAACTTGCTGCTACTGCCCAACGGTGCAATCGGAAAGATTCAGGGCACGGCACTGTGGTTTCAAACATTTCGAAGTCTCCTCAAATTTGCACTTCATCCCAAGTGACCAAATGTGGATCCCGACCTCAAAGAGCAGCATGGTCAATTTGGAATGCAGGTCAAGGTGACAGGCGAAAGGGTCACTATCTTGATTCATTGATGATGTACTTCATTGTCGTAGTGCTATCCTTTATTTTTTTCTGTGGACACACGTGTCAGACGTGAATTAGCACACGTTAGATCACGTTAGCACATGTATCTACAAAAAAAGCTGCAAAGCTGCTCTCTGGCTTCAGCCCAGGTCAAAACCTCCAAAGCCCCTCATTAATCCTCATTATATCATGTCTATTTATGTCTCTTTGGATCATTTTGGATCAACTGCAGCGAATCGGAGAATTTGGCTTCCGCTTCAGGCGCAGATCGCAGAACCCCATGGAGGAAGAATTTCATGTAGAGCGAGCAGCGGAGATGCACAAGCGAAGTGTAAGCTGCTCAAATCATCACGATGCCGTCACGATACTGACCTTTCCTATCCTTTCAAGTCACAGAATTCCACCTGGAATCAAGCCACAATTTTGCCAGGTTTGATCTATTTTGGACGAAGCTGTTTGTTTCAGGTTTGCTTTCGATACTCTTGCAGGTTTAGGAGCTCGTGGCCATTCACATGGCTGGAATCGCTGGGTTTCAAGTGGTTTCAAGGAAACCAGGACAAACAGAGCCCAGCAAGTTTGGAAAACAGCTGCTGCATTGCATTCTTTCACTTGAAGGGCAAAACCATCGATCAAACAAAGTTGGGGGACGGGGACAAAACTAGTCTCATCACGTGCTTTGCGTCGCTGCTCTACGTCATTAAAGCTCTGCTTTACATGGAAGTCAGCATGTGTAAACAGGGCTTGCTTTGCAGCTGAACCTTACAAGAAGCACACCTTTGGGTAGTCACATAGTCTCCAAAAGTGGATAAGCCACGGTAAGCCTTGACCTAGGAGTGAAGGCCCATTTTTTCCAGAGACTTTGATATTGGACCATTCAGTAAAATTCATGCAATTCATGGGACAGCTGCACTTCAAACGAAGCCAACCATGCCATGGACCCAGCGCCTGCAGCGTTGCCGGTGTGTCAAGTGCTGTTGGCAGTCGAGGCCGTAGATTTCCGACGTGATACAATATGCATTGATATGCCAAAATTAATCAAAACGCAATTGTCAATTGTGTATATGTAAAATATTGTATAACTGTATAACGTTATTACAGTATACATTGTACTATAATGTACCATTTCATATCTTTTGGACCATCGCTGGAAAAAGACCAGAACAGTACTGCGGGTTATGCCCGAATGGAAAAACTCGCAGAGTTTCACGGGGGCAAGTCCTTTTTTGAATTTGTGACATCTTTTGACCCTGAGCCTTCCAACGGGCAACCGCAAACACCTCAACAGGGCAGCTGGCACCGCAAGTCTTCCAGTTGCACAGGGTCTTGAAGGACTGTGGATGTTGAGACTGCGTAGTGACTTGCACTTGGTACAATAAATCATAATAAGTCCAAACCTTGTGAAGGATTTGGCTTAGATTACTTAGATTGCTGCGATTTGGTAGCCAGGAGCAGAGATATTGATTTCGCGCCAGCGACCAGAGAGGCTGGGACCTAAGCGATCCGATTGGGGACCTTTCGGCATCAGCCCGAAGGCCGCCTTTGGGGTAACTCCTTCGTTTTACTGCGATAGCATACACATGCAATAGTATATGATAATATATGATATATGTAGAGATCTGATAGATCTTAGAATGGCAATGTATTATACAATATGAATGACATTATATATATATTATATGATTATATTAATATATTATTATTATATATATACATACATGGACATATATCATACAGGGGAAATCAAGCTGTGTATGCCATAAGATGGCATGTGGCATGCTGTAGTTTCGAAGCTTGTTTTTCTGCGATGTGTTCCCAGGTTCGTCCATGAAGGGCTCCTGAATCAGCTTCGGCTTGCTGCTACTGCTCAACGGTGCCATTATTAGAAGATGTGGGCGGGTTGTGTGGACATTTCGATTTTTTTCAGTCTTTCCATGTGTATCTTTTCATTCTTGCTGGGTTATGCAGGGAACTCAAGAGACCATTGTAGAGCCTGGTGCATGCAGAATCCTCGCATAGTAGTCAACATGGTAGTCATATGTAGTCATAGTGGGCTGGAAAAATTGAAGCAGTTGAAGTAGTTGAGGCAATTGAAGTTGATAAGCATATGGTTTTTTGAGATGGAATGCAAGATACGCTGTGACATGATTGTTTCATTGAATCGGCCTGGGTTTGAGCAGCTGGTCTTTCTTTGCGTACTCTGCGTACCTCTTCAAGAGCATAGAAGGTTCAGACATCGCAAAAGTTGGTGTCCGAGCATGGAAGAGACCATGTGTTAACATATGTGAACATTGACCACAAGAAGTTTATCGCAGCCAAAGGCATTCACTGGCATTCGCATCAACATACAAAACTTCACACCAGCTACGAATCAATGCCCTTGGCGCAAGCTGCACGAAAAGTTCAAAAGCAAATCTTCCCAGATTACTTTGGAATATTTTAGATCATTTCTTTTGGTTCCGTTTGCGGAATCATTAGGCCGGGTGTCACCACAGGTGTGCCCGCCCCGGGTCATGGAGTGCAATGGAATTCCGTGCCGAGAGAGCATGGAAGTTCTCAAGGTGGACCCAGAGCACCTGGCGGCTTTCACTCTTCCCGAAGAGGCGGTCGATCTGTCACGACCGGCATGACCTGTCCAGTTTTCACCAGGCTTTCATCATGTTTCTCTGGGAACATCTTGGAGCTGTCAGGCTCTGGAGTATGAGCCAGCGGGTGACGACGTGGAATGCTGAGACTTGAAATGTTCGATTGCTTCATGATTATCGAATTAATTATTCAGAGTATTTCAGAGTCATGTCTACATGTCACCATGATGTCCCATGCGTCAAAAGAATCGTTGGGACTGAGGTCTTTTTGAGGTTGAGCTCCGGCATTTTGGAACGGCGACTACACAGCAACGTCACCTTCACCGAAGATGAGGGCTTAGCCGCGGAAGCCTGTGCCAATCTGTGCTATGTGTGCTTTGATTCGTTTGTTTCTCTTTGTTACTCGAAGTCTTTTTCCATCCCTAGAAAATCTAGGAAATGTATGGAAATGTATCAAGTACATGGGAAATGTTGGAATTGCAAGTAAGATCAAGTATACTAAGTAAGACAACTCTCAAGATCAGGCCCACGGATCCCATGTCGTAAGATCTGAGTGGTGACAAAGATTTCTGTGTGGATAGAAGGAGGTCGCAGAAGGCATGGAAATATGGAAATCAATCTAGTTTAGATCGATTTCAACCGATTTCATGTGTATTCATAACGAAGCAAGTTGAACCGTGAGGAGCATGCTTTGCGCAACCTTCGGCAGGAGGCACACGCGCAGGGCGGGTCTGAAGGTGGAGAGCAATTTTGGCGATAGAAGATTCAAGGCTGCTTTCTTTTTTATACTGTACTAGCGGCTACTAGCGCTTCATACTGTATCCAATTCCTCTGGACACATTGCATTGTGTGCGCCACAAATCTTCTCTGCACATTCCGTGGAACAATCACTGTGATGGGCGCCTTTCACTTTCACTTGGACTTGGATGATTTTCTGCCGCGTTTGGGAAATTGGCAATGAATCCATGCCGACAAGCCTTGCTTGTCAGATATGCATTTAAACAGCATCTACGCCTATATCCAATTCGCATGCCATATCCCCTTTGAGATTCCTGGTGCCACTGCTTCCCCCCATCCTAGTAGTCCTAGCATGTACCAGCTTTCTAAATGCTTCTACATCCACGACGCCGCGTCACTGCATTTCACTGCATCTATTCGCTGCATTGTGGCATTGCAATTTTCTTCCAAGGCTCGTCGCAGTGGCAAACGCTTCAGAACTGTCCTCAGCAAGTGTGGCAATATTCAAGCAAGTAGATGCAAGTAGATTTTTAAGTAGATTTTTAAGTAGATTTTTGATGATTTTTGTAGGGTCGCAGGATCAGTTATCATCAGTTAGCAATTCCTTCGGATCCTTCGGCAACCGAGCGAGAGTCCGATATGTTTCGAGGTCCCGAGATTTGCCATGAAGCGACACGATATCTGTCGGCAACCCGCGGGAATCATCAGAAAGCATTGAGTCTTATGGAAGCCACGGAGAATTGGCGACATCACTACTTCAAGGAGACATCGCATGTCATCGCATGTTCATATTTTATAATATTTTGACAATGAAATGTGGTTTTGTCATTGGTTTTGTCAGTATCGGCCGACAAGGCCCTCTAATGACAAGCAACCCAAATACCTTTCAGGTTTAGCTTCCAGAGTCAAATTTTGCTTCTCTTCGATTCACCGTGAAAATTAACTACGTAGTGGTCCATTTGTCGTTTGCATCACCCTTTTCTTGGCAGGACGGACCTCTTTGCTCTGCAGACATAGCGGAAGACATGAAGTACCCTGCAACCAAAGTTGGGACATGGATGTGGGGGAAATGAAAGGACTAAAGTCTCATATCATATTTCTTCATCTACAGTCTACAGATATGTTTGATGTGTGTAGAACGAGAGAAGGCCCATGAGCAAGCCATGCAGTTGCTTCCGTGAGCAGCTTGTGTTTCTGCTATCAAATCATAAAGGCATATCAAGATATATCAAGACTGGGTTAGCGCGGCAGCCGGGATCAGATGTATAAGCGATTGAGGCACGGTTTCGCATACTTTGTGGGTCGCGATCGTGCCATGCGGCCGGCGTTGGTGTTTCGTGCCTTGCTAAGTTTTAGAGTGGAGACATATGGAGAAATCATTGACGACATGAAGAAAAGGATAGAAAAGGTTGATCAATGTGGATTCCGGATATTTCTTGGTGACCTTTGGGTCTCCAAAGCAAATTGTCAGAGATGAAAGTCATGCCCAGGGCTCACCGTGCCACGTCGCTGGGTTAGGCGCCTCGCGCGTGCCAGAGAAGTGGCGGAAGGATTTTGACATCGACCGCTTGCTACGGGTCTTGATCTTCTGCATGGAGGTCTCGGCGGTCGAAACAAGTTGAAATTGCGAAAACAACAACTCCGTCGAAAACAAACAACATGTTGATCAAAGATGATCAAAGTATACCAATATCATCCAATATCAATCTGAACGTTGTGAACTCTGCGAACAGATAAGAACAGGGTTAGATTTTGCAGAGGTTGCTTGTAGATCATTCCCATGTCAATGTCATATCCTCACGGGGTTTCACCGGAACTCAACAGGTCATGTTGCGATTTATGCTTGTGCCGGGCAAAGTAGAGACTTCCTGTTTGATCGTGGACTTGCAAGACATCTCCATCAAGGACTGAACGCCATGTCGCCCGCATGCGACCAGAGCAACCAAGAGCGGCATTTTCAATGCAGGAAAAATTGGAAAAAACGATGCATACATGATGCATAGAATTATTAAATACACGATCATAGATCTGCAATCTGGAAAGCAACAAAAACTCACCTGACCTCTCATCAAATTCTGCAGCCTGAATTAAAATACATAGAATCTGATGAAACTGATGAATCTGCTATTTCTTTCTAAAAAAAAATGCGCAGGACATTCCCATTTCGTTGCTTCGGGAGATCCATCAGCTGTTCACGGCGCACTATCCCTGCCGAGGCAGCGGTGAGTATCCACCAAAATCAAGAAAGACAATGGACGACACGATAGGATATTAAACTATGACGTGAATGGTCGAACAAGTTTTGAGTTTTGACTCTTACGTGGTTTTATGATGTTTGATGTTTTATCATGCGGTATTATGCGTTCTTAAATGCCTGCGTACATCATACAGCCAAGCTTGATGGACGTGGCGGACCAGGGAACGGCCTGAACGTTCATGTTTCTAAGGTGTTCATCTTGCTTCGTATTGCCACGTTGATTTCAAATGGTTTTGCACCCTCCAAACATGTCAACGTGCAAAAAGTATGACTGTGCTGGACTTTAAGATCTTTAAGTCACAGTGTCGTATTGCATAGAGTCGCCAGGCTTTCGCTTCTATGTGTGCAATGTGCCACGCATGCTGATGGCCATCTCACACGTAGCGAAGAGTCTTCTGACAGAACGACAAAAGTTGAAAGTTCGAGTGCTGAGCGACGTCCGGGAGCTGCTGGAGGAGCAACCACGACATTTGTCCGACATTCCATGACATTCCATGACGCCGAGATGTTGTGTGTGTTCTTATTTTTGCTCGTCGTTTATCAATTTCATGTCTTTTCATTTCTTCATCGTTTTTCTTGGCTTTTGCTTGTTTTTCTTCTCTTTAATTACGTCTCCTTTGTAATCTTTGTATCACAGAATGCTCATGGTATGTTCATGATCATCGGAGAGTCTTGCATGATCACCATTACCCTAGCCAGGATTTTGCCCCACATCAGTTGGAGCAGGACCTAGGCGCGGCAAGCGTCGTTTAAACAACGAAGCAAGCGGGGGCATCATTCACTCAAAATATCAACATTGAAGGGATCGAAGTGATGCCTCCTAACTTGTGTCCAAAAACGACACAAGCAAGACAAGACAATACACATTCATACACATTCAATGTTTACAAAGCCCTTGATGGTGCGGGCAGGCGGTTCGAGACCATTGGCCACGAGCTTTTTGCCATTCCCTCTGGGTCCAGGTCCAGTTCGGCTCCTGAAACCATATCATTACAAGATATGACAACTGTTATCACCCCCACCTCAAGGCTTTGGCTGTTTGGAGGCTTAGACAGCTTCGAAATATGTCTCAAATGATAATCTTGAGACATGTCGAGACATGTTGAGACATGTCGAGACATGTTGAGACATGTCGACCAAGTTTAGAGTTCCGCCATGCCAACAGCCGTTTTTTCTAAATCTCAAGTACGGTGACTTTGTCAGTTGCTCGCTCGAAGGCGTAGGAGCTACGTAGTGTCAGTGTCGTGCGGCTTGTGCGGTGCCAGGTCCCTTCTATCCAGGCTCAGCTCCTCGTCTCAGCCCAGTCATCAATCTGCACAAAGCGTCTGACTTGAAGGACACCCCTGGACATCCTCTGACAAATCATTTAAACATATTTGATATATTTTAAACGCAATTTTGAAATTCTTTCGAAGTCGTGTCAGTTTTGAATTTTGAGCACCGACTCGTGTCTCACTTTCGAAATCTTTCGAATACTTTCGATACATATCACTTTCGGCATAGTTTCGGCCTCTGCAGGAGGCGAGGGAGGAGTTGGAACGCACTCGTTGCCATGCTGAGGCCACAGAACGTCACTAGCGTCAGCACAGCTTTCTGATCAGATTTCTTATGAGCTGAATTGAGACATATTGAGACATGGGTGCGTATTAATATGGTGCCTATGAGCCTATGTGTCTCGTTGATCAGTTGCTTCAAGTGGCATGTGCTTGCTGCTAAATCATATGTATAAATTGTATAAATTGTATAAATATATAAATCAAACATTAATTACTTATGAATAACTTATTATAACTTATTATGATCTTGCACATCTTGGTAACCATGTGGCTAAGTCTCAGTCTGGTCAACAGGCTAGCCCCAGCAGCGTTGAGACGCATCAAGAGACCGCCAGTGGCAGGCTGGGGCTTTCCGCGGTATCGGATGGGGAAGAGAAATGAAGTGAAAGTTTGAGGGTGATAAGCTGATCAGTTTGAAGAACAAGTTCTTGTAACATCTTGTAACATGAATATGTAGTAGAGAACCGAAAACACGTGAAAGATCGTGAAAGATCGTGAAAGATCGTTCAAGATCGTGAAAGATCGTGAAAGCCTTGACCAATCGCCTTGATACCATAATGTAATATAATGTAATATACCATATGATCCCCTACGAGATCCGAGCGTCTGCAGGCTGACCTCGAATTCACGGTCACCTGACTCCTTCGACTTGTCTCAACCCTGGACCTTTCGAGAAGGTCACTTTGGCGGCAAAGAGTGTGGTATCATGTGGTATCTGAAGTATCTGAAGTATCGTCTGGTATCGTTTGTGATGCATTCGAGGACAGCTGTTTGATTGACTTGTCAGGTCACATTGCCCAGGAGTTAGGGAGAGATGTGCGATGTATTTGGAACCATCATCTGAACATATCTGAACCAAAGACCAGAGATATATGGGGAATATATGGGAATATATGGGGATGTGGTTTTTCCTGTGTTTGAACACGCACACACACACACCCACGTACACGTCACACACACAGACACGTATAATATGTATTCATATTAATGCTATAATATATCATATATATAATATAATATATATATATATATTATTATATACCTGAACCATCCATCCTACCTTTTATTTTCTGCCCCTCCCCTTGTTCGTACCTGAATTCTTCGTTCGTACCTTAAATCTCTGTTCGTACCTTTTATTTTTGCCTCGGTTGTTTTTTGTGGTTTCGAGTTTTTTTTTCGATTTTACACGGCGGCCGGGTTGCGATTTGGATTAAACCGCCACATGCTCAAATTGGTTTGGATTGGTCAAGTGTGAATTGTTTCGCAGGGCCCCATCACTCCGATGGGTCCAAGTCGGTCCCTTGAACCCACTTTTGGAGATGTTCGAGAAATTTGGGGCCAATTCGTAGCGCAAAAACGTGCAAAAAGCGCGCAAAAACGCACAAAAAAGCGCAAATTCAATTTGAGGTACTAATCGGTACCCAGGATTCACTTGCACGAACTCCTGGTGCCATTTTTGTTAGATCAAGGACCACGACAGTCACTGGGTTATATCAGCTAGGTTACCCCAGAGTTGCCAAACAACGCTGTACCATAGCTCAGAGCCCAGTCTCGTCCTCTTTTTTTACAAACGAACGTTTTTTCCAAAACGTGCTGGAAATCTGAGTTCGTACCCGATTTTTTTTCGTACCTAAAATGTAAGTAGCAATGGAAGGAGCAGGAGTATGGGTTCTCAATGAACCCCTTGAGTGCATCATGCCAACAAGATGAAGACACAGTGGGACGAACATCAAGACTGAGTCGAAGGGTAAGTGTGAAATTGACCATGCGAAGGACGCTTGAAAGACATCTTTTGACTTGTTACAAGGTATGGAAGGATGCGAAACTGATAATGTGAAAAAGGTGTGGAAAAGGGATGGGTCAAGTTGGGCATGATGAGAGATGGACAGGATCGAAGTCATTCCATTGATGGTTATCTAACATGATGAAAACTTCAGATTTTGGAAAACCGGGTTATTCTAAAAAAACCTGGTTTTTCTGCCACGACCATAAAAAGGAAGGTTCTGGAGGCTGAAGGTATATATATGCGCATGTAGGATAGGAGGGACCTTTGGGATGTATTTCGTTTGTGTACATATTTTCATACCTGTTCTTCTTCGTTGTCCTTTTCCATGTCTTTTGCCTTGTTTTTTTTTTGGTCCACCTTTTTCCCTTGGTTCAATAGACTAAATGAATCAAGTCAAGGAAAGCATGAAGTGATTAAGATTAAGGATCCTATTTTTTTTTCCGGAGGTCTGCTATAGACATTGACTTATGGATATCCGAATATCCCAAATGAATTAACCTGAGGAATGTTGAGAGGGATCCCTATGGGGAAATCCGCATCTCCAAATGGATGAACAGATGGATATTTCAAAAAAAAGTATTGACGATTTTCATCTAAATCTAGTCTATACAGTCTATCCCCATCATTTCACCCATCTGAAACCATGGATGGCAAAGTTTGGGTGCAATAAATATACGGTCAGGACGGGGGTGCTGCCGGGAAGTGCGTCTTGACTCCGCAGGGCCAGCGTTTTATGCATTTTGGGATGTCGGCGGAATGGCCGAATGGCTGACGCGAAATCCTAAACTTGACATGCATTGTGAAACCCAAAGTAAGCATTGAAAGTAAAATCTCATTAAAAACAAACCATAATTGAAACCCTAGATACTTAAGACAAAACCTAAACAACCCCCAAACAAACCTAAACAAACCCTAAAGAGTTGGCGACATGATAAACCCCGCGGCACCCTCAGCCTGGAGGTATACACAGCAACGATATTTGTCACTGTTGTTCGACCGGGTCGCCGTAATCATACACCCCTTTAAACAAGTGGTGGTTTCAGATCGTCAAAAATGCACAGGTTGAAGGAAACATATCTCTTGGTTTACATGGTGCAGGCGTGTATTTAAGTTTTAATTCATAGCAGCATATTTTTGTGTGGTTTTCATTTATCTAAGTATTTCATATTTCCATTTGATAGTAGGGCGCTGTTTCGTATTTTGTGGTGTAATCTTTATATTCATTCATGACCTCAGGGAAGCCCGCGGTAGCCGTCAGAGTCAATACTTGATGATTACTGTAAGCAACAGATTCAAGGTATACCAGCCATTCTATGGGTCATTTTTTTTGAACAACTTTGAAAGTCACCTGCATCCGCCTGAACCAAACTCATTTCATTAGCCAAACCGCTTCAGGCAGCACATGAAAAACCATCAATTTGATGACATGGATTAGAATGCAACTAGATGAAATAACCAATGTAAACATCATTGGGCAATTGCAACTGATGAAATTTGTTTAAGCAATGAAATTAACCAACTCCATGAAACTGATTTGACTCGTCAAGGTCATCAAACGAGCCAGTTGAATCGATCATTTCTAGATTCATCTAGTTAGCCTTGATTTTTACAACTCAAACTAATCAACTTTCAATATCTCTCAATATTTAATTAATACAATTTATGAAAGAAAAATAGGGCAATATAATATGTGCATGCGCACATATTCAACTAATATTAGAGGTTTCAGTTGTGAGAAAAGCAAACGCCATGTATTTTTGTCATTTGAATGTTTGCTGCGGATCCGTGTCAGCATGCTGCGTGTTGTGACCATGTTGTGACCATGTTGTGAGGCGATGAAGTCGAAGTATGGAGTGTGTCTCAAAATGCCTGGGTTGCTGGTGTGGTCCAGGCACCGCATGCAAAACAACAGGTCAACAGTTGTAGATCTTATCCGTTGCATTAACATGCATTAACGAGGTTCTCGCATGATAGGTTTCTCTCATGAAATTGTTGAACTAGCAGTTTTGCGGGTTTCTTCGTTTCTTCTTTCGTTTGCTGTAGTTTCTGATTCTTGTACTGCGCATGGCGCATGCGGAGGCCTTTTTTCCACAAAGCACAGTGGCCGAAGGCTACCAAGTTCCTCCGGGCACCTTAAAGATTTCAATTCCGCGAGGATCGGTGAACTGAGATGCTGAACATCAAGAAATCAGTTTCATCCAATTCTCATCCCACACATGCCCCATGTCTCCGGTTGTTGCATTTTGCAATTTGTTTCCAATGAGACGTTGCGTGTTTCAATGGGTGTTTCAAACCAACATTCAGGTTGGTCAGTCTAGGAAATCCAGACATTGCAGGATGCAAATGGATACCGCAAGACTTGATCAGCTCCAACGTGCGGAGAGTGGTTTGGCTGCTTTAGTGATGCAAATTGAGGGAAACCAAATATGAAGAAAACATAGTAATGGAGGTAAACGAATCTGAGATATTCTTTTTGAGTTGGTTGAAGGCTGCAGAAAGAATCCTTTCACTTTGGTAGGAAACACCTCCGCCGTGTTTATCTTGGCACACTGAACCATGCTCCCGATCCTCAGGTGATTTCAACCCCAAGCATTGCAGAGCAATGTAAGGAGATCGCCAATCAGGCAGATTTGATTCGAGCGGGAGAATCTACGGGTGCTCCAAGGATAGGTGAAAGGATGTGAAAGGTCCGAATACAGGCAGGTGCGCAATCACGTAAAGCACACTCAACATCATCCTCGGGCATCATTTTGCATCATTTGCATAAATTAGCTGTGGAAAACCTGTGGCAGAATTATTTCCATTGTCCCTTCTTACACTATGATGGTGGTGATAATGGTGAACCAAGACTCTTCATGGTTGTGCCAGCCGGACATCCGCAATTATCTGCAAACGAAGCTTCATAGCAAATACAATGTGAACAATTGTAGATGGATGTAAATGATATCTCAACCTTTGCCTTTCTCTTCGATGTCGATGTTTTGCAGGGCCGGGTACTTCTGAGTGCCTCTTTGGTTGAAGAGCACAGCCCACATAGACATCCCACGTTATCCAGGCGCTTCCGGGCTAGGGGACATGCAATTGAACTGAAGACTTGCGACTGCAAAGAATTTCCAATTGCACCGATTGCATCAATTGCCCAGGTGTTGAGGTACCCAAGATTCTCGTGTTTGCTCTTTGGGAGTAGATTTTGATGCGCGATTAAGGAAGTAAAGCTTAAAGGCTTCATTGCATTGCATGTTCGGTAGACTCGGTCGATTTGGTATTGCTTCGGTACTTCTGCCATTTTTGGTGGATTCTTTTTCAGAGCAGGTGCACTCACTCGCCTGGCAGTGAGATTTCAGACCGCTGCATTCGACGCTCGGTAGCACAGCTTTGTACCACCTTCCCATTGGCATCAAAGCATCACTCATGTCATAAGTTGTGTCACAAGCTGCAGAACTTTTATGGTATTCTACTGTAGGGAATGGATTCAAACTTGACAAAGTAACTGGGTTACGTGCTTACAGTACAAAGAGATACAAAGATCATAAAGTTCCCATTGTTTGAAGCACAGATCATCCTGGCAGGAGCAACCTGGTTTTGCCTGTGAGAGCCTTTTGTAAAGTCTGCTTTTGCACTTGCCTGATGAGATCTGAGCAAGTTTGCTGTGGCTTTTCTGTGGCTTTTGAGATGGGATGTTTCATTAATTTTCACTACCGTTTAGACTGCATGGCCGAGCCTGGCACAAGGATGCCTGGTTCTGGCTGGAAGACTCAAATGTCGTGATGCGCCAGTATCATATACTATGATAATAATCTATGATCTGTTGCACATTACTGCTATGAATGTTTTTTTGCCGCACTGGAACAATTTTTTACTCTACTGGAACAATGTGTTATTTGTTCTGCTCTATTGAAATCATGACTCTGTGTCCTCCTCTGATCACTCCTTGATCGTTCGGACTGCAGACATTTTTTGTGCGGAAATGGCAAACACAATTCATCACCACAATCCGATGTTGATTTATGTTTGATTCAGGTTAACAAGATCAATCTGGGCTGCAGTTCCAATCTCTTGAGTGCAATTCCTGGCAATGCCGCACGGGCGTTCACGGGAAGTTGACCCCGGTTGATATCCTTTTTCACTGAATCCTTTGGGGGATTCAGTCTAAGCTAAAGGCCAAGCGGCTAACCTTTGCGAAAGGAAACCAACAAAATATGGATGAGTGCCCATGCAAAAGCTGCTGAAAGCCTTGTGCAAGTGATCACGGAGTGGAGTCTGTTTCCCCAATATCCCCAAACGTACCATTCATTGAGCACACAACAACAAGATCATCGAGGATGGGATAAAACATGATAGATCTTGATTGAACACCTTGGCTTCAGATGAAGTTTATGAAAGTGTGCGGTATATTTTCGCATCCCTTTCACCAAACCCGCAAGGTTCAATTCGGTGGAATGGCGCCGTCTTCGCCCGCAACTACCACAGGCGGATGTAGAAGACTGAAGTCGTGCAAGATGCGCAAGGCATCGAAAGATCCTCTCCATATCACAGCACCAATGGTGATAAACCATACTCCATGGTAATCTATGATCGAAGGAAGTTTAGAAGTCAAACTTCCGACAATATGGAGAGATGAAAAGCAGAGCAGGGCAGAGGCAGAGAGAAGAGGAAGATTAGAAGAGAGAAGATCAGAAGAGAAAGAGTAAGAAGACAGAAGATGCAGATGCGCGAAAAGGTAGGAAAGTCGCGAAACACAGTGTTTTTCCAATGATTTGTGGCTCCGGAGGGTCGAAAAGTAGGCTCGCTAAAGCGGCGGGTGCGGAGCCAGCTGGCCACAGGAGCGATGAAAAATTGCACGACGTTGTGGCGCGAAGCACATTTCCAAGTCAAAATGTACAAAATACCTCAGCGTCGGACCGCTTTTGGAAGTTGCGATGTCGAAAAAATGCACGCCGTTGTGGCGCGAAGCACATTTCGAAGTCACACGAACAAGTTGCAAGCTGCGTGGTGCACGGCAGAGCGCAGTGCAGCCAAGCAGGTTCGAGGCAGGTCCATTGCTGCAATGCTACAGAGGCCTTGCTAAATCATTCGATGTTCGAATGGGCCTGTGCAAAGTGAAAGAACTAAGCAAATTTGCCCCAGCACGCATTGTGCTACTGGAGAGCAGCATTATGATGCCATTCTGCGGCGGATGTATCTTGAAGGAAGCCAAATTCAGCTTGTTAACAAAAGGGATGTCCAACTCAAAACAACCATCCAAAGCCCTAAACAGATCACGCAAAAATCGGATACGTGCCGCTACAGTCAATGGCCTGTGCAAATGCGCTGAAATTCTAAAGGGATCCTCCCAAATTCTGAGCGCCATCTGACGTCAAAACAGGATGGACAAAATTGGTGACTTCGAGCATCGCTGTGAGTTCAAGCCAGCTGATGCTGTGAGAATCTACCGCACTCACTCTCTCATTTTGCAGCCAGTCAACCATGCGCTGAAGAACTGCCAGTGGAAAGACTCTGCTCCAATCGCTCTGTTGCCACTGAGCATGCCACGCCAATGGTAAACCATCAATCCAATCTCCACCAGCTACAATTGGTCGCTGCAGCGCCGGCGGCTGCAAAGATTCCCCATCATCGATACTGCCCTCTATATCATTATGGGGAACATTTTGTTGGGCAAAATCAAGGTGAAAAGCACAAAACAAATCAACCAATCTCTCACTGGCGAAAAAACTTTCTTCCAAGGCCTTCTGACACTCAAGGAAAGCAGCTGGCAGCGATCGCAAAGCCCGGCGAGCTTGTCGATCAGCCCAACCATTCCACTGTGCAGTCCACGCATGAAAGTCAGATTCTTGAAGGGCTGGGTCACGGTGACTAGCCACATGTTGAACTCGAAAAGACCCCGCAGGCATGACCAGAAGCCTTTCAGTGATGTCTCCCCAAAGGTCCTCATTGGTGTCATGCTCAACCGCAGAGCCCGCATCCAAAATAGCAGCAAGGCCAGTGACAACATAGGCACTATCGGTCCAAAGCACTGCTGAAACCCCTTGCTCCCAAGTCCAATTCACCGCAGCGAAAGCTGCAATCAACTCAGCTCGATCCACATTCTGTTGTAGTCCCGGCACTGGGCCAGAAGAAAGCACTGCTCGATGGGTCGCAGAAACCACCGCCCATGTTGCAACACATTTCGAAGTCAAAAGTGTTAAAAACTGGCGGTCTCGGACCACTTTTGGAAGTTGAGATGTCAAAAAAGTGCACGCCGTTGTGGCGCGAAGCACATTTCGAAGTCAAAATGCACAAAACACACCATGCTCGGACCACTTTTGGAAGACAGATAGACAGATGAAAGAGAGAGAGAGAGAGATAGATCGATAGATAGATAGATACATAGATAGATAGATTGGTAGGTAGGTAGGTAGGTAGGTAGATAGTCAGAGAAAGAGGGAGAAAGAGAGGAGACATCAAGCACCTTTCAGTCCATCAGTGGCTTCGCTCTGCCATCCCTGATTCACAACAACCAACCTCTCCTATAGGTTTCCTATTTTTGAAACTTCCGCCACCGCCTTGTGCGGTACTACTGGTAATCATTGATAATCCCAACACCTTCCGAAATCCTTCGTTAATATTTTCTGGCGGACCTGGCTGCTTTCAAGAAATAAGACACTCGCACAATAGGGAGGGCGATCAGGCTACCCCTAGATTCATGTAGAGAGAAGAACAAATTCTCCTTGCAGAGCGACGCAGAGTTCACAAACGAGGCATCTTCATCCGCCTTGGACATCATTATAATTTATTAATTAATCCTCCTGGGAATTTAGCTTAAAAAGTTCAGGACATGATGTCTTTAAAAAACTGTATTTTTTAAGGGACATACCTGGCCGGCAAAAAAAAAACAGTTCTATTTTTTAAGGAAATCCTGTTGTTTGACGGTCTCCTATTCTTTAAGAGGCCTTCCTAGGAAGATTCTAGGAACTTGTTTTTTGGATTTTTTTGGTATGTTTGAGATTGTGTGTCAAATGCCTGCCGCTTCTGGAGATGCTCACAAACGTCAGAGTGAATGATAGTGAATGCATGTAAATGGCGGAAAACCCTGCCCGAGGACTTCGACCCCAAAACGGGGAGGTACAACGAGGTCAATAAATCATGTCCACAATGAGGTTTAAAACATTCAGTGGGTCATTCTCAAGGTATTGGAATGAAATTTTGAAAGTTTTTTTTTTCGATTTTTTTTTGTCAAAATATGTTGAAAAATGAAATTTCTATCCAAAATCTTAAAAATATTCAGAACATTTCATGCTTGACTTCAACTTGGGTCTCCAATTTTTTAAAGGGACATACCTGGCTACTGTGTTGCAATCTTGGTTCATTGGGGTTAGATTCTTTAAGGCTGAAATTTGCCTTGGTTCGCATTCTTTAAGAGGCTACCAGTGGTCCCTTAAAGATTCAGGGGTCAGGGTCGGAGGCCGAATTGCAAGGGGGATATTAATTATATAATTATATATAATTATATATTATTATCATTATTGAATTATTGTTATTTTACTTTATTGTTTTTCTCGAGGCCTTCGATATTTTTCGATTTTCCATCCTTGTTTCACCTTCAAGGCCGCGCCGCAGTTGCGACCATCCGAGCTGGCCCTAACTCTTCAGGCGCAGCTTCACGTTGAACCAATGCTGAAGCAATGCTGAAGCAGAGTTGATGTGTGGCATGTGTGGCTTGTGTGACTTGGTAGCCGACAGCTTGGCAGAGCACAGCTCCTGTGTTCGATCAGGGCCTGGCAGCCCTTCGAAGTGTCGGACTGCTAAGTTGCTTTCTCCACATACAATGTTAAAAAACAGAAATGCGTCGAATAGATTTGCTTGCATGGACAATGGAGATGAATTTGGGTGCGAGAATTCTCAGAGGACTTGTGTGTTCTTGCACGTGGCTGTATTTCAGAGGGCTGGCTGCCCGTCATTTCAAGCAAGGTGGAAACTCCCTACATAGAGCCAGTCTTGGACGCAGTTCAGCAACTGGCCTGCGGCTTAGTGGCTGAGGCAGTGCAAACTTTCAGCAATCTGGTAGTACAATGTCGGAATGATTCGGAATGATTGAATTGACAATGCCGTGAAGAGCGACTGGGCCAGGCGAGCTACATGAATCCTGAGAATTTTGTAGACTGTATGGTTGCTTTGGCAACATTGCAGACACCACAGGCCTATTGTCATGGAGTTTTCATTTTGACCATCCATCGCAGATGTTGCACACATGTTTTCACTTGGCACGCACCACACTGGCGAATTCCGATGCCGCCCGGTTCCGTTGAATCATGTTTAATCACCATTCGCAGAAATTTGACAGGCCAAAGATGCTGTGGATGCCTTGGTTCGAGGCCTGGGCTGAAAGAAATTCTGAACGAAGCGAATTTCGCATCCAAACCAGGTACTTCCGAATCTTCCGAGCTTCACACGTTGCAGCGGGGTCAAGTCATGGGATGCTTGGAGGCCTATTTGAATCTGCCTATGCCATATGGATCTACATGGATCTATATGGCTTGTATGCTTTGATAGCAGGCGACATATTTGAACCTTGAGATTTGATTCAGATCTAAAATATTCTAAGACTTTGGAGCAGCAATCGAATCGCTTTCGCTTTTGATTTTTCTGGTGGACCGCATGAAACCTGCAAGGCGCTTGTCCAGTTGAATCATCCCTCGGAGAAGATGTTACAGGCGCGTGCAGGTATTCTAAAACCTTATCCCCTGTGATTCTCACGTATTCTAAAAGCTTTAAGAATGTGGAACCATGTGGAACCATTATTGTTCAAATTTGTTCAAAGTCACGTTGAGGCAGAGTGTCCGGCGGGTTTCTAGTCAGCTTCTGAAACTCAAATCTACAACGAATGTCCATCTGTAACGATTCCTGGGCACAGACAGTGAGCTCGAGATATGACCAGCTCATTGGTGGTAGAGGCTTTGCTACAAGAGATGCCAAGTGCTGGAGACTCAAATAGACTCAAGCATCAGTTCAGGCACAAAATGGTACGGTGCTGAAGCATCGGACCGTAGATCCTTTCATGTTTTGCTGTTCACTCCACAAGTCTTTCTGAACCTTCACTGGATAGCTGAGAAAATGCAAGGCTTGGAAAATGACCGCAGAGGACGCTTTCAAATGAAATTGCTTGGCATTGCTTGGCTAGCCATGGGGGTGTTATATGTTTTTATTATTATTTATTATTTATTTGTTTTGCAATGCTGGAGCCACCCTGCACAAAAAGGCTGGGAGACTTCAGGTGTCAGCTGCACGCTTTCAGGAGCTGCTTCGCACGCTACGGCTGATGAAAGGAGCAGGGAGCCTCGGCAGCCTCGGGGAGCACGAAAAGCTGTTTTCACACATACACACATAACAATTCAGTAAACACATCGGCGCGATGCAGCCTTTCTTCATTTGCTGTTCTTGACGTCGCTAGTTGGGAGGTCACTGAAATTTCAAAGCTGGACCCTCAGCAATCTGTGAGAGTTCAGGCCCTCTCCGCATTGTGGTCCTCAAATAGTCCTCAATATCATTTTTACATATTTTTACACATGTTCACAACATTTCACATATTTTCACAAGTTGTGGTCTTTTCCCGAGGTCACACAAAGTCCTGGACATGATGTGTTTAGCCAATTCCTCAGAAGCACCATGAGATCTCAGAACGAACATTGGGGTGTCGACGAGATCCTTGTGTCCGGATTGAGAGACTGGCCAGGTTCCCTCATTGTGATGTCATTGTGGTTCTTTGTGGTTCTTGGTCAAAACTGCTGATTCTCTTCAAAACTGGCACTTTTGCTCCCATGACCTCGCTGACCTCGCTGACCTCGCTGACCTCGCTCATTTCAGGCCCTTGCAGATGCTACGGGGGCGCTGCGAAGCCGTTTGCGGGGGCAGGAGCAACTTCCCACTGTTCGGATACACAAGATCCACAGAGCGCATCAGAGCGCTCTATTGAGAATATTTGAGAATCACTGAATGAACCAAAGACGTCCATCATGATGGAATCTCGGAATTTCAAGTTCCCAGTTCCAAATTGGCTTGTCACTTGAATATCTTCGTTGTACTCGTATCAGGTAGTATCTCCCTTGTATCACATATATCCTTGATTGGTATAATGTCATATTGTGTCAAAAGCAGAAGCTGACAGAGAAGACCCATCCCGCACCAAAGGTGAAACTGGTGGAAGCCTTCATGCTCTGCACGGAACTGCAGCTTGGAGTCTTAGAAGATCTGATCGAAGATCACTTGCTGACATCAGCGCTTTCAGGATCTTCCAGGATTTTTCAGTTTTAACAAAAATTACGACAGACATCGACATACATCGACAAACCTTGCGGGGAGAGCACACTTCAGGCAGCTTTTGAACGAATCGCAGACCAGGAAGGCCGAAACGTTGTGCAACTGGTACCCGCTATACCGGTACTGTCCTGGCATGTCCTGGCACATCCGGGGACTCTTTGATCCCAGAGGTGACGTCAGCTCCAATGGACCTTGAGACGTATTTGCAGACGTCAGAAACCCAGGTGATCCCAGGTGATCCCAGGTGTGCCAAGATTTGGACTAAGATTTCTCAAAATTCTCAATGCAAAGCTGCAAAGCTTTGTCAGTCCTGATTGTCCACTTGTGCAGATGCCTGTAGAAGGCCATGTTGGACATTGGACACATTCGTGGCTTCGAGATACTTGGACAAAGGTTTGGTTCTCGTAGCCTAGGCGTGGAATGCCCACCGAAACCCATGGTGCAGGCGCTCGCTGTCGCATGACGGTGCAGCGGTTGGTGAACCCGCATCCGTAAAGTAGAAATATGCTACAGGAGAGGAGTCCGCATTTTGAATATGTTGAAAACTTTTTTTAAGCATTTCAAATACTTTTATGGAGGGAGACACGACATGACAGACTCAGTGAACGACATGCCATGTGGACTCTGTCTGAAAGGCTTCGAGCGACTTTTGCTCACAGAGTTGACTGCTAAAGTGATTTGCTCAGCTCGAAATAGCTCGAACTCACACAGCACATCGGACTTCATCGGACTTTCATCGGACTGTATCGTTTGTTCCTTGCAGAAGGTCTCGGACGGTCTCTTCGGACTTTTGAGTGGCACCTCCAAGCCATTTTGTGTTGCCTTTTGCGTTGCCAAACCTGTCCCTTTAAATCAGCCGTTTGCTGAGTTTTTTTAAGAATCTTAGAGCGTTTAGAGCCACAGACTGGGAGGATCTCAAATAACTATGCTTAAAGGCTTAAAGTTTTTTTTCAGTTGGCTTTTCAATCTGTACTTCAGCTTCCTTTGAATCTTCAGTTTCATAAGCCCTTTTTTTTCCGGTTTTTATTGTTTTTTTTTTTTTTTTTTCCCGGTTTTGGGCCTCATGTCGGACCTCTTTTCGGGCCGCTTTTCACAAGTTTTCTGGAAATCTATCCAAAAATCGAAAAGCTGAACACACCCGAGGTTTTTTTTACAGTTTTTTTTCATCATCTTTTTCTTTAAATCAGTTTTTTTTTCGTTTTTTTCTTTCTCAGTTTTCTTTTCGTTTTTTTCCCGTTGAGGTTTGTAGATCGAACTGAAGAAAAAACAAATTGGAAACCAAACTGAAAAAACTGAAAACCAAACCGAATATCAAACTGAAAAAACACACAAAATTTCAAACCAAACTAAAAACAACTGAAGACCAAACTCAAGATCGAACTGAAAAAAACTGAAAATTTATAAATCAAGATCTCCAATCTCTGGCCAGCAAAGAATCTCATAAATTATATCCTTATATTCGAAGTTTGACGTATTTTAGAGTAGCAAATACCGAATCTAACTGAATGCTTAAGACATGTTTAGACAGTTTTAGACATTCCGTTTCGGTTATGAACTTGAATTTCTTGAAATGACAAATCCCTATGAGTCATTCTTGTTTACAACTTCACCAAGGTAGAACGGTTTCCTGACGACTTGGCGGAACTTCCTGGGAGTGAATGCACCAGGTGGGTCATTGGGCCAGACGCTGCATAGATCAGACATTTTCAGATGCTTCACTTATTATCGGCTTATATAGAGATATATGATGATGTATTTTGATACATGTATATTATGTATATTATAAATATTTATAAATATTGTTGGATTTTGAATGATTAGCTTGAAAATGAAAGCCATGGGTTCACAGAAGTCATAGACGTGCTAAGGTTTTGAGTCCGGGGTTGAAATGTCTTTCCTGCAAGGCTTTGCGCTGTTCTCGTTCAAGTAGCCAGAAGGGAGCAGAGGAGACAAGTACAAGTAGGTTTTAGGATTGATGGGAACGTTGCACAATGGTGGTATAATCTTGATATATGATAACGCTTGATGACCATTTTGATCACTCTGCCAGTTAGCTGGTGATCAACATTCTTTAACTTGATGTGTTTGTTTTTATGTTTCTCTCTCTTTTTAAATGCGTTTATGATGTTTATGCAAAGTTCAGTGAAGGACATCTTTGCCGCCATTCATCGCAAAGATTGTTCCAGTCGCTCGGCAACTTCAAAGACACAGAAGACCCAACTTATTCAACTTCTAACCAGTTCTAACCAGTTCTAACCAGTTCTAACCAGTTCTAACCTACATATCACCTAGTTATATTATATATCCGTCAGTGTTTCTACTCTATGTTTAAGCATTTTGACATCTCAACTGTTTGTGTTGAAATTTCTCGACTGCGGCAAGTAGCTGTCTAATGGGACAGCCTGGATCGTGCAAGGCTCTGGTGGAACGTTTGCGCGCCCAGCTGGAAGTGTTGCACACTGAGGTGCGGCCATTGCACTCTTTGTTGTTTTGACGCCTCATGCTTGAAGTTGGCCGATAGTCGGCCATTCACGGGATGTTCCAAGTTCTTTCTTTGAAGAATTGCGATGGCTTGGAGTTTGGAGATCAGTGTCGTGCTTTGGTTCAAAGTTTGGTTTCTATAAGCCGCCCATGCATGAAATTGGTCGTCTCAACATGCCGGGACAACTTTGGCAGGAGATTGCATTGGCATTGGCATTGTTGTCGGATCTAGGCTACCGTGCCCTAATCGCATCGAGGTCTTTGCATCGAGTCTGATTGCTTGTTTGTCAATTTGTTTGATTTCACATCGCCTTTGTCAATTTGTTCTACCGTGCCCCAGGCGATGACTACTTGTCGGACTGTTTTGCAGAAGCACTGAGAGCGCGTTTGCCTTTGAGAGAGGCCCGTGGTTTTTTCTTTTGGATTGTTCTTCGGGAAAAATTGCAGGAATTGTTTCTATTGCCCACTTTGTGCCAGCTGCGGTGATTCGAACGTGGAAAGTCTGCGAGTTCTACATTTTGCATGTAGCAATATCATGCAGTATCTCTTTAAGGAGCTCTTTGCGTGAATATTTTATAATATTTTGCATGTTGCCGATTTTGGCTGATTTTGGCCAGGCATCTGTGCAGCTCTTTTGCAATGCCCTCCATGCCCTGGCTCGACAGAGTGTGGCAGCGTTTCTGGATTTGTTGTCGCCTTTGTTGCAGGAGAACTGGACTTGCTTATGATATGCTTATGACTCTTATGACTTGCTTTGATGCTGTGAAAATCCTGCACAGAGTATCAATAAGATTATCAACAATGATCATAAATGAGTGCTATATGATTGCGATGCAGAAAGCGATTCTCAATAGAGTGCCACTTTATGTCCTTAGTCCTTTGTACTTCTTGCAGCGGTCTGAAGGACCTCGTGAGTCGCGACGAAGAATTCTTACAGGTGAGGGGAGATGAGATTAGAATGGTGTTTCAGTGAGAGCATTTGAGATACTTGGTGTATCTTGGTGTTAAATGCAATGTTCCATGTTTTTTTCATGTTTGCTGCTTTGGGCAACGTCAAACGTGCAAAAGGAAGTGCAGCAGCTCTCCAACTCTTTGGCTATCGGTCTTGAGAGGACGGGAGAAATCTAGGACATTTCTAGGACATAAGTCATAAGTGATATGTGAATATATGTGATATAAGGGACTGAGACCGGCGAGATTGGGAGTGATTCAAAGTGCTCGGCATGATCCAAGCCAAAATGTCATACAGAATCTCATAGAATCTCTCCAAGGAATTGGCATTGGTTATTGTGAAGCTGATTTCTAGCGAAGTTTCTTGGAACATCAGGACTAGAGATGAAATTGATGTGTCTTGGACGAACTTGAGACACTTGAACAACCAATTACCTGTTACAAATTGTCATGATTCTTCTGCTGACTTGCATTGACTAAGCATGCTGATGAATTAGTAGAAAACTCAAGACCTCAGTGCTGTGGCTTTTAATACGATTTTATTGGTAGAGGTCCATCCAACAGAATCAGCGTCATGCAAAACATGTATTTCATGAGCAATCGGAGCCTTTCACAATTTCCCTGTGCTTCCTGTGCTTCTGGAGGTGCCAGAAAGATGGCTGCATCATGTACATAGCTCGATTCTTGGCCAGGTGGGATTGGATGGGATGCCGGATGGGATTGGGTGTGTCCCAAAGTGTGTCCCAAAATCTTCACCCCTCAACCAGACACGGCCACCAGGTTGGCAGTGAGATGCATAGTTCAAATCCATAGAAGACAACAAACAGCTTCCTCCTAGGTACAGTACTTGTCAAAAAAGGTGTGACAGATCAAGTTCAAACTTATCTTCAAGTGGCGAAAAGGCTCACGGCATGGAAACTGTAGTTCCATCTACTTGGACCTTCAAAGTGCAGAAAATTCTGTATGATTGGGATTTCTGCACTTTTGGGCCGATTGAAACGTTTATATATAATAATTATATATTATATAAATATATAATCTTGAATGTAAACGGGTTCAACAAAAAGTGAACTTTTTACAGCAGTTCTGACTGCCACCTTAGATGTGGCACGGGTGGTTCGAATGTCTTGCTGCAATAGGTCCCTCACAATTCAGCCAGTGGAACTGTTGGTGATAATGCCCGTGCTTCCCTAAATTTGCAGAGTTTGTGTTGGTGATTTGGGCCCCAGAGATTCAAAGCCTGAAGCATGCAGGAATACTAAGCTATATTTGAAATCGTTAGTTTCAAGCATGCATAGTTTGCAGAAATAACTGTTTTCATTCCAACAAGCTGCGATTTGATGCGATTTGTCACATGCATGAACTGCGGATATTTGCATATACTGTCCACATGTTTCTTGGATTCAGAGCAGTTTTGGAATTTCCTGGGGACATTTCTCGCAAAAAAAAATTGGCCTTCTGATTATTTTTACAAATTCAGAAAAATCCAGTTTGTTTCAACGTCTATAGCGGTCTGGTGTATCCCATCCAGTAAAGCTGGCTTTTAGCGTGGCACCAAAGTCTTTGAGCGCCTTAGTTGTTTTGTCATAGTCTTTACCAATCTTCACCAGCCGGTAGATTTGTTTTTCTTACCTTTTGTTAAGCAGGTCCACTTTGTTTATCAACATCCAGAAACTCCCACCTAGCATGCCAAGATACGTCAAGTCAGCTTCATTCTTGCAATTTCATATTGTTCAAGTGTGTTTCTGAACGATTGGTCCAATTTGAACTATTTGCGGCATTTGCGATTTTTCTTGTGGTCATTTGCGGCCAAAAGTCCAAAAGTACAGAGATTATTGAACTTTGGAAGGTCTAGGTAGTAGATATTATTTACATACAATAGATGCTACGGTATTTCTTAATATGAAATATAATATATGGATATATATGGCAAATATATGCCGTGATTGAAAACAAAGAGTTGATTGGACTGCTGGAAGATGGTTGTCGTCCTATTGGCAGGAATCATTCGAAGAACTGAGCTGGGCAATAGACCCTCATCGTTTGCAAGAAGCTTGCAGGAGACCCAGTTTGTCGGTACCCTCCAAGGCCAAACAGACACCATAAACTATCACCGAATCATTGGTGAGGTCTAAACTGGCACCAGCTTCGGGAACGATGGCGTGAGCAAGAAATGACAGAACGACGCAGGGCTAAACCCAAAGCATGGATGCAGAATGAATGATGCAGAACATGGCATGAGAAATGCAGCTTTAGAATATGCAGGATATAGATGAAAGTTTCATGAAAGATGATAGAACTATCACAGAATATCAAAGAGTAATTACAGAGAGGTACTAGAATCAGATCAGCCACGAGGAGGCCAATTTCAAAAGTTTTTGGAGCGGATCTTGAGAAACATTTGGTCAGCAACTAGTTGCCGAATCGAAAGATGTATTGATTATTCCCACATATTCGAGCCATTGTTCAGCCTCAAAGCTGATGGGAAGTCAGAGGGACATGAATGCTGAACTAGAATTTCTGCAACATGGGGAGTAGTTTTGATCCTTGTTTGATCCATATCTTGGGTTTCACCACAACCATCTGACAGCAGTTTGTGCCATTTTTAGCGCCTTGTTCAGTGCCTTCAGTGCCTGGTTCATGTTCGCATGCAGCTTGGGCAGCTTGGGCAGCTTGGGCCATGGCGTTGCGCAATGCCTTGGCAAAGCTTTCGGGCAGAAGCAGCGCTCGCAGTTCCCCGGCGCAGCACAGCACATGCAGAGCTGCACAGCACATGCGTAGGGCTCGTTGCGCGGGAGGTTCTCTATGTTTTCGGTTGGAGAAGAGCATAGAATTGAAGAACGATCTCAGTGTTGGGAGGGACCAATGTGTTTCAAGGTTGAGAGATCTTCTGATGGATTAAAAAATACGACGATAGCTGGAACAATTTTCTGATCTTGCAAGGATGCAAGACTCAGCTCCTAACCATGTTGATGGGGGAACGCAATTCTCATGGGATCTTCCTTCTTGCGCAACGGCGATCTGAGGATTCTGGAAAGCTATCAAGAAAGGATACCCAATTCTCCAGCCTGTACCACGCGAATCTGTGCATGAGCGGACATCGTATTCAACAGATTTCCTGCCTCTTGGATCCTCTCATATCTCTCATGATTTTGGAAGGTCGTTCTTGTAACGTGATAACTGTGACTCGAATAATTAACCAGCTATATAGAAAGATATGTTAAGATATTTCAAGCCATTTCTGGCAGATACCTAGGTATATCCTGACCACAGATCAGCTGCGCATGGCGGGCTTTCGTCGTGCCATCTCCCAACAAAGCGCAAAGCACGTCTTGGAGATTGGCTGTGGCCCATGGGCACCGCTAGTGCTGTTCTCAGCCCGATGGATTTTTGCTTCATAGCATCTTCAAAGTTCCAGGGTCATGTAAGTGTTGGAGGAATGCAGCGTGTACAAGCAGTAGAGAAGTATTTAAAGGTTTCGAATAGGTTTCAATGATCAGGTGAATTTGTATAGCCTGCAGCCTATAAGTATAGTTCAATATGTTCAATGCTATGAATTAACATAATCAATATGTAATTAATATATGATTATATAATATTATATAATATATTATGATAGAACATAAAGTGTCGTTCTTAAGATTTCGATCTCAATCTCTAATGTCCTGCTTTCGAGCACCAGGTGGAGTTCTCCCTGGAAGCTGCCGACAAAGTGACGGCAGTTGAGGCGTCCTCCGCACACGCGCAGATGGCCCAGCAGCAAATGGCACATCATGGGGAGCGGGTGCAGGTGGGATACAATATGATACAATGGACCTACAACGGATATCCGGATGGATCTAGGTCCGATTTCAGTGTGAAGGATAGCGGACAGGTTTCTAGAAGATTTGGACAGGGATAACTATGATATTTGAACCTTAGCCTTTTTGGATAGGTGAACGGAACAGAGAGTTGAGTGGTTCATCACGTTTTAGCCTGTCATTCGTGCTCTTCAGTGCACTTTCAGACTTGCCAATTTCAGGGGAACCTAAGAAGATGTTGAAAATAGTTGAAATAGATGTGGTGTTGCGATATGATTGAGATATTGATATATTGAGATATCTTAAGGCATGGTGAGATATGTGACATATGTGGCATGGCCTTCGGCAGGTCCTGTCGGGGCGTTCTCTATCTCTGCCAACGGAGCGGTTGGCTGCGCACTCGCCAGATCTGGTCGTTGCTGAACTGCTGGGATATACTGTACGTGTCTTAGGGGAGCTTGGGTGTCTTAGTCCTGAGATGTCCTGAGAGACTGCTTACAGTCAACTGGATCTATGAGCAAACTATCCCCACATTTTGAATCTGTTTGGTCAGGTCTGCAAAGCTGCAAAAGCATTCAGCATTGTTTGAACGGTGCTCGAAGCTGTAGCATCAAAGATCAGCATGGCCCAGCTGCAGGCGAGTGAGGAGGGAGCACCGGTTACTTCGGACGCGCTTCAGTCACCTGAGTCACCTGAGTCACCTGAGTCACTTGAGTCACCTGAGTCACTTGAGTCACTTGAGTCACTTGCTATTCTGACTTTCTGACTTGTTCAAAGATGTTGAAAAGCAAAATGCAACGGGTACTTCTATCAGTGCTGACAGAAGCGGACAACGGCCTTGCAGACGCGAGGCTGTTTTGGCAGATTTGCAACGGCGTTTGGGGCCTGTGAAGACCGTGCCACGGCGGGCAAGCAGCCTTATGGTGCCTGTGCTGCTTGCTTCAAAGTCAGTTGAAGTATCACACGAGGAATGTTGCAGTGTTAAAGACTTTACATGTTGAAGAGCGACATGTCCAGAATGCTGCACATTCGAGCAGATGGTGATGTGAAGATACAACATGAGACAACGTGGAACAACGAAGCTTCATGAACTCGTGGAACTGAGGCGACCTTTGAGGTTGTCCCGCTCCTTGGCTGTGCCATTCTGCAAGCTTTTGTGCGTCAGAAACTGCACTTCCACAAGGAGACGACAGTGACCCATCAGTGACCCTTGTGCAAAGGGGACATGATTTAGACATGATTTAGACCTGATTTCCTGAGGTTACGATCGGATACGGAATTGGCTTTTGCATAGCTCTTGGCTAAGGCGAGGGATCATTTTCAATTCTTGTGCTCTGCCTATGCAAAATTGTGCCGCCCCCTTTCCGATTTATCAGGCATCATTCGGCATCATTAGTTTCCCCTGGGCACAAGTTGTTCAAGTCAGCTTGGAAGATCTTGGAAGATCTTGGAAGATCTTGGAAGATCTTGGAAGATCTTGGAAGATTTGGAAGGCAAGAGCTTGAGATCGGGCTTTATGACAGCCGAAACTTTCCAAAGAGCTTGGAGTTGGCACCCGAGCAGCTCTGGGAGGACTATCACTTTTCTTGTTCCCTGGCATATGAAGTGTCTAGATATGTCTAGGTGTGGCGATTCACTCTTGCGATCATTGCTTCTGAGAATATCAACGCACTTGTCTTATGCAATGCTAGATGATGATGTGGTAGTGATTGTTCCTCCTGGATACTGGATCATTGAAGCATACTGGATCATTGAAAGTACAGAGCATGTCAGAACAATATCAAGTAAATTAAAGTGGCTGGTCCTACTGGCATGGAGTGGTCTCAAGAACACATCACAAACATTCACAAACTACAGCCAGTGGCAATGACCTTCGAATTTCCGCCGAGGCTTAGACGAGTTGGAACCTCAGATGCGGGAAGTTGTGTTGAGTGACTTGATCACAACCTGTTGAAAACTTGATCCCCTATGTGTTACATGTGTTGTGTTGATTTGATTCAATTTATGTTAGTGACTGTTACGTAGTGGTCATGGCTTGTCATGGCTTGTCATGGCTCATGGCAACTCACCAAAGGCTCGAACCGCAACTATTGCAGAAACGGCACCTGACCTTCAGCGTTCCACCAGGGTCCGAGGCCGCAGTGTGTTGCAGTGCCATAGCAGTGCTTATGCAATGGCCCTTTCCAACCCATCGATGGCATCGGCCACAGAGCGCCAGGTGGGTGGTGTTTTGCTGTGGATGCGAACAGAGCTTTCGGAGGGCAACGCCCGGGCTCTCAGAGGGTAGCTCTGTTTAGCTGAATACCAGTCCCATCCGGTCCCAGTATCGTCCAACAAACAGTGAAGAGTGTGAACATTGCGCATTTCCCAAGATAGCATCACCCACGGATTGTCTTCCAATTGACCTGTTGGTTTTCCCAGCTCCAGAAAAGCTCAATTGATCATAATTGATCTCTGTTGTATATGTTTTGCATTGTTTTGCTGTAGACATGCTTACAAAATCACTTGTAGGAGAAATATCACATGAATTCCGTCAGGTCATTGACACACGTCGAGATTTCACCTCGTGGAACCAGTACTATATGCATTTAGAGCCGCAAGTTTGCCACGATGGTCACTTGGATACTGGGCTACATACGGTGCAGCTGCTGGAAAACAGGCGGTGAAAACAAAGAGACGATTGCGCAGCAACATCATCGAATTGCAATGCAGCTGGATTACAGATAAAAATGGAATTGCAGATCAGATAATGTGATACTAACATGATGCAAGATGATGCAAGTACAATCATTGTTTATTGCTTGACATGCTTGACGTTCCCAGTTTCATATTCCCATGCTGAGGATGTATCCATTGCGGTGGATGCACGTACGGAGGATGTGAAATATGAGCTGCAAGTTGGCTCTCGCAGCTTCCAGATGGGCACGGCGGTCGCTGGTTGTGCGGAAAATCGAGTCGCTATATCCCTGCCATCCAATTGTTTGAAGCTCGCTGGCTGTTGTATATAATGGTTATTTATGATATGTTAATATGTTATGATTATTGTTATCCCCTTTGCAACTACCCCTTAAGGTCAGGGAACATGTGCTGTCCAAAGCAATTTTCTCAGACACCATTTAAGCCTTGTCCTACATCTACACATTCACGCATATATGCGCTTTTACACATTTACACACACAGACAGATATTTGGCAAGGACTCATATGACGGATCATGTCCATTAGCTGATTAGCTTTCTTTCCGGCTCTGTTTCGGTTCACAGCAGGACGACGTGAGAGTTTGTTGAAGTTACGAAAGCAAACAATGTAAACAGCAACCAGACGAAATGAAATTTGCACATGCTCAGAGACAATGCCAAAAAGTCACCATGTTTCAGAAACGTCCAAGGCTTCGAATGATGCATAGCCACAATGTCAGGTTTTTTGACAGAAACCTTGACTTGACTTCACTCATGCAAATCCATCCGCATGTTTTTTCCCGAATCCCAACCGCCTTTTGTTTTCAATCGATGCAAGCTGCTTTTCGGGACATGACGTAGAGATGGAGCAGCCTGTCTTCGAGGGCCGACCTGGAAAGCTGCCTCATTGGGCGAGCAATCTGGAGGAAAATGTACCTTGCTCAAAACGAAACTTGCAACATCTTGCAACCTGCATTTTAAAAAACTGCACAGTTTCAATCCGGCTCTGATTCTTTGTCGAGTTTGAATTTACATTTTCGTTATGAGGTCGACAAGAAACTTTTAATCATCCTGCGCGATGGCCGAAAACTTATTGGCTGGCTGAGGACAAAGTGGGTGCAAGTGGGTGGGTGCATTCTTGCTGCTTTCATACGTGCCGCATTTCATCCCTCCCAGCTTTCTGAAGAAGATTCCATTGCTTGAGTCCCAGATGATCTCTGCTATTGAGCTATTGATTCTGTTTCCGTCCTGGCAACTTCATTTCTCGTTTCTCTGCATTTGTCGTCATGAAAGTAATTTATGAAAACCGTTTGAGCAGGACTTTTGATCAGTTTGCCAATTTGCTTGTGGAGCACGTCGTTGAGCGGCACATCATTTTCGAGGAGCCCCAGTGCAGTGCCCAAATTGTTGCTTGAAAATTGCAGCACCGGTTCCTCTGAAACCGCTTCATTGCTGATCCTTTGTGCTGCCCACATGGCTTTTCTTTGAGCGACCCCCGGTCCCGAGAGGTTCATTGCAAGACGAAAAATTAACGTATATGCCCAGTGGTACCGCACAAGTCGGTGGTGGAAGTTTCAAAGATAGGACATCATAGGAGAGGTGAGTTGTTGTGATGCATGGATGGCAGAGCGAATCCACTGATGGACCGAAAGGTGGTTGGAGTTGTGTTTTTGGAGTGGTTGCAATGGTTGCAGTGGTCACCTCACCCACAACTAATGGATGTAGTGTGGTGTAGTTGTAGTGTAGTGGAGTTGTAGTTGTAGTGTAGTGTAGTTGCAGTTGTAGTTGTGGTGTGGTGCAATGAGTGTAGTGTAACGTAATGTAGTGTAGTGTAGTGTAGTGTAGTGTGCTGTAGTGTAGCCTAGTGTACTGTAGTGTAAAGTAGTGTAATGTAGTTGTAGTTCTAGCTGTAGTTGTAGTTAGTGTAGCGTAGCGTAGTGTAGCGTAATTAGTGTAGTGTAGTGTAGTGTAATGTAGTTGTAGTTGTAGTTGTAGCTGTAGTGTAATTAGTGTGGTGTAGCGTAATTAGTGTAGTGTACTGTAATTAGTGTAGTGTAGTGTTGTGTAATGTAGTGCAGTGGTCGTAGTTGTAGTTGTAGCCCAGTGTAGTGTAGTGTAATAGTGTAATGTAATTAGTGTAGTGTAGCGTAGCGTAGTGCAGTTGTAGTTGTAACTGTAACTGTAGTAGTAGTTGTAACCGTAGCTGTAGTAGTTGTAGTTGTAGTTAAAGTTGTAGTGTAATTAGTGTAGTGTAATTAGTGTAGTGTAATTAGTGTAGTGTAATTACTGTAGTTTAGTGTGGTTGTGTGGTGTAGTGTAATTAGTGTACTGTACGGTAGTATATTTTTTGGTGGTAGTGCAGTGTAATTGCAGTTGCAGTTGCAGTTGTAGTTGTCTATCTATCTGTTTGTCTATCTACCTACCTACCTATTTGTCTATCTGCAAGTTTGGAAACGAAGCTATCCTGCGAGACTTTCTCGTCTTTTGAGCGTGACAGCATCAGAAGCGCAGCAATTCTGCGAGACTTCCTCAATTTTTGAACTTGACAACGTCAAAAAAGAAGCTATTCTGCGAGACTCCCTCAATTTTTCAAGTTGACAACATCAAAAACGAAGCAATTCTGAAATTCTGCGAGACTCCCTTCAAAAAGGGAAAGTTGAGTGCAGAGCTGACAGCCTCGTGCCAATGCGTTTTGCGACTTTTCCACTCCACCTGTCTCAAGTGCTGCGCCTGCCACGAAAAAGTGAGGCCAGGTCATACGAAGTGCTGCACCTGTCACGCAAAATCATCTGCCCAAAACTGAAGATCTGATGCTTCAAAATGTAACCCATCTCAGGAAATCAGCGCCCGGACCTCCTAACATCTCTGATGAACATGTCTCTTGTACTGCGCCTGGCACGGAAAAAGTATCTTTCCAGATCCTCTTCAAATGTCACATGCCTGCCATCGTTTTTGGAAATGCAACAAAATCCTCACGTTTTGCTCATTTTTGGAAAGGTGCAGAATCCCCTGCGCCCGCCACGCAAAAACGAATCTGAACCTTAAAAAGTAAAAAGTGATCCGAGCATGTGGTGTTCTTAGCATTTTGACTTGGAAACGCGCTTCGCGCCACAACGGCGTGCACTTTTTCGACATGTCAACTTCCAAAAATGTTCCGAACATGAGGTGTTTTGTGCATTTGACTTGGAAATGTGCTTCGCGCCACAACCGCGTACACTTTTTAGACATGTCAACTTCCAAAAGTGCTCCGAACATGAGGTGCTTTGTGCATTTTGACTTGTACGTGGGCTTCACGCCACAACGGCGTGCACTTTTTCGACATCTCAACTTCCAAAAGCGCTCCGAACATGAGGTGTTTTGTACATTTTGACTTCGAAATGTGCTTCGCGCCATAACAGCGTGCAACTTTTCATCTCTCATCTGGCCAGATGGCTCCGCACCCGCCGCTTGAGCGAGCCTACTTTTCGACCCTCCGGGGCCACGAATCATTGGAAAAACACAGTGATTCGCGACTTTTCTAGCTCTTCGCGCGCCTGCATCTTCTTTCTTCTGACTCTTTCTCGTCTGTGATCTTCTTTCTTCTGACTCTTTCTCGTCTGTGATCTTCTTTCTTCTGACTCTTTCTCGTCTGTGATCTTCTTTCTTCTTCTCTTCTCTTCTCTTCTCTTCTCGTCTCCTCTCTTCTCTTCTCTTCTCTTCTCTCCTCTTCTCTTCCCTTCTCTTCTCTTCTCTGATCTTCTCTGACTCACCCCACTGCTTTTTCATCTGCATGTCCATATTGTCAGAAGTTTGACTTCCAAATTTCCTTCGATGATGCCAATGCCAGTGGTGCCGGGCCGTTCCGGGGCGGAAGTTTTGACCGAGAGGAAGGCCATTTCTTCTCTGAGCCATCGTTTCTTTGAGTAATTTATTCTCTGAGCTATCAAAAACTGCGTTTCACTCACTTCGTCCTTTTCATCCAGCCGCTCTATGCAATGTTTCGCTCTTTTCCAAATTTCCTTTGGTGACCTTGCATAATGACTCATAATGTTTAACTTCGAGAGCAGGCAAGAGAGAAGAGGAGAGAAGGGGAGAGAAGGGGAGAGAAGGGGAGAGAAGGGGAGAGAAGGGGAGAGAAGAGGAGAGAAGAGGAGAGAAGAGGAGAGAAGAGGAGCAGAGGGGGCATGATAATTTCCAGAAGGAGAGGCCTGGCACAATATCTAGAATTATCTAGACACCCTCAATTGACAAGCGAAAAGAACATCATCGGATTTGTCTTACTTCATTTTGGGACCTTTGATCACGCACACTGTAGATACGTTCGCTGTTTGATTTGGTTTGCTAGGAAAAAGTCTATGCAGATATCTACCTTGGGACAATGTTGATCCGCGGAGAGAACGTGTGCCTCTTTGGTGAGGTGCCCGCCTTTGAACAATTTTGAAGTGGACAACGCAGAAGATTCGTTTTTCTCGTTCACCGAATCACAAATGTGAAGGGGATGCAGCAGGGATGTGCGCAAAACCAGTATTGTGTGAAACACTGAACCAAATCAGACGTTTATATTTCTTGTATTTGCCAATGTTTTGTAACATGACGTGACAATTTTCATTGGAAGATGATCTAACCATGAAGATGGAATCATGAAAATTGTTTCCCAGATTCTACGATGATATCTAGAGGGGGTTGCATCTCGCTACATGCAAAACTGTTTGTGTGCTGTTGTGATGTGCCGCCATGGGTGCCATGGGAGTGCCAACCGGAATATTCGGAATACTGAAAGTTGCAAAGAAGTTGGACTTCAATGTCACTAAGTGCCGCATTTCTCCTCTAGTTTCTGTCGGCCTTTTAAGAATCTTAGAGCGTTTAGAGCCACTGACTGGGAGGCTCTCAAATAAGTATTTTTGCAGTTTTTTTTCAGTTGGCTTTTCAACCTGTACTTCAGTTTCCTTTGAATCTTCAGTTTCACAGTTTCATCAGTTTTTTGTTTTTTATCGTTTTTTATCAGTTTTTTTTTTTGTCTTGGGCATCATTTTGGACCTCTTTTCAGGCCGCTTTTCGCCAGTTTCTGTAAATCTATCAAAAAATCGACACGTTGAAAAAACACCTAGTTTTTTTATCGGTTATTTATCTTTAAAAAAACATGTATTTCGTTTTTTTTTTTAAAGGTTCAGTTTTCTTTTCGTTTTTTGGTTTTCTTTTTGTTTTTTTGTCCGTTGAGGTTTGTAGATCGAACTGAAGAAAAAACAAATTGAAAACAAAACCGAAAAAAACTGAAACCAAACTGAAGATTGAACTGAAAAAAACTGACAAAATAAATCAACATTTCCAATCTCTGGCCAGCAAAGAATATCATAATGTTGGTCTCAAAACTTTCACTTTGCATTTTCAAACTTCATGAATATGTCTTTCTGAACTTGCTTGACCTTGCTATATGTTTTCATGGATATTCTCTATCCAAATTTATTGGGTAGCCTCAAACTCCTCAAATTTGCTCTAGGTTGCCATATATCAGGTGGACCCAGACCGACAAGATGGTTTGCGAGAGGTTGTGGCTTTGGAGGGTTTGCGGAGTTTCATTGCAGATTTACCAGTTGTAGCAGTTGTAAGACAATGCCCTAGGGCGAGTGTTTTGCAAGTGTTAGTAGTCAATTGTGTACTACGTACCATGCTTGCAGTTTCAAAACGTTTCAGGCGAATTTTACCAGATGCCTGCAAGTCTTTATATGTTCGAAAGGCTCCACTAGCCTATGTCCTGGCAAAGGAGGCTCAAAATGAGGCCGGACTCCAGCATTCCACAACTGTTTTTTTTCTGTGTTGCTTTGCTTTTTTGCTTTTGACGCCAGGCCTCCGATGGCAAGAAAGGAATGGACCTTTTCGCAGATGCTGCTCGACTTCAGTGGCAAAAGTCTGTATCGTTTGCGGCAAGAACTTTTTTTCGGAGGCCTTGATTTGGACAGTCCCTGGTAGGTCCATGTGTTGTTTGTGCTATGGAGGTCTCCTCGAAGCAGTAGGAAAAGCATGGAAAAACAAATCAGACGACATCGACTCGCCGTTTGAGCCAAGGCCGAGCCATGATGGAACAACTGTGCCCGTCATCAAAAAAGTCCTTGCTGCACTCAGAGTTTTCTATTCATAGCTCTGGAGGTTCTGTGGGTTTTGCATTGGAAAATTGGCTTTGACAAACAGGACTCAGCTCCTTTGGAACATTTTGGGACAAGCTTGTGGAACACGGATCCATCGGCAACTCGTTCTATGAAGAATTGCGTGATCCGTCAGCTGGCTTCAAGCAGCTTGTGACTTGCACAGCTTCAGGCTCATGAAATCACAGCCAGAGGGGCTGCACGTTTTGAACAATGAAGGATGAAAGCCTGCAGCATTAGGGACGTGGCTAACGCACAGGATAGCCATATTGTGTGCTCTTGTCAAGAACAGATTGCACTACTGACCAGAACACAAACTGACCATCGAGAACCGTACTGTTGTACAGTTTTGAACGGTTTGCACGTGCTTATGGTAGATGAGGTGCGGAGAGCATTGGTTCCTTTTCCAATTACATTAATCTAGTATAATCTAGTTATATATTATATGATATTTGTATATATTTGTATCATTTTGTATCGCTATATCAGGCTATATCATTGTATAATTATCTATCACGTTATCACGTGGCACCGTGCTTACGGGGTGATGCCAGGTCTTCGAGACCGTCGCCGCGATCACGACTGTGCGCTGTGTCGAAGTGTGTCGAAGCGTGTCGAGCTTTGGGAAATTTGCAGCTTTCAGAGAAGGTACAAGCACTGGCGTGGAAAGAGTAAGTTCTACTGTGCTGGCCGCTGCATCACGGGCGGAGAGGTGTGCTGTTAACGCAGTCGATCCAGCCCCCAAACAGATGCATAGTAATGGGGTATCCACGCAGCTTCTAGGCAGCGCAGGAATTATGTATGCACTTAGTGCATGCATTCAATTGACTTTTTCAAAGAATCTATATGAATAGAATCAAACATGTCGTCATGTCGTGAATCTTTTGCGGGAGTTGCTTCCAGGCTTGTTATGAGCGCCTCCTCTGCAGCATTCTACTTTATGCAAAAAAACGTTCTTCTTTGCCGTCAACAGCTTCTGATAAGTATATATAGTAATAAGTGATAAGGTGTGATACGTATTTCTTTCGGGATCTTTCCGGAACCTACAAAATAATGGCTGGCAATTTTAGCTTGACCAGTCTTTTTTGCTCCGCAGATTTTTCACTACAACTCAACCTCTGCTTTACTTGAGCACGTGAGCATCATAGCATATCATAGCATCACGGCAGGGCGAGTGCCCCATTGCGTGCTTGGGTGGTTTGAGCTGTGCGAGTTTAGCCACCTGGCCACTGGGAGGCACTCAGACCGTCGGACGACATCAGACGACACCGTCGGACCTGATCAAATTTTTGTGCTTCGAGTGCTTCGATCATCCGATGTTCTTAGCACAGCACACTGCAGTCGTTTTGATCAGCACCAAGGATTTGCATTCTCGTTCCAAGCGCCTTGCGCCTCCATGTTTGGGAAGCATAACATATCTTTTGAACGCTTTTGAAATGTCGTTGTTCTTGTCTTGTTTGCGTAGCTTTCCCTGCTAATGCTCTTTCAAGTTCAGGCCATAGAAAAATGCAGGCAATGTGCAGCATCAAACTTATCTGTTGCTTGTCTATCTCGGCCTGCTTCAGTCGAGGTACTTCGCGTTTGTCTTGCCACGTTTGCAGAGGCCCAGCGGCACAATGTCGAATCAATTGTTAAGATGATTGAATAATAACTTTGCAAATTTATCACATTTACGGTAACAATAGACAATGGTCAATAGTATGTTTTTGAACAGCTGAGGTACTCCTGCAGGGAACACCATGTGTGAACATCTACAACATACATATTATACATATAATATATGTACATAAGATATAATATTGTGAGGTGGCCACAAAATCCGCAACCATGGCAACAAAGGCAGAATGCCCCAGCTTTGCTGGTGCCCGCCTCGCTTGCGCTATTCGTGGCGACCGTCTCCCCAGCCTGTCTTTGTCCCAAGATCCAAGCTGCAGTGAGACTGCAGCTGCAGCGTGTTCAGAGTGCTGAGCAAAGAATGAAACCTGGCCATGCCTGTCAGACTAGGCTGATCTAGGTCACAAAAATTGGGCTTGTCCTACTTGTTTGAGTGCGCTAAATGTATTTTGCAGGATACTTGTGTCATTGCCTATACACAGATGTATCAGATGTACACAGGCAGCTTCAAAGACTTGACTGCTTGATCGACCAGCCATTGAAGAGCTGAATCGCCAGCAAAGAATGTTGACGAATCATGGTAAGTTGATCTATTTGGCTGATTTGCGTGCATAGCATGGAGTATCACGGAGGCATCATGAAGCATCGAAATTTGTGTATGTGACTGGTTGTGACTGGTTGTGACTGGTTGTGACTGTGCATGTCAGGTCTTTTTCCTACTGGCTACGTGCTGCAGCGATCCAGGCATCATTCCACCAAGGAAATTCGTGTTGGCAACAGGCGCGCAATCATATTATCACCCGTGACAACCAATGCGCAAAGAATCCTATTTTATGTTCATTTGGATGTCCCTTTTGCCAAGTAACTCTGGAAATTATTCTGTGCGGCGACGTATGTTTTTTTTCAGGAAGGCAGTTGAACAGAAACCTGAATCCTTGGGTTCCTTGGACGCGATCCATAGCGACCCTGTTGGAGCAACACACAGTGTGACACATATAGTGTGACACATAGTGACGCAACGCAACACAGTCGGCCCATGGCCCGCAGGCAACCGGGCTCAACTAGCCGAGCTTCTGGGCTACGATCTCCTTGGGCCAACTGGACGGGTGTGTCATGTGGGTGTCGTTTTTTTTTTCCATGTGCAAAACAGAAGGGACACGTTGGGATTTCTGGCAGACCTCTTAAGAACTCAAACATCTCAAACATCTCAAACATCTCAACGTTGGCATGTTTTGAAGGAGAACAGGCTTCAGGGTCAAAAATGGATGCCCCTTTGAAATGGTGGCGCATGTAGCATGTGGCCGTGCAGCGGCAAACTTGCTGTTGGAAGTTTCACCAGGAGAGGAACCTTGCGGAGACCCTTACATGGATGCTGCAAACATGGTCAGGGCCTTCCGGGACCTCATCTGTTAGGACATCGCAGGACTGAAGCGAAAGAGTGTTTGCACAGCATTCAATCCTCAATATTCCTCAGTCAAATTTTTAGCAGCATTGAAACACCACAGTCTTCCGCTACTCGCCCAGAACACACAGTACACAAACAGTTCGCAAACATGCTTCAGGTGCCAGAGGCACTTCGCGCAGAAGGATACCGTTGGTTCAGGGCTTGTGAATCAGGGATCAGGCGGTACATGAATCATTCAATGAGTTTAGGAACCGGTTGAAGTGTGTTGAAACACAGAAATGGAAGCCTGCTGGCACGGCTGGCAGCGCATCTCCATAGAAGATCATAAAAGGCCTAACCTGCGGATGGTGTCGCCTAGGTGTCACACCTGTCAGATCATTCGACCTCCACGCGCATCGCATTGCAAAGACTGTGACCATTGCGTGCCTTGATTTTGGAGACAAAATGAGACAAAGATGAAAGCGAATGAAAGTGGCTCAAAGTGCTTTGTCAACCTAAGTCGTGTACTTTAGGTTGCAAAAGAGTCACCCTGCAAAATAGAATTCCTTTTATTTCCTTTTCACGTTTGCAGAGCTATTTTGGAGGAATGCATAGGAATGCTGAGGTGCTGCGGTACGATCATCATTGCCCTTTCGTGAACAATTGCGTGGGCCAACGGAGCCTCGACGGCACTGGCGCTTTTTTTTTTTGCTTGAACGATGGAACTGCAGCTGGGAATTACAAAAACAATCGAAAACACCCTTGGCAAAGCGATTTGCTCAGGAACTATCACTTTTTCATCGGTTTCACGACCGTGGCCATTTTCCTGGCAATTATTGTTTTGCCAGCAATCCTGTGGACCTTCTCCGGCGAGGGCCGGGCACCACAGCCCCGAGTTTTCCACATTTACCGCATTTGCCTCTTCCTGATTAATTATCAATCTTATTCAATCTTCCACTCCCTCCCATAGAGCCCTTGATAGTCGATAGCATTGATAGCTCATTGTAACACATTGAAACCTTGTGGGCCTTGCTGCAAACTTCATTTACAATCTGTCATGTTCAACTCGAATCTGTATCCATTTGTCAAATTGAATTTGAGGTGAGAACGGTGAGAACAAAGAGGCTCACGGCTCATTTGGCTGGTATCGTGTGGTGGCCAGAAGCCCAGGCCCTGATCCCTTTAGAACCATGTGGCGCCATGCAGTCCACGTGTCTCATGTCCATCTCCTGGCATCATATGGCATCTCATGAATCTTATGGTTATGTGACTTATATGTGACATTATGTGACTTATGTGTGATTTATGTGCTTGCAGACCTCATGTGGTGACCCATGTCGTACGCTGGTTTCTTGCCCGAGACATTCTTGGTTTGAGGTGCTGCTCGGCTGCGTTGCAGTGGCAGTTGCGGCCCTGATGTTGGCATCGGCGCCCAGAACACTGAGAGTGGGAGCAGCCATGATTCGAATGAAACTGGGAGCCAAGGAATGGAAGAATGGCAAGCACAACATGGCACGTTGAAGTTGGTTGCATGATGTTGCATGAATCTTCTTTGTAATTATAACATATTGATTGCTAGTTATAGGGTGTTATGCGTTCAAGGCGTGGGTTAGCAGGTTAGCCCAAACGCAAGAGACCGAAGGCACGGAATCACAAGCCACTCTGGCGGCCCAGAGCTGACAACCCTTGAACACAATTCTCACCCACATCCCAGCAGAAAACCAGAACCATTCATATCCATTCACTATCCGCTGGACAAAATGCGAGGGGAGCGGAGAGAAACATCTTGAAACATCTTGAAACCCTTTTTTTTCGATCTGCGGAGATGTACCCCATAGTTGGCTCGCTTGGCCGGTTTCCTGACAAAGGTGAGAACTGTCGCAGAAGGTTATGCTCCAGGGGAGCTTCAAAATTGCCAGTCTCAAGACTTGAAAGGAGGACCTCCAAGTTGCTTCGGAGATTCTAATGCTAACTTTAAAATATTTTACAAGCAAGGAAACCAAGGTTGGGTTTACAGCAACTCTAGTCTAAGGTTTGGTTTTTTCCATCCATGTTGTGTGCCTGAATCATAAGCACCACGTTCCCCACACAGGCAGTGGCGTAGGTTGGGAGGTTGGGAGGTTGGGAGGTTGGGAGGTTGGGAGGTTGGGGCAATCCGCTTCGCAGCTCAGAGTCTCAGAGTGTTTCAGGTTCTGCTTTGGATCTACCATCTTTGGCTGGTCTTCAATGGCAAGACAACCAAGGCAAGAATCCTGCAACACACGGCACCGTATCCACCACACGGCACCGTATATGTATCCTGCAGTCGTTTCAGGGTGTGAAAAGATGTGGACTGGTGACTGGTTGACAACCGAGACGTTTTGAAACATCTTGTGTCAAGACAAATTAACAATTGTTCCGTACTGTTCCATACTGTTCCGTTTTGTTCCATCGTTGTTCCTGTTGTGTCAAATTGTGTCAGAGCTGGTAGGAGCACTGGAGACAGTTGGACCTCGACAGCGAGCCCACTTTGCTGGCACCTCGGGGCCCTCGGTTGTTGAGGCCTTTCGATTTAGCCCGGAAGCCCATGGAAGCCCGAAGCCGCATGAAGCCGCATGAAGCCGCATGAAGCCGCATTGGCAAGTCCAGATGGAGTGCGGAAAAGATTGGAAAAGGATTCTAATGGATTGAAATTGAAAAGTATGGCTAAGACTCAGAGGTTCTCAAGAGAGATTTGGTTCAGGTACTCAGAGGTTCCTGAAAACTGTTCGCTGTGCAGCTTGAGGTCGACGAAGATGCTCTGGCTTGAAATCTTTGGTTTTCTGGAGCAAAATTCAATAAGTTGGCTCAGCGGGGTCATGTTTTAGGCTCCTGGGTCTGTGGTTGTCCAGGAGGGTTTGCACAGCGTTGGAGAAGGCATTCACTCATTACGTTACAGTGCAACACTAAACACGTCAAAATGCTTGCATGACATTTGACAAAACAATGATGCCTCTGATTTAAAGCATCATATTTGTTTTATCCCGCTTCACCTTTACGTTCCCAAAGGATGTATAGCAATTGCCGAGTGAAGCCATCAATTGAAGTCATCTTCAAAGCTGGACTGTCCTCAGGGGAACAGGTGACTTCCCTCGCATAGGGTTGTTCACTGGCGTTTGAAACCTGCAGAGGAAAAAGAAGTGGCTCGCACTGGCTCGCACTATTCCATATTTGGCATCCTTGTGTTCGGGTTCATGGCCTAGTTGGTCTAGAAAAATGATGCTACTTGATACCAATCATCCTTTGAATAGAGAAGCTTTGCACATCTTGGCATGACCTTTGATGTTTTGGCTGCAGATCTGTGACAAAGCACAGTAGAGTTTCACCGGTAGTGGCCAAGCCATTGAGGTGTGTTGGAGGCGCATTAGTCATATTTCCAGAAGTTTTCTGCTTGTTTTTTTTTGATAAAGCTCCCCTCAAGCACACAGGCAGGGTGTAACGAGGTCTTTGACACCTTATTGATGCAAGTAATTCCGATGGTTTGCCGGCCCTGTGCGACTAATTTAAAGTTGAGAACAGATCACCCTCATGGAAGTGCGTGGAGGGTGAGGTCCTGACAGGAAGAGTCAGCACGAACAGTGGCAGGAACATTGTCAGCTGAAGGCTGCCACCACGCGCCAAAAGATGTCAAAAGATTTCAAAGTATCTCCATGCCCTGCCAGACCAATGATATGCACACGTGCCAAGATTAATTGCTGAATGGGCCAATTCATGCCAATCCTTATGGAGGTCACGCAACGCGTTATGTCCGTTATGTAATCATCGGAATCCACCCATGAAACAACATGCTATTGAGATCTATTGAGGCCCGTTGTATACATCAACCGATTGAAATTCGTCCCCATCAGAATATACAGTCCGGTTTCCATGGAGCACAGTCAGATCAGCCGACCAGACAATGACAGTGGACTTTTGCATTGTTTGAGTTGTGTCCAAGACATTCCAACATCTGAACATTGGAGGATTATTGGAGGCAATGGATGGCGAAGCTGCAGGTGGAAACGCTCTCAGTGGGCTGGTGGAAGGGTGGAGAATCAGCTGCATAAGTCATTCAACGAACTTAGGGGATCTTACAGGAACAAAATCTGAGGAGCTCTGAGGACATCTGAGGACAATGAGTTTGCTGCCTCAAGGAGGAACAACTTCGAAAGTACTTTTCAAACAATTGACTTACTGGAATTGGATTCAAGGTGCATACAGCATCTCGTGGGTGACATGTATAATTGATATTAACTAATAGAAGTTAATCAAATGTATACAATGATACAATATAATATAATACAACATAATATAATATAATTATACTACAATGTAATTCTGATAGTTAAATTATACAATAATATCATATAATGACTTTCGGAGTCTTTCGGACTCTTGCGTAGTGGGATTGCTCAGAGTGCAAGTGAAAGAGGTGGACTCCATGTCGACTCCAACGGGACCTGCCGGGGGAGGCGATGCTGATGGCACGCATCAACCTCCTGGATGGCCCGACTTCCTTCAAGCTGCTTGGAATGAAACATGAGAAACATATATATATATAATTATATATATATTATAATATATAAAGATATATATATAGAAACAATTCAAAACATCAGCTGCCAGAGATGACTTGTGAATATTTTTGACTTGTCAAAGCATTCCACAACGACGGGAACTTGCTGCATTTTGATACATTTCGCAATTCTTCACAACCTTCTTTGACCCTCTTGAACGCTCTCCAATAGATCCAGATGCCATTGGTGTTGGTTTCGTGGTAGCATACACCGTTCTGCGCGATCCGAATCTAAGGGATCAGAAGACATGGTCCAACGTGGTGGTTTGTTCGATGATGAGAGGTGCCTTGGGTGCTATGTGCAATGTGGCAAGACGGTGAAGATCATCTGAGATCACCTGGGATACGATGATTTGAGATGACTGAACACTACTGAACGACTATTTGAGATGACGTTTGTATCGTTTGTATCGTTTTTCAGAGTGAAGACTTGAAGACCAGCATCGGACAGCACCAGGTTGGCCTTCGACGTAGGAAGCGCAGTAGCCGAGCAGGCGATGGCATTTGTGTTTCACCCGAACAGATGAAAACGGATCTGACAGATTCTGACAGGCCCTACTAGTAACACCTCAGAAGATTGTTACTGAACCCCACCAAACTTTGGTCACCAAACAGTCCAACTTGGCTTCTAAGTGCCCTAGCCCGTTTCCACACACAAGTGAATGAAGAGGCCATGCTGATCACCATCCTTTCAAGAAGAACTGTAGTGCATAATTAAGATAGGAGAGACTGCAGCTTTGTAGGGAAAGATGAGCACTTAAAATGTTAAAAGGGGTGAGCCATTGAACAGCAAACAATCAATTCTAAGTTTCTGGCAAAGGTTGTCACCTTTGTTCGATTTCCACATCTTTACTTATAACGTTATTGAATGCCAACATATTCTAACTATTGTTTCTTTTGTCATCTGTCCCCCCGGCATAAGTGCAATTTTATTGTGTTTCATTGCGGTGGACAGGTCCGGTTGAATCATTGATGTGATCTTCACAGACTTGCAAAGACAAACACCACCGCTTGATTTTTTTCCGTGTCTAAATTCCATGTATCGGATGTTGTCGGACCGTTGTCGCATGTCGCCAAAGTCTAAAGTCGGCGTAGGTCATTGCGCAGCAAGCCGGGCATCCTCCTCGGAGCTGAGACAGTGGACATCGATGGCAGTTGGATGGTCAAAGCAGAGGTGGTGACGTATGCAATATCCATCAATATCTCCATAAGAATCATAAGACAGGAATTGACCCAATTTGACCCATTTGATTCAGACGGCAATTTGCACAGAAAGGCAAATGTATTAGAAATTCTGCCAAAGCACTGCTGATCTTACCGAAATTCTATTGAATTTTGCTGCGAGACCGAGGCGAGGTGACCTCCAAGATGGTAATGCCCTGGCACCAACTGGCGTCTTGACTCAAAAGTCGTTGCAATTCCGATCTTTGGCAGAAACGTTTTAAAACGTTGCAGGGAAGCAAATCGAAACATCATGGAACATGATGACACATGAAACTAGAGCAGCAAGCAGAAATGAATCATCGAAATGGCTGGACTAACAGATCTTTATGTTTCTCGCACCTCATGGTTCTGTGTCATCCACTAGGAATTGCTCGGCCGGAAACGCCTTTAATGGTCATGAGCTCAGGGTTTGGAAGCCGCACGTTTCTCCACGCTGATGAATACTCTAGCTTTCATGGCGTTCCAGCTTTCATTCTGGCTCGAACATGCTTCAATCTCATGTAGGTCTCTCTCTCTCTCTCTCTGTCTCTGACTTCTGACGAACCCTTGTATTGACTAATTTATAGATGTATACACATTGTATAGATGTGTCATAGAGTCATAGATAGTCATAGTACCTTATAATGTTTCCTGTTTGATCCACCTGGTGGTCACATGCAGCAACACGAGTCTCTCGTTGACAGTTACGAATCGACTCGAGGCTTATGTGGACAGAGCGTCCTTCCCAGGTTTCCTGGATGAGACCGAGTTCAAATGTGCCCTGGGGCGGCTGGGGCGGAGTGACTGATCAGTGCGGCTGTACAGGGTTTGTGATGGTTTTTGGTGTTTTTGCATGTACTTGTTGGATCCAGAAAAACAAACCAAGCTGTACAAGAGTTGCCTTTTCTCAGCTTTGGTCACACTGATTGGCCGTTTTGGAGTGCCATTTGCAGTTCCAAGCTGAACGACCTTGAACTCTGCAGCAACATATTGGAGAGAAATTCAAGACATGAGAGACTATGAACGTCTATGGACATGAGACATGGGGAAAAATGATGGGTCGGAATCCACGGAATCCAAGGCATCATCAATCTCTCCACGGTTTTAATTCCACGTCAGAGAGCATCAGCTATCAGCTGGCTGTCTCTATCAGCTGTACGTCATTCCAAGTCATGGGAGATGGGCACATTGAGCTGACGCGCGAGTTGCGCGAACCTGCTTCTCCGGCCCTGTCGCACCCAGAGCAACAAAGATGTTGTGGCCGACGTGTCTTGCTGTTTTTCGTGATTTTACATAGCTGCACGTTACTCTCAGAGATCTTGGCCATTCTGAACTTCCTGATCTTTGCTAACTATTCGATGATGTGTGCCATGACTGTGCCATTGCTACTCTCTGGTATGGTTTGTGGCCATGTTGCGTGGAGAGCAGAACTAACACATTTGGATTGCTCCTTCCTTCCGTTGAAAACGCAGACATGGTATTGGAAGGCTCTTCTGTGGATGCCACTGGGTCTATTTCAAGGAGTCATTGTTTTGTTGGCCTGGGATGATTATTTGGAGCAGTCCACCTACGACGAATCTGAGTTTTTTGAAGCTCCTCCAGCTCCTGCCCCGGCAGACACCGGAGAGGGGCTGAGAAGAAGGGACAGCAACAGAAGCGAAGCTGGGAATGACTGGAATCGTTTTCATTGCAAGGCAAGGTGTTACAACTGTTACAAGTGTTACCTGATTTCCATTGATTTCCATGATTATAGCAAGTGTTTTAAGATTTTGAACCTTACTCGAATCCTCTGAAGCAAGAATTGCATGCGCTTCAAGACATAGATTGAATATCGTGGAATTGAATAATGAAAAATCACTATGTTTCACCACTATGCATGGTTACAAATACATTAATTATATGTATATATATATATGTTATGTTATGTGATGTGATGTTATGTTATGTACTGTAATGTAACGTAACGTAATGTAATGTATGTATGTAATTGTGCAATGTATGTAATGTAAATGTAAATGTAAATGTACATGTAAATGTAAATGTATACATGTAAATGTAAATGTAAATGTAATGTCATGTGATGTGATGTGATATGATATGATATGATGTAATGTATGTATGTAATGTAATGTTATGCAATGTAATGTCATGTAATGTAATGTTGTGTAATGTTATGTAATGTAACGTAATGTAATGTAATGTATGTGATTGAAGATACACAATAGATAAATAATATAATATATATATATGTGATAGATACAGTAAATAAACGCAATCAATATGTAAATCAACAGATGAACAAACAATCGAATATATATATATATATGTGAACGGAATAATAAAAGGATTAAAACACAAACCAATATGTGTATATACATTCAATAATAATTAATATATATATATATACACTATACATATATATATATATATACATAAATAGATAGTTGTGATTGTAGTGCTGAATGTTTGCTTTCAATCAGCGCATGACTCCCCTTTGTTGGACCGGGATGTCTGCTGGGAGTCGCCGTGACACGCCGTGACACGCCGTCACAGGCAGTTTGTGCTCTTTGTGAAGGTTTACCAGCCATCACTGTGATCACCTGTGCTTGGTGCAGTCTGGATTCTCCAGGCCTAGAGACACCCTTAAGTATAAGGAACATCGCTGGCAAAAAACAATGCAAACTGCGTTCATTATATATAATGTGTATATAATATATACACGTATATTACTGTATATATATACATCAATAGAACACAATTGATCTCAATTGTTTGATATTGTTCATCACATGTTTTTCTGTTCTTTTAGATTCTTCTTGTTTTTTTTTATTGTTTTCAAACTAACCTTTTTAAGTCGTGGTGGCCGATGGTTGTTACGTTGATCCCCTGAGGCGATCCATTTACGACTTTTTTGTCGGCTGAGAAGTTTTTGTTGCGAATTTTGGGTTTCGTCCTTTTTCTTTCAACGGGCTTCGGAATTGTGGAGCTGGACTTCTGCTGCTCTGGCAAGCTTGCTAAGAAAATGCAGGAGTCCGTCGGATACGAAATCATACACCTCCTTTTCAGGGTCAGTGAAGTGCTGAGCAGAACTGTCATGCATGTGATGTTCGTGCTTTGGATGAAATTGCAGAAACCGTTTATTTATTATTGTAGATTTATGTAGTGCTCCAGAAAGGCTAGATATATCTGTGGCAGGTAGAGATTCACACCTTTGCTAGATATATATTGGTTGCCCCTTTTGACTCGACGAACGTTGGCATGGACGACACAGATGCTGTTTGGAGTGTCGCCTCGTCGTAGCCGATTGTAGCCTGAAAATGAGGTACACAACAGATGTTACATCAGCTGAGGTAATCACTACAAGACGACTTTGCTGGTTCTGGTGGTGTCCGTCTGCATCAAATTTCATTTTGTCCTTCTCGCTGCTCTTTTGGTACGGAGGCGATGAGAAACGTTTTCTGGTGCGACTCCTCTGCAGTGTGCCTTGCACCTGGGTGACTCTGACAGAATTTGTGCCATAACGCAACTGCCAATCGAATCCAATCGATGAAGAAACCAAACCCTAACTTTATCCAACTTTATCCAACTTTATCCCTTTGCAAGTCGGAACTTTCAAGCATTAACAAAAAGCTGGGTGATATATGGTGATATCACATATTTCAGAGGTTTTTTTCCCAGACTGTTGACCAGGGCTTGTACCCAGTGTAATCTTCTGGCCACCCGTGTTGACCTGTGTTGAGCCGTGAGCCGGTGATGAGGTGAATGTGTTCTTTTTTGTGGATTCACCATACAAGCGCAAGGCTGCCCGACGAATTTCAAGGTGGTTGGAGCTAAGATTTCTACTGGAAGTGGTTGCCATGCCATTGCTGGTCTGTTGGGCAGTGGCAGATGCTGATGCGTGGGATGCCCTTAAGATGCAGATTACGAATCACCGTATCATCTTGGTGAGTATGCTGGTGTGTCTCATGATCTATTTTAGTCTCTGGCTCTTCATGCAGTTTCAGGTCATCCGCCAGATCGATCAGATTGACATCTTCACAGCCAGCGAGCGTGGAGATTTGCTTCGAGTGAAGCAAGCCATGGAACAGCTGGTGGCTGAGGTCAGAGAGATGACGTGTAGCGCCTCAGCAGAGATCGATTTGAACAAACCCGACGTGGATGGCAACACTCTGCTGATGTTGGCCGCCAGACAGGGCCATGCTGAGGTCCGGAAGTCGGGAACGGGAACTGAAATAGGGCCAACAGGATCATATAGGATCCATACGGTATGGCCAACAATGGTGGGAGGTCCTGCCCTGAAATGACATGGGGCTAATGGCTAATCGACATCGGCCAATGTGTGTTGTTCTTGTTGTTCGGGTATGGCGGGCATGAAGCACAACCATTCCACAATCATCCGCTTTGCAATATGTTGCAATCAAAAATCAGATGTTTTCTGAGTTGATTGTTTGATACGTTTGATTGATTTGAAGCATATTTGAAGCATATTTGAAGCATATTTGAAGCATATTTGAAGCATGTTGAAACACAGCGGAGGTTTGCGATTTCCTAGTGAAGCAAGGGGCCTTCATTGCCATCGTACAGAAGGGTCAGAAAACATGGCGGAACTGGAGCAAAGCTACATGGCGAGATTGGACTGCGTTGCACATGGCTGCGAGGCACAACAAGGAACAGGTGCCCCGGCGGAGCCGCAGGGACCTTAAAGGACCGCAGAATTCTTGCGGGATCTTGCGGGCAGCTTGTTTTATTATTTTTATTCAGGAACATCAACAGTTTAAAGACTTTTAAAGTCCATAGATGTCATAAGCTAAATAAGCTACGTGTAGTTCAATTCTACCATTTCTACCCAAGCAAACTTGGACCATCTTGGACCTTGGATTTTGTTGTCTGAATCTCCAGCCACTCCAGCCTTCGCTTAGGTGATAGGAGTGCTTATCGACAATGGTGCATTGAAAGAAAATCAACACTTTGTGGATGCGACGGGACAGACCCCGCTGCACATTGCAATCGCTGCCAACCAAGTCCAAGCTGCTGAAGTTCTGGTGCTGAAGTGCCCAGCTTGGATTTCAGCCCAGGACGGTACGATGGGATTCAGCATGATTCAGCGCTTACTTGTACAATTGAGACCTATTGACTTGAGACACCGTCCAGAATTGGAAAACTGCCTTGTTTTGATACAACATGTTCAAGGCATCTAAAAGCACTTTATGTGAGTGGAAAGAATAATTAGTGCATTTGGAGCCAATGTATTTATTTGGGGAATTCATCCAAATCGATCCAAATCGATCAAGTATTTGCAGTATTTTGCAGTGCCCAGCTGACATATGCAGGACAAGAGAGGAAGAACGCCTATGCATTTGGCACGCAGTGAAAGGTTGAAGGCGATTCTCAGTGCACCGCGGACAGAAGAGGCGGGAATTCCTTCCACCAATTCTTCTCAAAGTTGTCCCAGGCTCTACAGCCGTCACTTGGCCAAAATGATGCCGTCAATTGCCATCACTTCTTTTCCTGGAACGATTTTACGATTTAGTTTGATATAGATTGATGATGATTGATGGTAGATTGTTGCTTTATATTGGTCGTGCGGAAGAATATGCAGTACAACAAACATGTTGAACAATGTTGAACAAACATGTTGAACAAAGTTGCGGGCAACACGTTGTGGATTGAGGTAGGCTGTCTTTCATGGTGGGTGACTGGCATGCGATACCATTGCGCATCTCACGGAAACGTGTGCAGTTGGAAGCACTTGGACTCAGCTCTTACGTCGCTGCCAGCTGTGGTGGAGCACTGGGTCGACTTTGTCTCACAGAAGTTGCTGAAGGTCCAATTACCAATGCCGAGGAAGACTTGGCATTTCGCTTGGAGGATTTGGAATACATCAACGACCGAGCTCAACGCTGTCAGTCCTTTACTGATGCATTGATTGGAGAAGGTGCAGGAGGTCGTGTCTATCGCGCTCGCCATCGTCTCCAGTCATCTGAGTCATCTCCATACTATGCGGTGAAGATCTTTAGAACCAAGGGAAACACAGTGGGACGTGCACCACCTGAGGTGGCTCGAGAATGCGAAGTTGGCACCTGTGTGCGTCAAACTCCTCACCCTTGCATTGTTAGACTCTTCAGTATATTTTTTGATGAAACTTCAGGTTGGATTTGCCCAAACAGATTAGCGCATGTTTATCCTGTTTGCAGAACATAATGTGGTTAATTACATTAGGTTTATCCATTTTCATTCATGGAGTGAATCTTGAATAATGTTTGCATGGGCGTTGCTCCCGTGAGGATTGTATACTTTGGTCATGGAATTCTGTCCAAGCAACCTCTTCCAACAAGTGTTGTACGCCAAAGAGCGTGCCATGATCGGCCAACATGGCTACTTCGGCTATCAGCCACCTCCGCAGACACTGGATTGGCTTGGGCAGATCTTCCTGGGACTGGAGCATATGCATCATCGATTGAATGTCCTTTTTAGAGAGACTTAGCCAAAGCTTAGCCAAAAGAGTTTCAAAGAGTTTGGTAGACATGCAATATGTTTTAATATCATTTTATATCCAACTTTCATGGTTTGCTCAATTGGTGGATTGATGTCGAGATATTTCGCTTGATTCCCAGTGACTCGCTGGTAGAGAAATACCTGGAACCCTAAGGATTCCTTGTTTTGTTGTTGGGAATTGGTAATATATGATTATATATTAATATATATTAATATATTAATTATAATATGATATCTATCTATCTATATATATATACATATATATACAATGTAACACCAGGTTGATGGCCTTTATGTGATGGTCCAAGAGCACTCGAGTTGAGGATTTGAAACCTGACAACGTTGTCATTGACTCGACTCTTTGTGCCAAATTGGCAGACTTCGGTTCCGGACGCTTTGGAGCGTCCACCACGGGAGCATTTTCCTTTGGACATCCACCTGGCACTGTGGGGTATTGCGCACCTGAAGTGCTACAAAGATATGCACATGACGAAAGCGCAGATCTCTATTCGTTCGGAGTTGTGACATGGTTGGTCTTCACCGGAGGCATGCAGAACACCGGTCCTCCCATTTCGCAACAACCCGAGTTTTCCTCTCACTTTTACGATTGGGCGCAGCTACATCAATGCGTGACAGATAATTTCCCTCCTTTTCGAGGAATGGAAGGAGCAGCTGATCCCATCCTCCAAGCACGACAGGCTGGGCAGTTCACATGGTCGTTGTTGCAGGGACCCCGTGAGCGAATGAAGCATCGGGGTATTCGTGCTCATCCCTTGCTGGCGCCTTTGCAACTGCCGAGCTTTGCTGATGGACCAGAACAGGTGAGGAGACCCAGAATGATCAGAATGAGCCGATCACAGTCATGGTATGTCATGGTCTTTTCACATGAGATCTCATTTCCATTCATTTCCTACACCCCCAAGACCCACCCTTTTCATATACTTTCTGGTATTTGCAGATATTTGCAGTACTTTTACTACTTTTGATGAGTTTTGAGGTTTAGATTTGAGAGTCTGAGAGTCTGAGAAAATAATCTACCACAACAAAAATACCAGAATAATCCAGAGGTCATCCAGAGGTCTTGGGGGGAAAAGGGGTCCAGCCGAGGGAATTCGGAATTGTAGTAATTGTCATTATTGTTGTTGTGGTTGTGGTTTGGGTGTTGGTTTTGTGTTTCCATGTTTTTCAGTTTTTCATGTTTTTTGTGTTTTCGGTTGTTTGTTTTTAAATGTTCAGGGCCCTCTCGACTGGAAATTATGTAGATGAGACTCAGGTGCAGCTGTATTTGATGCGTCAAGTGAAATTATATTTTTGTATGAATATATGGCACAGCCATTGGAATTATTACAGTGGTCACAAATGGATAAGTTGCATTTCCCATAAAACCGTGGGTCTGGGGAGTGTCACATACTTATACATATTTAGTATTTAACATGGTAGTTATATACAATGTTATACAGATAGGAAGTGAGCAGATCAGCAGATCTGAGGTGGAACGTTGGCTGCAACGCCGCTTGGAGCTCCGTAAGGGCGACACGGGGCGGCCACGTTTCTCCACAGCTCCAACGGAGCAGCGACCCGCCAGCAGCGACGGCAGCGAGATCGCAGTGTCTTGGAGCGGGTAGAAAAGATGAAAGGCAACGCTCTCGTGCTGTGCAGCTGAAGATGGTTGAAACTGCAAGATTTGTTCGAACAATATCAGAATGAACATGGAAAAACTATGGGAAAATCAAGGAACCACATGGATTTTCACATATTTTAACCACTTGGATGTGTTTTTCGCAACGCTGTGGAGGTGGGCAATCGCCAAGACGCTTGGATCGGCCTGAGGCCGAAATCTGTGACACATACCAGGCTGCACAGAGATGCAATGGACATCGATGGACATCGATGGACATCACATCAATCATTGCGCTTGGAGTTTTACAATGCATATTACACATAATATAATATAATATAATATAATATAATATACATATTGATCATATTGCGGCATCTTGTCATCTCGCTGTGAACTTGTGTTCGCCAGGCCCATCTTGGAGTGGCAGATCAAAGCCCACTAAGCCCAGGTGCTGCGAACAACGGGAAGAAAGAATGGAAAACAGTGGGCATCGAGTGACTTCGTGTTGAAACACGAAGGGAGATTAGAATCATTTACCCAGTTGATGTTAACTGTTTGATCAAAAGTGATTAATGATCCAAAAGAGGTTGAATGCACAGACAGCATCAGAATGCATCAGATAACATTGAAAATCACGATGTGTCGATGTTGGCCATGCTATGCAACTAGCCCAGAGTCAGAGGCGGACTCGACATGATGTCCATGACACACTCAATCTTCGGATGGAACACAGCTGTGTCAGGTGCAGTTAAGCTGACGCCACGGAACATGGATTGGGAGGCGCAATCCTAATTGTTGGAGCACCCCAGCAGATAAAACCCCTCGGGTTTTGCTGGCATGCCAATTGCCGAGGCGCAAGTAGCTACATAGGTTCACGTTCCCAAGACCGAGGAAATGAACACTGTTGTTTTCTGTGCGTTTGAGATTGTTTGAGCAGCATAGAATGAAAGGTGCAATTCCCGCCTTCCAGTGACTCATTTGAGGCCCAAATAGGATTCGACAGATCCTGGAAGATTTGGGGAAACATCTACAGGATTTGGAGCAATGAAAGACCACAGTTTTTCGTGTGTCTTCCGGGCTTTTGAAGGCGCAACCTTCAGAGCCAAGCTCGCCTGTGGTGGCCACCTTCATTCCGACATCTGTCACAGCTCCTTGGCGAAATGCCAACAAAAGAAACCCACACATTTATAATATTCAAAATAGTTTGCAATATAATGCAATATATTAATAGGTTGAGAATCGTTGAGAATCAAAATCTATTTTACCAGAGATAAAAGCATAAAAAAGCATTAAAAGATATTAAGAGCCAGGATCGGATCATTGTAGGGAAATCTGCAGGAGGCTTTTCTGCTCTGGGCTTCAGGCAGCGGCTGCCCGACTGCCCATTGCTTCCAGATTTCGCGAAGAGGATTGGGAGGTGTGAGCCATGGCTGCATGCCACAGCATGGAGAAACACTCTGTTGATGTTTTCATTTTCATATTTTTCATTGTCTGCTTTCATAAAAAAATCATATGTTTTCATTCCATTTCATTCGAATATTCCCACCTTGTCACATCGACAAACGCTACACCGCTACACTTTCGTGCTCTGGAAGGCGGATCTGTTGGCCTGGAAGAAACGCTACGGCTGTGAGGTTGGGAACCCATGGAACCCATGGAAGCTCCGATCTCCATGGCTTGCTACGGTTGCTACGGTTGCTACGGTTGCTACACTGAGTTACTGTTTGGTCACGTTCTTGGTGGATGTTTGAACTATTTCATCACCTGTTAGCAAGCGCGACCATGTTTGTGGCAAGAAATCGGTGCAAACAGTGCAGACCATGTTTTGGGAATCAGATTCAGGCAAAATTGATTGATTACTTTGTGATGTGTTCTTTGTTTGTGTTTGTTTGTGTTTGTTTTATTCAAGTTGTTTGACTTTGACGTTCATTGTGGTAGCATTTTGACACCCTTGCCACGTGCCAGGCTGCAGAGCTGTCTGAGGAATTGAGGACGGGAGATCCAAGGATTCCAGGGGAGCTACAGCCACAACTACACATAACCTACACAAACCTACACCATCATCAACCCGTATCAACTCATTCAACTCTCCACCGTCATCACCATCATTCATTACCATCAGTTTCTGCCTGAGATCCTGCAAGTGCCAGAGTCGATGCCAAGAGGTAAACCAACGGAGGTAAAATTTGTGCCACAGCGAGATCCCTGATCTGACCGATAGAAATCACAAGAAACACGGACGAATCGACGAATCGTATTGAAATGTTTTCTATACCGTCTATACCTTGAGCCTGCCGGGAAACTTCATGTTTTTGCCTGAAGCAGGTTGCCACTACTGTAAAAAGGGCATTATTCCACTGCAAAGAAATTGAGTCATCGTGTGCATTCCAAGAGTTACAAGCAGTCATCTCATCTCCCACAATCCTAGATATTCCATGATATTCCTAGATTGTAATATCACCAAGCAGCTAGAAAAGTGGATGACGTACCGTGAAATCGTGAAACGAGTCTTTCATGCATCACTGAGGCCTGCGGTTGCAGAGGTGCGGTGTTGATAGTATGGTGCTTGTGACTGCTATAACGGACCTGGTCAGTGAATACAAGAATATAATAGAATATACAGGAATCCAATCATGAGATTCTGCATCGTGAAACTTCTGTCTGAACGCTGCAGCATATCACTTGATGTGATTTTGAAGGCAACGTTCAACACAGTTGGAACGTGTTGGAACTTGGAACTGCCGTCATTCGCGACAGGCGTCAGCAGCGTCAACTGTTCCTGCGCTGTCGACTCCTTCGATTCCTTCGGTTCCTTCGGTTCCCACAGCTCCAGCAACTCCGCCGAGCTATGCCGCAGCATTTGTGTGTCATGCAGCACCTGCAGCACCTGCAGCACCTGCAGCACCTGCAGCATCTTCCTTAGCTGCTCCAGGGTCGCAGGAGCGAATCCATGCAGCTGAGAACTTGGATAACTTGGTTAGTTTGAATCATATTTGAATCAAATTGATGTTTCAAAATGACCCGTAAGATGTCCAGCAAAAGAAAGACCTCATCACTCTGCAGCTGTTTTGGAACAGATGTCTCATGGACCCAACATGACCCAACATGACCCAACATGACCCAACAAGACAAGCCAGTCTCCAAAATCAAAGAGTTGACATTCGAACGTGCCTTTTCAAACGAACGCACTCACGGATGTGTTGGTTTGATACTTATGCCTATGCATCCCCAAGTACTTGGTCAAATCGGCCAATTTTGGTCACACACACTGGACAGGACATGCGACAGGATGTGGACAGCGTGGTCCCCGATTTCTCCGCGGAGGCGCCGTGTCTGGTGTCGTTGTCGCCGTCCCTTGACCATCCGCAGTCTGGTGCTGGCAGGCGCAAACGCCACCTGCAGCACCTGCACCACCAGCTGAGGCCTTGACTCCACTGAAATTCCACGAGTAACAAGATGATCAAGATGTAACAAGATGCAGATCTCTGTAGCCTACACCGCACTGCTGGGTCACGCCACAACACCCCAGGTACCCAAACATGTTGGCCTCAACAGTGTGGTCGGTCCTGAGCAGGCGAGGATTGAGATGAGTGTTGACACATGTTGACACACTCGTTGGTTGACACACTCGTTGGTTATTTTATGTTATTTTGACATGACCATGTTGTGCAAGGTTCCCCCTGGCCGTCCTGAACGGCCTCCGAGCCGAAAAGACCGCGCGTGCGGAACTTGGGGATTTGATGACCACATTTATCATCATCTAAATACATTCTTGTGAGATATATATATAATTATATATATATATAAATATTAACATTATACTATGCACATAATGCAACAGACACAATGTTATTCTGTGTGAGTATTTGGAGAGAGATTCACAATGATTCAGATCTGTGCACAGTGGAATCCAAGAATCTGCTGTTACACTCCTTACATTTCCATGTAAAAAAAACATTTCCTCTTACTATCCGATACTATCCTCATCTATCTTCGATGTGCCTATGTTTGAGGCAAGCCATTGTGGTGGCCAAACCCCAGGAACCCAAAGTCGAGGCGGCTGCGGCGGATGTGGCAGGGACCATCGAGTTTCATTGGACCTTCGCAAGGCCTTGCCAGACGCCGGGCAGAAGCCCGCTTCCTACACCAAAGAGGACTGTCCTTCGCCATCCATGTTCCTTATCTTTGAAGCACTTTTGAACAGGTTAAGCCGTTCCATTGCTTTGGTCTCTCTCTTAAAAACACATCGATCCGGAGGATTTGGAGATCGCAACACAGACAGCCCGTAGCCGTCATCTCAAAATGATCAGAGATGTGAAGTTTGATGACATATTTTTGATTATTTTTATATATTTTTCTTATTTGTTCTTGCTGTCCACTATGTCTACGTATACTTACATCCGAGTGAACTACACATGGCTGTGGGAAAACATGGCAGATACGTCGCAGTTTATATTTATTTCACATCACGCTGGTTGCACTGAGGCAAAGCTGCAGGCGAAGACGGATGGAAGAGCGACTTCCAAGAGGCTTACGCTTCAGCAGATCGTTGCCATGTCTGAACATATCTAAACGAAAACCCTGAAAAGAAAACTACTGGTACATTCAGCTACATGGCAGAACTCTCCATTGAAATCAGTCTCACTGGGCTGAATTTATTTTTGAGTCCTTGACGAGACAAGTGCGAACGGCATTTTATTTCAGGAGTTTGCAAGGCAGAAACTCCTCACGAGTGATTTGCTATGATTTGCTCGTATGTGCTCTATCTCCTTGTTTTGCTTCCCCTGAGAGTTCCTGTTGAGGCAGCCCTGGGTCTGCGTGACTTTTTCCAAGATTTGAGGACCGCCGTTGCACCCAAGGAACCACGGCAAGATACGGCAAGCATAGCAACACATAGCAACCGTTGCAGACCGTTGCAGACCGTTGCAGACCGTTGCAGACCGTTGCAGATCACAGCCATTTCTTTGTCATGGCATGAGAGGAAGAGCAGACATCGAGAGAAAGGCCGACAAGCCACTGGGCCACTGTGGCTTCATCTTGCGGCACAGGCGGCGCGATGCGATAAGCTATGACGAAAGTGTCATGAATTCTTCGATTCTCGTACCATTTAATGTCCGCAAGTGCTCTCTTGTCTGAACTTGATGGTTGATGCTTATTTTTACTTTATTTCCTGTTTGATTATTCTGTTTGCTGGTTTACGGATGTTTTCCATTCTTTTCCAATATTTATTCTTCGGTCTGTTCGTTGCTCAGCTTGAGATCGCTGTGCTGTGCAGGCGAAAAACCTGGCAGATCAGTTTAACCTGGACCAGCTCCTAGAGGCCAAATGTTTCACCGGGACACGGCTGTGGTACACGGCCACTGCCACGGGAGATGGCTGTGGTATGTTGTGGTGCTGGATCTGTCCTGTGGGACATCGATGACTTCAGGATGACGAAGCAGATGTTCTGTTTGAAAAGCTTGAAATCATATCAATCATATCATTAATTATATCCATAGATTCAAAACGCCCCAAATATATCCAAATATCCCAAAGATGTTTCTCGTTTCTAGTTGACATGGCATAGATCGTTCAGATCATGTCAGATCCTTGGGTTTTTCCGTGGAATTTTGGAGCGCAGGTCTTGAAACTCTTCTGCTCGGTCCGATACGAGGACTACGAGCTCTACATGCGATTGTTGGGCGAGGCCGGCGCCATGAGAGTACTGATGTTGGAGAAAAGGATGAAGGATAGAAAGAGAGAAAGAGAATAGAAAGAGGCATTCATAGTGTATGATGATAGTGTATGAGTGTGTGTGTGTGTCACAGATGTATAATTACAGATGTCCGATGTCAGTATTGTCCCAAGCATGTGCCAACCTCTTTGCTACAAGATCTACAAGAGCTACTGTAGGGATACAAAGAAACAACCCAAGTGATGACCGATAAGATTAATTCTCAAGCCGAAAGGAAAGGGAGAACTGCAGATGTCCCCCAAGTGCAGCAAGTGCAAACTCAGACTCATCTGCCAGGTGCCACACTATGTCAAGAAGGCCTACCCAATGGCTTTCTCTGCGTGCCCAGAACCTTTTGCTTCCACCCTGATTTGAATCTTGCAAAGTGTTGCCCAGTGTCATGCTCCACAGGCTTCCTGGGTCATTCAATGGTCGTCTTATGTCGTCTTATGGGCATTGGATGGTCATTCGATGGTCATTGGCTCTGCATTTTCTGTCCAGGCGACCACTGAGCAGCTCTGCCAGCTGGCGCGCTTGCTGGCACGGCGACGCCTTCGGGAGCGCAACTACGCCTTTCGGCAGTACTTGCACAGTGACGTACACGCCGATGTCGAACGTTTTGTTCTGTTTTGTTCATCTTCATATTGCAAGGAAGAAATTGACAGGCAGGATTCGGAGTAATTACATCCTAGGTCCTAGGTGTTGAAGTCTTGGGTTTTTGAAGATTCCCCTATGATATTCTCTGCTACAAATGCCACACAACTACATAGAGCCAGGACCAGGGAGAACGGGAGCAGCTTACCATCTGAGGTAGACATGGTCGTGGCCCACCTGCTTCATAAAGTGCGCGTGTCTGAAGAAGGACTCACTGTAAGGCACGAGAAGCATGTCCGTTCATGAAGATTGTGGACAATTGTGGAATAATACAATGAATATTATACCGCAAAGCTTCTTGAATATATTATAATATATTACTACGTAGAATAAATTGAATAAATCACCGAACTAGGACTATCTCTGCCTGAAGTAAGGACACCCTCTTTGCTAATATGGTTTTCAATCCAAAGCTGTACGTGAATTGCACAATCTTTGCACAAGACGTGGTGAATAGATTGATGATCGAACTGCTTGGAAACTTGGCGGCCTGCGCTGCGAGAATCTACCAGACACATCTCAGCAAGCTTTGCCACAGGCTTCTGGTGAAGACAGCAAATGCATTAGCAGCATTAGAGCTGGGGCGCTCAGAATTTCTCTCTGAGGTTTGAGCAAAACAGGTTTCGAGCATGTTAAACCCCCGCACCTTCAAACTTTTTCTTGGCCTTGGCAATACATATGCTGTAACATGTAAATCTTATTTTTGAAATTTTGAATATGTTTAATAGGACATGTTTCAAGCACCATGTGTGCTTGTCGACTCAAGATGACTCAAGCACTGATACAGAGCACACGCCATCACACTGCACAATACGAGGTGTAGATCTCAGCCGAAGTTTGTGGAGCACTTCAATCGACACTTCGAACATCGCATAGAGGATCATTGATGATGGAATTTCGGAGATCTTTTGGTCCTCTCATGTTTATTTCATGTTTTCTCAATCATTCTCATGGTTTGCTGAGTTTGCTGTTACGATTCGTTGATATTTGCTACGGTTTGTTGATGTTTATTGATATGTTCTAAAGTGACTCCACCAGGAGCTGGATGAGGAGATGTGCTGCATGGTGTCACCGGTTTTTCTGGTGAATTACATGAGTCATCCCGGCCATTTGAGCTGCAGATAAGATGCTCGCCCACTGTCAGTGGCTAGCGCAAACATGCGCAAACCGATTTCAGATTACAACTTGCACTGCACCGGGGCAAATTACACAATCAAAGAATCAAAAAGTGTTTGTTTATTTCTTGACGATGCACGGCATTCTTTGTCGAGCAAACATGAGCAAACTGTTTGCTCCAGGTGATGCTCTACGGCGGTCCTTCCTGAAGCGCTGTGCTGAAATCCAGGCAGTGAAGAACTACTTGCCTGCGGCATCCTACAGCAATATACTGCGTGGATCTGTATGTTAGTTTTGTTTTATTTTTTTAAAAGAATTCATCAGGGTAACAGATGGAACATGATGGAACCACATACGTGCAAAACGGTTGTAAAATGAGCTCCTGGACGACTGATCCACTGGTTGACCCTCCACGTCCAGGCAGGCTTCTCCGGAGAATTCCCCATGCGTAATCTCGCGTGCATGGAATTGGCCTTGCGCAAGGAACCAGACGAAGTTTCGGGGGTTTCACGTCATTTTTCATTTTCACATTTTGCACATTTCACATCTCAATCGTTCTCGGCGGTCCATGTTGCACTTTGACCAGAAGCCCTGATCTTGTGCGCTTGCACACTCTATGTCGTACAAAAAAAAGGCGCAAAACATAAAGAACCAATATTGATCATAGTTCCTTGGTACCACTCTTGTATTCTTGTCTTATGTGGATGTTCGCCTATTTTTGTCTCGCTGTGAGCTTACTGGACCTTGCCCAGCTGGTCAAGGAGCAGCATTCGTTGGTGGCCTCGTTGCCTTCCTTTGTTGTTCGCTACTTGGAGAAGGCACCAGGGTCTGGAGTGTCAACATGTACGATCGAATCATTTTTGATATTCCTTCATGCCATTGCAAAGTCACTTGTCCAAACTTGCATCTTGAGAAGATTGTAGTTCAATATTCCTTTTTCTTTTGTTTTTGTGTCGGGATGATTCTATATGATATTCATTGATATTATCTTATGTTCGATGAGACATGATCAAGTTGACCTGCAAAAGCCAGTGAAGTCCATACCGCAGTTGTCGAGTTGGCTTTTCATACCTTTGGGATGATCACAAAATCCCACAGGTGAAGGCGCAATCAGAGTTCGACAAGTGGGGATCAGTGTGCTGCTCAAATCATCTCAAATCTGTTCAGTTCAATGCTGTTCGTCCACAGGACACGTCACATATGGACATCACATATGGTCAGTTCATACTGCATGGTATGTATATATATATATTATTATGGTATACATATGGTATTCCACATCTGTATATTAATTTATATATATATAGCATCACATGTCTTGGAGCTGCCAGCTGATCAGCTATTCATCCGCGCTCCAGGTGGTTTTACCCAGCACTGTGGCACCGGATGGCCCGAGAGGCCACGCGCCCCTAAAAACCATTGAGTTCGTCATGATTTGTTGTTAATTTAGTGTGGCGTTGGCCACACTCAGCTTTTTCCATTTTGGATGAGATTCTCGAAGGTGATGATCGCCATGAGCTCTCGGTGGCTCTGCTCCGCAAGGCAAATGCAGTTGAACTCTCACTGCTGCTAAAACCACTCGTCCCATGGTGCATTTTTTGGACTTCACTGGGGGCAGGGTGACATGAGCAAAGTTTCCCAACGAGGAACATCCTCAAACATGGAGTTTCAACACTGAGACTTCCTCTGTCTCTTCATGCCACCACATCAATTCATGTTTGATCAACTATGCGGTTTATTAGTTTAAATTAGGTTTAAAACATTTAGTATTGGCATTATTGGCACGATTCATTTTATGGCCCCAAAAGTCACCAGAGGTGCATCGTCCATCCGGAGGCTGCAGGAACAAAGGGGAACTCCACAAGTGATGTCTTCAGCTCCGATATGCACCGAGATGTGAGCGCGCCGGGGTACTCAGCTGACAGCTGAGATGGAAAGGTTCTGGTCATAGTTCTGGTTGGTTCTGGTTGGTTCTGTTTGGTCAGTTTCTTTCTTGGTTTCATTGCTGTGGGTGTTTTTAGGTGTTTGACGCACTTGGGCATCGAGCACGAGAATGGTGTGGTGACAGGCCTTGGTGCTCAGTGTGTATGCACATGCGATCATCGATAATCAGATTCTTTGAGAAGTTTGAGAATGTCGAATGATTCGAATGTTGATGCTTTCGCATACTTTGGGGATCGAAAACTGTTGCTGTAGGCCTTTGCTGTGCGTAACGAGGTCCATACTTGCTGGATATTGTGGCCAAAGATATGGTGAATCCTGCTCGCCGCATTATCTACGAGGCCAGTGCAGCGCATGTGCAGCGCATGTGCAGCGCATGCCACAGGGTGAACCGACGGAACCAACGGAACCAACGGAACCAAGATGCAGCTGTGACGCGATGAGGTGAACTCTCCACATCATTTCTACGAAGGTACCAAGGCCAGATCCTTAATGATCTTAATACCATTGGCACTGCGACTGTCATGAAATGGTATATGAAGTGTTATATAATCTGTTATATATGTTATATGATATACAGATGATACACATGAAGTCACAGAAGCTGGATGACTGCAGTGATCTGCAGTGTGTAGAGAAATGAATTCCATTTTGATGCTGTTTCTGGTGGACTGTTTCCGTGGAAAATTTTGTGGGTACAAAAGCGTTGAAAATGTTTGCTGCATGTTTGTTTGGTTTGTTCGGTTTCTTCGAGCGCATGTTGCAGATGAATTTCTTGAGGCCTTGGTAGCTGACAAGCGCCTCAGACATCGCTTGTTGGGTCGCCTTGGGCATCAGCTCCACATGGTCAATGCAGCAGATTGGAGGCACGCCGGAAGATGCGAGAGACACACTGAAGATGCCAAACTTCTCCAAACTTCAAGGTGATTCTTACATATTGTTACATATTCTTACATATTGTTATATATTGTTATATATTGTTATGATAGATGGGAAATGGCAACATGGGATGTAGAGTTGTAGACGCATGTAGACGGCAACTGGTCCAACCTGCAGGCCCCTCTCCGCTGCTGCAAAGATGACTTTTCTGCTGAAGATTCAGCAGGAACAGCAGGAGAGCCTGGGTTTATTGCCAACTGCAACCAAGACACTTTCACGTTAATCCTGGAGAGAGGTTTCTTGCTTCACTTTACAGGACAAGCATAGTGAAGAGTACAAGCAGCAGGCCGTGGATTTCGGCAAGTAGCCAATACAAACGTCTCGAATTGAAACAATTTGATACCAAGGTGTGATCAAAAATGGCATGGGTATTTTGGAGCGGCTCTGGAGAAGAAGAAATCGCAATATCTAGACACCTAGAATCAAACGACATCACTGGTTGCCAAGCTGCTTCTTTTTTCGCCCTTTTGGAGAATGTTTTGCGTCCGTTGGTTTACGTCAGGCAGCTGCCAACGTAAATCGGGCGCCTTTGGCTTTGCGACCAGCTGCAAAGCAGCGAGAGCCGTTCTAGCGCCAAGTTGGATCGGTTGTGGGACCGGGGAACAGACGACCTGATATGGGCCCAGCAGAAAAGCAAGATGCGTCCATGCCGTGTCCACAAGGTACTATAATAATATCTAATGTATTGAAATGTATTTAATATATATATATATAAAAATAAATAATTTTAACATGTATTGGCAGCTTTTGACGCGTGCGCCTTCAAGGTTGAAGCTGAAGTCGCCGAAGGATGAGTCTAAAGCTCCCATCACTGTCCCAGTGACCATTTGGCCGACAACCAAGGGAAGCCTGCCCTGCAGTTTTTCTGTTTCAAATTCATTTGACTCAAGATTTGGGATGAAGTCTTTACAAGACCATCAGTGACCATTAGTGACCATCAAGATGAATTGGATGATGGTTAGTTTGAGATCAAAACATAGAAATCACCTGGATTTGATTGATTTGACTGAAAATGCTGCGGGAGGTACCACCATCTTTGCGACAACAGATTCCTCAATCAGTGACGGCGTAGGATTGCAGCTGGGTGACAAGAAAAAAACGGTGTGACTGTTGGGCAGCTATTCACCTTTGCAAGTTTTTTTGCAGATTGGGACTGAGTTAGTTCAAAGAGTTTCTGCATGTTTCTGCTCTTTGCGCGTTTTGTGAAGAGATAGAGAGGGAGTCACAGGCAGTCCAAAAGTGATTGTGAGCCCAAGATGAAAAGAATTGAACAGCCTCGAACAGCCTCGAACAGCCTTGTTTCCGCTCTTGCGACTCCCAATTTCTTATCCCCGCTGTACACACTGAAATTGTTGCAAACGAGCTGCATTTGGCTTGGATAGCTAATGTAGCTGACCGGTACATGAACCATCATTCATGAGCCATAAAGCAATGAAGTCACAAGCTGCAACCAATTCAGCTCAGACCAACGATTGCATATCCATCCATATACAATCCATAGACATAATAGATAAGCCGAGACACCGACTACTCCCGCACACTGACGTTGCTCGCAAGAGAAGGAAAGTAAGTGGTTCCAGACGAGAAACCTGGAAACATCTAGTCGCAGTGGTCGCAGTGGTCGCAGTGGTTACACGGCGCGGGAAGCCATGCTCACCCTCGACGAGGTGCAATTTCGATCCATCATCAATCATGATGAATAAACATCAATCATGAGAATCATGATTAATCTAATTGCAGTGCAGTGATGGTGGTTTGGAAAAACATGCGACTTGCCTTGTACGGACAGTGTGCATTATTCTTTGCTCAGGTCAACGATGAGTCCTTTGATCTTGTCTGACCCTCAGAGCCCTTGGCAGCCCTTGGTAGCCTTGGTAGCCTTGGCAGCGCAGTTCTGACATTGCGTCGAAAGAGACATGGCCGGAGTTGACTTTGCATCCCGAGTTAACAAGCTGCCACGGGTCGGAGGACTTTTGCGAAGGCACAGCTGTGTCACAAATGTTTCAATGTGTTTCAATATGTTTCAATCATTTCAGTCCGCTACAGTAGCAATATCTTTCCTCATCACAGGTGCTGCTCGCTTGGGAGAGCGTGCGCAGAACGTGCCGCAGGCAGTGCATTCATACCAAAGCACTGCAGATGCGTTCCTGCTGCTATTTTACTAGAGTCTCAGGATTGCTTAGTAGATCTTAATAGTCTAAAGATTCTAAAGGCTGTGGATTTTTCAAAACACAATAGTTCTGTTGTTCAATCAAACAGTTGGGTCGACTTTTTGGGATTAAGATTGATCAAGAGCTTTCCCGCACGAGCATACCTGTCGGTAGAGGCGATCAGCTGTCTATTCTTGCGCTTGGTGGCACGACTTTCAAAGGCCGGGATGTTCTGGTCATGAAACGACATGAAATTATATGACACATTAGTTTTCCATATTTTTCCCCACAGGCGTCACAAGGCCGCTGTCATGACCGCATATGGCACACTAAGCAAACTAAGAGGAACTCGAACACAATTTGAAGAAATCTTTGAACACAATCGAACTATTTGAACTATTTGAACTATTTGAACTATTTGAACTATGGTGATCAATCAAGCTTTCACTATGAACGCCTCGCCTTTGCAGCGCCTCGTGAAGTCTGGTGATTTCACTTGACTTGTGCTCGTGCAACTCCAATAGGTGCTTCGCCTGCTTAGCAGCTCACCGGGGCACCCACCTCAACGTCATCCTTGGAGTGATTTGTTTCATTGGCATGAGTGGACCAGATGAACAAATAGAAATCAAATAGAAATCAAATATAGAAATCATATGAAATCATGATATACCGAATAACAACATGATCATTAACCTGAATTGACTATTTTGACTTTGCAATCGTTGATGTGTTGGGGGATCCTGTTGATTTTCAGTAACTGTCCATGCACAATTCGCAGTCATCAAGATGGCTCACATCAAACTGAGTCCTTCCTAATTCAAAGCTGTGCCTTCCAGAGTTGCCCCGTTTTCTGAAGGTGTTTCTGCTCATTCCATGCAAGGCCAAAGATGATTGTGGCAGCGAACGAGTGGTCAAACTCAAAGGCTGGGCGGGAAGACTTCTCATTTGCTGAACTATGCAGTGGGAGTAAGACCACAATGCAAGCAGAAACGCAATGAGCGTATGACATTGTGTGACCATGTTTGACCTACAATTGCCAATTGGCTTTGGTTTTTACCACTGCAAGTGATTGTGCTGAGAGGTGCGTCGAGCAGAGGCGCGGGTGTACTGGTCATTGGAACATTCTGAGTGGCACAAGCGCCCGAAGATTTGTTTGATAGATTTTGATAGTGGTGCTTTGGCTATTCCCCACAAAGGTATACAAAGGTAAGATGACCTTGTTTGGGAAATACTAGATCCAGCCAATTAGTTGAGTATGGTGCATGGGTCTGCAAACTATAGTGTTTGGTGGATGCAAATTACATTGACTAACTTCTTTCATCCAGTGTTGCTCCATCAGGGCCTGAGAAGATGTTATGAAGGAAGCAAACCTTCCTGTTTAACATGGTTTAGCAGATCTTACATCCTCGTTCCATCAGCTTTGTAGTTGGAATGACAATGGCTGGTAGACCTGCCTGCAGCAAACCTATGCATCGCCGCTTCGCACACTTTGCGCAGTACCTCCATACACCTCCTTCCACCTTCGCCATGTTTTAACTCCTGCGTCACTCGATGTCACTCGTTTGTGGAGGAAAGCCTTCGCTCTCAGATTGACCTTCTGCTGAAAGTGCGGGACGTGGGCATAGACGAGGCAGAGATGGGAGTGTACAAAGTGGTGCAGTGGTGCATAGTCTTAGATGTTTCAGTGCGTGCTGACGATATCTGACGATGCTCAGGGTGGATCAGTCGTTACTCTGCATAGTTTGCATTGTGGATGGAGTTTTGTCGAACGACTTGGTTTTGCTCACTTGTGTTTAGTCTTTGGTTTTGTTTCGTTCACGTGGCGATGTCCCTAAACTGTCAGGGCTGCGTTTCTGCCGCCGCGGCTGCAGATGTGAGTTCGCTGCTTCCCAAGGTTCAGACAGTGCAGTTGTTTGCTACCAGCGGAGCACTTGTCTTGTTAATTGTTCTTTGGATCCCTTTGGATCCCTTTGGATCCGCTCTTGGCATCTCTTGGGAAAATCTCTTGGGAGAATCTTTTTGGCTCGAATTTGGCTTCTCATGTTCTTCTCATGTTCTTGTTGTCTTCTTTGGCCCATTTTCCCTCCGGAGGTGCTGCAGACAGGAAGACAAATCGCTTTGAATCTCGCGTCAATGACGTTTTCAAAGATCGACCCACCAAAGGCAGATTCTGGGTTTGCACGAAAGGACAAGGAAAGGCAACATACAAAACATCTGATTCGGAGGTTGTTTTATCGTGCTTGACACGTTTTGGCTAATCTGAAGAATTGTAGTATATTGTAGATTGCTACCTTAAGACTCCTGAATGGAGCAAACATGCTGACACCAAATCCCAAATCAGCTGATTTTTCTTGGTTTTGCGGTTTTGCTTACAGCATCCTTTTTCGGGGTGGCCCACATCGCACGCCGCTCAGTGAGAGGCCGTGGAGATTTCTGACGATTCGCAGGCTGCTCATGCTTGGGCATATGCTACTCAAGCAGCTGCATCTTGTGGCTGTGACATGTCTGGTACTATAGATTCCGCCACCTCATTGACACAGGACAAGTAGTGATTTTGAGAGATCCAAACAGATATACAACAAATTATTGATACAATAGACGCAATGTATTTAGATATTGTGTCATCTCTCCAATAAGAAAAACACGCTGTGCACTGTGAAGTGAACCCTTGCACTGCAGTTACCTGCACTTACAAGCAGAATGATGCAGTGTGCCAGACATCTGAAGTGCAAGAGACCTCAGCACCTCAGACATCGACTGAGTTGGAACCTCAGAATGATCTCATGATCCTAGTAGAATGCTAATGATATCCAGTGATATCCAGTGATATCTAGTGATATCTAGTGATATCTAGTGATATCTAGTGATATCTAGTGATATCTAGTGATCAAGTTGAATCATGACACTTTGCATCACTTTGCCAAATCCTTGCCACGCCGTGGCTAACATCTCAGGCCATCAGCACCAAGGTGCAGTTGCCTTTGCCGTGCGGATGTCATTACCATGTCATTGTCATGTCCAGTCGAGCTACGGTGCTCGTGCTCGAGGTAAAGCGTAACCATGCGTAACCAACATAGCTCTGACAAAGCAAGACTTGAAGACACCAATCTTCCAACGAAAGATTTAATGTATTTATATAATTTTATATAATCGAAATCTTAAGCTGGGTCCAAAAGGGGATCGCCCCACGGCCCCACGGCCCCATGTCCACAATATTGCTCGACCTCAACATGCAGCTGCTCAACGAAGTAGGATGAGATGAAATGGCGATGGACCATGGCCCCACAGAGAAGTAGTTGGCAGCCATCACACTTGGCCTTCACACCTTGCCATTTGCCAGAGCACCAGGGGACTTTCTACTATCACTTGCAAGCTTGCAAAATGGAGCTTCACAGTAGTTGTGCGTTTTGAAGACTTGGATAGGGCATGACTGGTTGCATGAGTGCCAGAGTATTTATTCTCAACACGTCCCAACATCAAAAAAGATGAACCGCTTCACAAGACTGGCAGCTTAGAAGTCATAGTGAAACAAACCAAGTCAGCCACAAGAAGCACTAAACTGAAGAGCGCTTAAAAATTGCGCCCATTTGGCCCCAGCGGCCATGCTGACATCCTCACAAGCAGCCAGATGGCTGCCACGCGATTTTGTGGAGGCAAGGCATCAAAATACGAAGCCGAAAGATGCTGAAAGCACTTTCAAGCCGGTGAATGGTACGGAATGGCAATAATTAGATATAATTAGTGTATGTGAAGTTATGTGAACCTATATCATATCTTGAGTTTTTTCAAAAGGCTTGGTAGTCCGGGACCATTTCTGAAACCTTAAAATTGTTCATAATTGTTCAAAATTGTTTCAACAATTGTTTTAAATTGTTCAAAATTGTTTCAACAATTGTTGAAAATTGTTCAAAATTGTTTCAACAAGTGTTGAAAATTGTTCAAAATTGTTTCAACAATTGTTTAAAATTGCTGAAAATTATTTCAACAAGTGTTCAAAATTGTTTAGAATTGTTTCAAACATGGTTCAAAATTGTTGAAAATTGTTTCAACCATTGTTCAAAATTGTTGAAAATTGTTTCAACCATGGTTCAAAATTGTTTGAAATTGTTTCAACAATGGTTCAAAATCGTTGAAAATTGTTTCAACAAGTGTTTAAATTGTTTTTTTCGCAACAATTGTTTCAACAATTCTTCAATCTTGGTTGCTAAATGTTGCAACACATGTTTCAATTTGTTGAAAACTGTTTCAACGAGTGCCCTAAAATTGCTTAAAACTGTTTCAACGCTTGTTGAAACTTGCTCATTACCCAGAACTGTTTCAAAACTTCTTTCGGATCTATCATTGACGCAAAAAATGGTTTCAACCAACTACCCCTTTCAACACAGAATGCTACTTGTTCCTCTTGCCTTGTGCTGAAAATTTGACTTCTACATCTGTTGTTGGCAACGTTAGGTCTGCCAAAGAGGAATGGCGTTTGATGGGCCACTGCTACCCGACAGTAAGACAACATCACTTTCCACACCTGCTATCCCCTGGGAAGACTGCGCTTTGGCTGCTGTTTTTTTCTGAAGCGGGCTCAGGCTCAGGAGTATCTGTCCACGCCTGCCCGGCTCCTTTGCGCCTCAGCTGCGTGCTGTGGCACACATCACGGCAGAGAAGACATCTTCAGGTTCCCTTGCTTGGCCCCGCTTTTCTTGCCACGCCAGCTGAGCGCTGTTTTGTGGTCAAGTTGCTTTGGTTCGGTGTCACTTTTTGTTTGCCACATGCACTGGGTGCTGTTTTGTGATCAAATTCCCTCGGTGTGGTATTGCTTTTCTTGCCACGCGCGCTGAGTGCCGTCTGGTAGTCAAGGTCCATTGGTTTGGCGTGACTTTTCTTGCCACACGCAGTGTGCTGTTTTGGTAAGGCCAGCATTGCGGGGCGCCTTTCGTAACATGGCCCGAGCCCTGCTGCGATTTCAGGCATGCTGCCAGTAAAACATGGCCACAAGGCCTTGTAATGGGAGGCGCGCAGCATAAAAGAACTAGACCAAAGGTCGTTAACCATCGATCTGATCCTGCTGCGGGTTTACTGGCTCAGGCTTTAACGGCCTCCAAAGCTCGTACAGGCAAATAAGAAGAAGGAACCAAAGCAGGACCAATAAGAGTACAATCTCAAGTGCCAGCAGTACATAGTAAAGGGAGGGTCCATCTGATGGCCCACGAGGCACTGGCAAAGTCACAGGGGGATTAAGCAAGTGGATAGAGCCGCTCAAGCTACAGGGGAAGGAACAAGGCATAGGTTGCTTGGCTCTTGTTGGCTCACACGTGACAGCTGAAGGAACAACGGTTGGGACTGCCACTGGCAAACAAAGCACACAAAAAATCTTGAAGATTTGCAAAGCTGACAACCCTTGGAATTATATATTGTTCTTTCTAATTTAATTCAACCCAAGCGTTGCAAACATCACTCTTGCTAGCCACCTCAAGATGTGAGATTCAAGACTGCCAAATCTAGCAAGAGTAGCGCTGACACAACATGAGCAACTAAATAAAGCTTTTTTGGCTGCAGGTCTTTTTTTGCGCAAAGCGAAGCTTCTACAAAATTAGCGCGCGCTGGCTCCGAGAGCGCCAATCAGCAAGCATGGACAAATTTGCTGCAAACCTGGGCTGAGCCCTCAGCTTCCCAATTTTTCACAAATCAGCGAAGATTCCCAATGCAGAGAGAGCATCGGCTGTTTCTTCCCGTGTGGACGCTCGGGAATCAGGTCTGAACAGCAGGGAGGCCACAGCACTCTGCACAATCGCAAGCAACACTGGCAGAGCCATGGCATTCCCTGCAAGGTCAGCCGTCAAGCTTTCTGTCAGCCACTTCCTTCCTGGGCCAGACCGCTTTCGGACTGAGCCGCTTGCCGCAGCAGAGCATTCGTAGACATCGATGCCTTCCGTCTCTACCAGCTTCAGAAACTGAGGTGCTGGAAATCCTTGAAACAAAAGGGCTTCTTGATCCAACATCAATCTTGGAGGCTTAACCAGCTCGAGAAAGAGCAGCTGACCTGGAAGCATTGTTGGGGCAACACGCTTCTTGGTATCTTTGCACCAGCTGGCAGTGTGCACCCGTCCAAGCGATTGGGAAACATTTCTGAAGCCAGCATCCGGGGCTTGCGCCCTGGACAAAGCCAGCACGTCCTGTTCCCTGGCTGTCAAGGTTTCAAACCACGGATTCAACTTGAGTTCTTGAGGGTATGGCTGTCCCCATCGCAACCCTTCAGCTTCTGCAAACTTCATGTGTTGGTCTGCCCAATTGCCGGAAGACTTGGGGCTCTTCGATGCAGCCTTGGCGCTCTTCTCTTTCCTCTCCTCCAGAAAAGGTTTCAACCTCGCCTGGGGCGGGATTTAGCAGCAAATCCTTGGCGCAGGGTGGGGATCTCAGACAGGAGGCTACCATGTTGTTGGACATTACAAAAGACTCGGTCAAAGACCTGGTTTGCGTGAGAAGCTTTGGGTTCACTTGGCGCACAAACAAAATGTAAAGCCTGCGCCTTCTGGCCGGCAAGCCGAAGGACGAAGCATCCGTTCGCAAAGGCTGGCCGGTATAGCCCAATTCTTTCATGGTTTGCATCAAGACATCCAAGTTGGATTGGGCATGTGCCCCAATTTGCTCCCCAAGCCCACCCACATTTTCGTACATCACCAGCCCAGGTGAGTGAACCGCAACATAGCTGGTAAAACCGTGGTAAGTCTGCACTGAGCTTCCCAATGAATTGCTCTGCTGGAACACGAACTTTTGTGTCTCCTTCTTTGGATTGGCCTTGCTTAAATCTTCGCAGGAGGACCCAATGACCAAAAGGTCACAGCCAGGCACTGGGCAAAGCTTGCCATGAACCACGCAATGAGCTTCACAGCCGCCCAGCGTCTCGATGTCCTGGAAGATGTAGCCAAGTTGAAGCAGCTCGCTTTCCCCGTCACTGCTTTCACAAGCCGATTTCAAAGGGCTGAGGGCTGGCATCAAAGGTCCACAATTTAGAGCCGCTTGGATCCATCGCTGTTTGTCCTTGTTGCTCTCGCATGAGGAAAAGTGCTTCATGGAGAGCCGGCATCCGCAGGTCTCCTTGCCAAGGCTGTATGCGCTGGAAAGCGCTTCCATGACATAGAAAGCGCCCTCTGAGCCACTCACGCCACTCACGCCACTCACAAGGCTTGCTGTACTCAATTGAAATCGGAAACACTTCACTTCCGCCAGCTGTGCTGGCGGCCTGTCTCTTCTTGACACGGCGCGCTCTAGCAGGCTCATTGCTAGTAACTGCTGGAGTCACTGAGGGGAAGTGGATCCGGCTCCATGGCAGCTTGGAACTAGTTTGGATCCAACTCTCGGAAACCTTGAACGCACAAACTGCGTATGGTGTAAATCCGGGAAATGCAATTTCAGAGTTTGAAAGAAATATTGAGAACTATTGCAAATTAAAATTAATGCAAACATTTGCGAAAAGAATTGCGAAACGTTTTCTCTACGAATGATTTGTAGAGATTTTGAACAGCATTCAAACATTATGTATTAGTTTTAAATACAAACCAAAAAAATAGAAAACTTTTCTCTACAAATGATTTGTAGAGATTTTGACTACAAAACATTTCATAATTGTTTGGAAATATGTTTCCAATAGATTCAAACATATGTATAATTCTATTTAAATTTTCGAGAACTATTTTTTTCGCAGCTGATGGATTGTCGGAGGCGCAAACTTCCAAAACGCAACTTGCCCTTGACTCATGTGCTGATTGGACCACCTTCATGCACGTTGGATTTCCCTAGTCAAGCCCAAAAGGCCTAAAGGCAACCTGCTCTCAGAATGATGGGAAGGCTTGAAGGCGTTGCTTTTTTTCCCGCAAAGGCAGCCTGTCTGTCTAAAGCAGCCTCTGGCTTGCCCGAGCTGAAATCTACCAGGCGCAGGCCGCCCAAAGACAGGTGCATTGAGCGGCCCTGCCCCTCAGGCCAATCACTGTCTTGCAACCCGGCTGGAAGCCAACGTTCGAGACGGAGCCGGCAGTCTTCCTCGGAAAGCTCGGATGTTGTCAAAGCTTTTCTGCAATAGATTCCTGGCCCGTCCTCTAAATTGCTATGTAAGCCACAGATAGCTCCATAGCCTGTTTGCACACCTTGTCTGTAGATGGGCCCCAAATGAAATACGCCCCATGCTTCACTCCTTCGCTGGCGGATTGCTTTTGCATGTGTCACCTCTGCAGAGCAGACCGGTTTGATCCTGAGAGGGGCTTGAACATGTGAGACTGGAGGGGGCTCTGCTTTGGCTTCCTCGTTAAACTCTGGCAAAGCTTCTTGGGTCAAAGTAATCTGCCAGTTCTGGCCTTGCCAAGTTTCCAGACGGTGTTCTTCCTGTGCATCGGTGTTGTAGCCACTCGCCTCACTGTTGTTGGATCCATCCTCGGACTCAGAATCGACGCCCAGCAACCGCCTTTCCGCTGACAGGGCATGTGAAGCTTTGGGTCGCTTCACTGACCGGGGGCCAATTTCTTTGGCCTCATTCTGGGACTGTTGGTTTGCGGCCCGCTTCTTGTGGTTGCCCAGCTTGTGGGGTGTTTGAAACTTCAAGTGCTTCTTTCGCCTTTGTCTCAAAAGAGCTCTCTTCACAAGCCGTTGCAGCTACCACATCGAAACGAACCAAAGACAGAACCTTGCCCACTTCCAAAAAGTGAAAAAAGACCAGTCAGACGCAAGCCGCGCCAGTCTCACAAATAAGGCCCTGTCACTTGTCAAATCAAGATGAGGAGCTTTGCCCTCACCAAAGTAACTTCCGGCACAGGCGCTGAACAACAAACTGAAGACTACGCCTTGCTCTGCCAAGTCGGGTAAGCTGACTCTATGAAGTACAAGCAAAGCAGCCTCCCAAGGAGCCCTCCTGGTGTGAAACATCACCGCCACATCTTTGGAAACATTTGCGGAGCATGATGTTTGACGATGAATCAGAAGCGGTCGTGCAAGGAAGTCACCACGGCCAAGCCGGCATCTGGCAAGGCATGCATGCATCCGTCCTTGGGGCAGTTTGGCATTATATAAAGGATATGGCTCCCTTGGCGCACGCACCCACAAACGCATCAGCATTTTCAGGCAAAAGACAGTTGCAGTCATTGTTAAACTGGGTAGATATGGTGTTCATTTGGCTTTGATTGCTAAGGACAACATGGCGGGCAAGTGGGAAACCATCAGGTGCACCAACATTGCAAGGACTGCCAGCAGGGAGAGCATTGCCCCCTTCTGTGGCTGCAGCTGCTTGGGATGCGGCTAAAGAAGCTGCTACATTCCTAGCCTGCGCCAAGCGGCGAATATCTCTTTTTCTCTTCAAGGGTGCAACCTCGCCAGGCCCTTAAGGCAGCTCTTTGCCGTTCCTGCGAAGTTCCCCGAAAATTTTGCAACAGATACTCTTGGCTGAACACATGCCAACCATTTGCGCATTTGCCTTTTGTTCTTGAATGGCCCCAAGCTGGCCTGCTGATATTGCATTTTGTTGCTGTCTGTTGTTTCAAAACACGCTTCCGCCACAGCTGGGTGCTTTGCTGGAAGCGGCCTGATATATGTTTGGCAGCAATTCTGCTCAGTTTGGGGCTGTGCCCCTTCACATCGGCCCACTCAGAAAGCCTGGAAAACACCCGCTCAATGAATGTGCTGCTGGTTAGAACCACACGCTGCAGCACGGCTTCCAAGAATTTGAGCGTGTCTGGTTCTAGCATTGCATGCTGTGGAACAGTGTCACAGAGTTGGCGAGCAAAAGCATCGAGCTGATAATTCCTTGCAACTGAGCAAGGACCGCACACAATCCTGCTTCTCACTTAAAGTCACCTCTGGGTCGACCAAAGGCTCCAATGCCCAAGGGTACTGCTGGAAGGGGTAAACAAGCTTTCTCCACAATTGGCCCACAACCAAGCACAAAGTTCGACGCGTGATTCTCAGCCGTTCTTGGTTCCAAGAAAGAACAGGGCCAAAGGCCAAATAACTGGATCCCAACCCATGCCTGCAGGCAGGTGAGCTAGCTCACTGATAGAATCCAAGGCTTTCAATGCAGGGATCAGGGATGCTCTGCAGAAACATGCCATTGACAGCGGTCTCAGTTCCTCATCTTCAAATAAATCGGGCGCCTCTTCTTCCTCATCTACAGCGTCAAATTCAACGCGCTCAGAGAGCCAAGTTGCGTGCTTGAAAAGTGCAAAATGCACCCTCATGACCGATTTTTGTCAGCACGCACCATAAACAAGTCATCCAATTGCTTTGTTGGTCAGACAGGAAAATCAAGCCTTCTTCACTCTCAGCCTGGAAAATGGCACGGGCGCCGCGTTCGATGCCCTACCACGCCCAAGGCCACCACGCCCAAGGCGGCCAACCCGTGCACCAGGTCGAAGACCGGGCTGATTGTCTTGACCTTCTTGTTCTTGCTGCTGGTCACCAAGTGCTATCCCTGCTAAGTCATGCAGGCTCAGCATTCGCCAAGCAGTGCAAATCAACAACATTCCGTCGCAAACCAACCGAAAAATTGAGAACACGAAGCAGCTTGAAGCCAAAATGGCAATGCGATTCTGTTTGTTGCTTGCTGAAAACAATGCAATCGATTAAGGCTAGTTAAGCCAACGCTTGATATTTGCAAGTGAAACCAAGTCACAAAGATTTGCGTACTTTTGCAGACCAAGATTGAAAATTGCTGGCTTTGGCATATTTGTGATGGGAAAGCATCTGTAACAACTGCTACAACAGTTGTTCAAATCTTTGCTGGAAAAGTCAAACAATGCCAGAAACGTTTGAACAATTGTTGAAACAACTGCAGAAATTTTGAACAATTGTTGAAACAATTGCAGAAACATTTGAACAATTGTTGAAACAATTGCGGAAACATTTGAACAATTGTTGAAACAATTGCGGAACTTTTGAACAATTGTTGAAACGAGTGCAGAAACATTTGAACAATTGTTGAAACAATTGCGGAAACATTTGAACAATTGTTGAAACAATTGCGGAAACATTTGAACAATTGTTGAAACAATTGCGGAAACATTTGAACAATTGTTGAAACAATTGCAGAAACATTTGAACATTTGTTGAAACAATTGCAGAAACATTTGAACAATTGTTGAAACAATTGCGGAAACATTTGATATAAGTTTACTTTTGAAAACACTCAAATCATATCATATCTTATCATTCTATATCTATGTCTTGAAGTTTTGCTACAGGAACATTGGTGATTGTTGAGGCCTCACAGATCGGCGGCGTTTACACCATTGTGGCGTGCTCACCTGATCGCCGTTGGATTTTCAATGCCAACCTCAGGAATGAATGACCACGACTTTGGGATTCTTCTGGCATTTTCATTTTGTGGTCTCTATCTAGTCAGAGTCCACACAAGCCACACAAACTGTAGTATCTGTAGTAAGATTTCTTGCTGTTGCCGTTGTTCTCACTGCATGTCGCCAGGTACGCAGTGATGCTTATCGTTTTTCTTTGTGAGTTGATGTCCTTTGCAGCGGGGCTGGCTTGTCTTGGCTTGTCTTGGCAAAACTGTATTGGTTGGCAAAATGATAGACTTCCCGTTTGTCAAACAAGTTTTATTGGTTGATATTGGTTGACTGGTCGAGCATCTCTCTCTCTCTCTGTGATGTGTCATGCCATTGTCCAAGCATGTTCGAGCTTTGTTTCTTTGTTCTCTATAAGGGCGGTGGCAACTGTGTCATATCAAGGTGCTTTACGCATCTTCACGCATAAACGGAAGCACGCACGTTGTACACGTTGTACTCTGGTCATCTCTAGCTGCGGAAAAAAGTTCTTTCAGATTTCGATTATTTCGATTAGATGCGTCTCTGCAAAGATGGCTGCACACCCAGTCGTGCCGTGTCTAGAAAGTGGACCATGTTGGAAGCACCTCTTGCCACTTGCGTCCACTTGCCACTTTTGTGCCAGAGCCCACAATATGCCACTGTGTTGGCTTTGGACAAAGCTGGTAGCGACTCCCTGCAGCCGGGATACTTAGCACAGGTTTTGGAAATCTGTTGGATTTCTAGCCAGAATTCACGGGTTCAGAATGGTCATGAGTTGGTCTCGGACATTCTGACATGCCAACAGCTGCCACCTGCCAAGAGGATCAACTTCGATGTAGACGTCCACGACATCGAATGTCGAAACCTACAGGTGGTTGTTTGGGCCACATCCTCAGAGCATCTCAGAGCGGAGCCTCCAATCAAATCGATTTGTGGTGCGAACTCTGCTGGCTACGGGCCCTTCCCGAAGGCACAGAATGGCAAAGAGCGAATCAGTGCGCCTGTCACATCCTGTCACAATGTTTCTCCCGTGTGCTTTCTGAATCTTTCTGAGCTTGAAAGCTTGCAAATCCGGCTGACATTTTGCATGCCCAGCTTCTGGATTCCGCGCGGCTTGTGCCGCCCAACAACTTAGCAGTCAGACCAGAACAATGTCGAGATTTCAGGCTTTCTGGACAGAGATGTTAGACCATGTTAGACCTTAACACAAGAACATCTATGACTGTCATTGACTGTCTATGGAGTCTATTGAGGTACATCCGGAGATGACTTTTGGCTTCGCTCCATCGATGCCCAGGGCAAGGGCTTTGGCGTGGCCGTGAAGCCTCGGGACCGCAGTGTCACAAGTCACAAATAGTCACAATGTCATGACGTTTCATGACGTTTCAATCAATTTCAATAACATATTTCAATATGTTATTTATGTTATATATATATATGTGTGTGTGTCCAATGAGTGTTATTACAATATGTTTCAATATGTTTCATGTCACTCTGCATATCGAGTCTGTTCCAACGAAAGAGTGATTGGATGTATTGGATGCGATTCTTGATTGCCAAGGGCTTCAAGTTTTCACAGGGGTTGGCTGAAGTTTGCCTCTGTGAAATGTGGCAGACATTGACAGTGAAGATTGTTTGGTTCCTTGGTGAAGATGGTGAAGTCAGAGGTTGACAGCTGATCTAATCGACGCAATCTGTGGCAGGATGCAAATGGCGACCCAGACATGGGTGATGATCATGAGAAGCAGATGCCAGGGCCTAGCAGGGTCTGATTTGATGAGCACTGAACACAAAACACGTCAAGTACACGTCGTACAAGGCAACGGCATGTCTTTGCTGGCATGTTTGAGGCAAGACGTGCGGAAGCAAGATGGCGCGCAGGAGCCATTCATGTTGTATTGCCAGACCCAAACAATGGCAACACAGATATGAACATCCCCTTGAAGCTGAAAAGGCACCAGCAAAACAACCTCTGAGTCAAGCATGTGTATTTGTTGCAGGGTTGCTTACTTCGATTACTTCGATCTTCTGTTGAAATTGATGTTGGAGAATGCAAAATGATGCAAAACATTCATGTCGGAACATATCAGATATTGACCGGCTCCGCACAGCGGCGCTGTGCGGAGAAAGGCTCTAGAGAAGGTCGTAAAGGTAGAGAAGTAAAGACATGTTTGAGCTACAAAAACGGAAGCCCATCACTCCTGGTTTCCCTTTTTGTAGCACTTAGATGCTGTTCTTCATTATGCGTTTCACACCTGCAATAATTTCCAAAACCATTGCTATCTAGAGCAAGTTTAAACAGCTGCCTTAAAAAAGGACAACGTGTCATTTTTTTAACCACCAAAACGATCAAAATGAAAGTATAAGTACACGCATGATAACTTAAACGAGTGATAATTGCAAGCACAAGCCGTCTGAATGAACATTACCAAAAGAAGTATCATAATTAAAAAATATTAAAAAGATAGTGAGTGTATATATACCGATTGAATGAACAAGGCAGCAGAAAATCTCAGCACAATCAATTCAACATAAGGGTAAAATAACCCGGAAATAAAGAATGACAGTACAACCATTCTAAGGAATGACAGTACAACCATTCTAAGGAACAGACGTTGCAGCATATCACTGAGTTTGTTTCCAGAATAGTCAGAGTATTTTCATTGTATAGTTATTGTACAATTTTTCTAATGTCGTCATAGTATCATCATCGTCGTTGTCGTCATCCTCGTCGTCGTCGGTGGTGCTGCTGCTGCTGCTCCTGCTGCTGCTGTGGTGATGGTATTGTGGTAGTGGTGGTGCTGGCTAAGGGGCACGCAGGGCGCCTGGTACAAAAATGTTAGTGTTTTCATCATGTTTTTACCATCAAAACATCTGTGCGAAGATTGTGAAGCAACAGTCACATTTAGACTCACACGCACATGATGCTACTTCGCACCTTCAAAAATATTCAACATTCATGTTGACACGCAGCATCCAGAGATTGCCGCATCCTCACCTTCTCCAAGAAGCCATGTGCCATTCGTGCGCCACCCATAGAGATGCACTCTGTTGACACGCATGTGCACATTGATGTTACGTTACAGGGGGGCGACTAACATGTATGGAGATGCAGTCTGAAACATTCATGATTGAAGGTTTTGCTGCAAAAAGTAGGAGAAACTGCAAAAAAGATGGCAGGGTTGATGGGAAACAGTTGATTCTTGTTGGTTGTTGGTTGTTTCTTGCCCGTTGTCGTTGTTTTTCTTTCCTTGCCTGTTTCCTCTAGAGGACAGGGCAGTTCTTCCACCTGCCGGCCCAGTTGCAATTTCTGTTTATGCGCTGACGCGTCCAATTTTTTTTTGACGGGAGGCGTCCAGGTTCTTTTGAACCAAAATGAACAAACCCCTCGGTAGCCTAAACACTTACGAGTGGACACGCCAGGCAACATTTCACAACACAACTGGTTGTATGAGCGGTATGAGTGGTACGGACCGCATTGTTCAACAAATAATTCTGATTCCCTGACTTGTTTTGATTTTTCTATACTTTTCCATGCTTGGCTCAATCGTTTCGACCTCTGAGGAGCTAGATGCGGATTGGTCATCTTCACATGATGGTTTCCGGCACAAGAGCTTCGAGCACGTGGTCCAGGTTGATGCCCGTTGTTGCTTTGTAATCTTTGTATATTCTTCAAGTTTTATTCAATATTATTCAATCAGATCCGGATTGACCGGATTGGTTTGAAAGTCGTGTTTTTGTTTGGTGGTTTCATGTATTTCCCGCTTATGTGAGTTGCTCTTGCCAGGGCCATGATTTCACATTCATCAACTTCTTTGCGGGCTGGTCACAACTTCAGTTGTGCAATTTACACGTGTGGTTCCAGGAGGTCTGTGTTTTTCATGTTTTGCACTTTAAACCTGTATCTCCACATTGAGTTCACATGCAAACTTGAAGTTGTTCCAATCACAATTCAAGAAATCCACATGATTGATCGTGATTGATCATGATGGAGGTGTGACTTTCACATTCAGTTTGGCCAGAGATGTAAAGTGACCTAAAGTGACGATCCGCTAGACGATCTGCGATTTGTCCGCGATTCAGGTGCAGCCACTGCCAGAAGTTCGCGCCCGAATGGGAGAAGCTCGCGGAGAAGGCGAAAATCAAAAAGCAGAAAAATCAAGTAAACAATATAGAAACAGAAAAGCTATGTAAAATTGATTGAAGATATGAAGATTGCCAAGGAACTGAAGGATATCTGCGGGATATTTCAAAAATTCATTATTCATTCTGCGGGATGCCTAGATTCCATGTCGACAGGTGCATGGTCAAGGTGGCACAGCCATGAAATTCCCAGATCGCGATGGGGTCGAGCGAGAAGTGCGGCTCATTAAGTGGGGTAGCTCAAGGACCATCCAGGTGAGGCTACGGTCAGGTCAAGCAGATGCCAACGAATAAGATCGAATAAGTTGCAACGTGTTACCACCAGATGCTGATGCAAAATTCTGGCAGTCAAAGCTCACAACATCCCACAGAATTGCTCAACAGATTCGCAGCAGACATGACAGACATGACAGACATGACAGACATGACAGACATGACAGACATGACAGACATGACAGACATGACGTCTTGACTTCCGCCATCTTTCGTTCTAAGGCTGAACTGTGTGGATTTCAAAGACACTTGTGCACCTCAAGGAATTGATGCCTATCCAACCCTTCGGCTGTACAAGGCCTGAGTGGGAACTGAGGGAGCCCATGTAATCGAAAGGATTTGTCCGGGCAGAAACAAATGCGATCTTGGCGCCCTTGATCCTGTAATGAAAATTGAGTCCGAACAGGCGTACAACTAAAGTTACTAAAGTCAATGCACTACTAGCATGATTAGCATGTGCATATTGTATATTACAACAGCCTGTCCGAATATGGTCCGAATATTGCACGGCTTTCGAGGCCGATGGCACGTTCTCCGTCTTCGACGGCCGGCGAGGGGAGGCGTCCACTGCTATACTGACACAAACATAGGGAGTTGGATAATGAACCATGGTTTGTCACCAACTGCCTTATTGTACCCCATCTTTGAATAATAATCTCTGATTCCTTCCAATTTCTTATAAGCGCTGTGTTAATGTGAGTTTCGCAAAGACATTTTCCTCAAGCTGAATTTTAATTGCAATTTGGACGGGACATGTCATTCCCTTCTGATTAACCAAGACTGGGTTGGTAGAAAGTCTCAGTGAGTTTATTGACAGGCTGAAATCATCCGATGGTTGGAGAGGACCATGAAATTGACGCGCGCTGGAAGTTGCAAGGGTTTGGAGTGTATGGATGCCGTTGCTTCGAGGGTTTGGGGACCTCCTACAAGCTTATTCTACCCATTGGACTTGTACCTGTATCTTTGAACATCTTTGAACATTTCGCACTAGAGTGACCTCGGATACAGGATGATTAAGATGAAGAGCTATGGCTGGGGTGCGCATCACGAGGCACTGGTATGCAGTGGTTCTGCTGGGGAGCTGGAAAATGCTGGAAATGTTGTCTTTTCAATTCTTTTCACATGTGGATTTTTACGTGTAAAAAACAGACGTTGGAAGATGGACGTCGCGCCTTGTGAGGTCTTTGAACGCGGCTGCAATGCTCGGGGGCGGCTACAGGTACCACGGGTACCTGGCCACTTGGAGCTGATGGCCGGAGGCGGAGACCAAACGCTGAATCCCAGGCGCCAGAGATTCCGAGCTGTGGAGCTTCTGGCCGACACATTTTAAAACACATGTTAATCATGTTAAGATATGTTAAGCACACATGTCTACACTGTATCTATACTATATACTGTATCTACACTGTATCTGCATGTACTGCTCATCTGACAAAAGGTGTTTTCAAAGTGAGGTGATCCGTCACATCACGAGTTTGAGTTTTGTTGCATCATACAGATCATACAGTACTCGTACCACAATTTTGGTCTGTGCAGCTTGCATGCAATCACTGTGTCAGGATGACTAATGTGTCGCACACGATCAAGCACCTGTCTTTCTCCGATGGGAATGATGGGAAGTTCCATAGGAAGGCCGCAGCCCCTGCAAACTCCATGGCGCAGCAGCTGAATAGTAAGCTTTGATTATTTTGAGCTTTGTCTTTCGTGGCGATGCTTTTGGAACCCTTGAGCGGTGCCTGCAGGGATGGTCGCGCTTTCCGAGAGAGGCACATTGCGCTTCGGTCATGGGAAGTTTCGATCGAAATCGATTCGGGACACTGTGTTGCTGTTTGCCTTGCCTTTTGGTTTGTTGAACAGGTCACGCGAAATGTAGCTCCCTTGGACGGTCAGCGCTTCACGTTCGGTGCTCAAAAATCTCTGCTTCTGGAGTCATCTCCAAACAAGATGAAGGGCTCCAGAAAATCTTTCTCAGAACTTGCATGTTCCTTTCTCCGTACAATTGCTTCAGAAGGTTTGAACATTTGTTCGAATCCCTTGAAGCGTTTGGAAGCTGGCTACTTTGTTTCAGCCTCAGGATGATTGCAACCTGAGAATTGCTAAGGACAACAAGCTTTCATCAAGCTTACATCCATGACCTCAAGGCTTTTTTAGCTCAAATATGCTCAAATGTTTAGTCAGCAGTCTGTGTTTTTTAGCAGAGCCTTTGCTCCTCTCGATTTGCAAAGCATTGTTGCAACAAAGCATACATTTGGTTGCAACTGCGCAGTTTTCTCGGACATGTCACGTGTTTGTTGGAGCAGGTTGTGAGCACTGTTTCCGGCAGCCAGACGACATACCAGTTCCAGCACCAGGTGGGAAAAGAATTCAAACCCTAAATGCAGCAGAAGTGGGATTTGCCCAGGCAGTTGCTTCAATGTTAGTTTTGAAATTCTTCGGATTTTCTAGAGGGTTGCACGCGGACCTCTTCCTTCAACGGACCTCCAACACTCGTATATTTGATTTCTAAAGCACAGATTGAAGCACTATGGTGTGGTTGAACAAAAAGCTCACCTTTGGCAGGCTCATACTGAAAAGTGCCTGAGAGAAGAATTGCATGCTTGCACGGCCTTGTTGCACTCATGGAAAACGCATCTTGCTATGCGCAGACATTTAACGCAAAATCCAGTAAGTTCGTGTAGATCTGAAGGGTTTCAATTCCACACCCGTGATTGAACTTGAGTATCACAATATATTACAATCTATGTTTTTTTAACGGTATGTCAGTCTGCTCGAGTAGATCTTCTGGAGGCTCGGGTTTCGCAGCTACCAGAAGCAGAGATCCCACAGGCAGTTGCACCGAGAGTTGGAAGAGTCACCGATTTGTCCGTGGCAATCCTTGTACAGGGCTCATGACAGGGAAACCCGTGGCAGCTAATTGGAGAAACCATGAGAAACCCTTGGACGAGTCTTGGCAATATCCTCAAGAAATAGTTGTTCCATTTCAATTGCCTTCCACAGTTCACTACAGAGTCAAACTTCCAGCATATGTTTGACGACATTTCACAGCACGTAGCATTTCATAGTCATACTTTCACAGTGGACAGCTCCGCAAGAAATTTTGGTTGGTCATCTTGGCCAGGCTCAATTTCACTATGACATTGAACCGTCCCTTGACAGCAACAGAGAAGTTTAGCCAAGAGCGTTGTTTGCTTGTTCATGTTGCCAGTGAGCTCAGAAATCGGACTGGCGCATACTGGCGCTTCCTGTGCTTGGTTTGATGATTTCTCCATTTCTTGAGGTTTTCAATCTACTTGAAGAACGACGAAAAGCGCTGGTGCGCCCCATCTGTGTCGTGTCCTTTGCATGGAGTTCACCCATGTTGTGAAACTGTCACCTCCATGCACGAAGTTTTGCCGCAGCTGTGTCTTTGTCGAAAACAAGCGAAGATAGTATTGTCATGTATTGCGTTGTTTGAGTTTCACATGTCCAGAGCATTGCACATCGCTGAAGAATTCCATGTCTATTCCACGAATTTCCAAAAGATATTCCATAGTATTCCATCCTTTCAGAAAAACATAGAAACACATAGAAACACTTTCACCTTAGAGTCACTGTTTGAATAGCTGTGAAGCGGTTCGCCGCTGCTTGAATAGACCATCATGCAGATCAGTCGGGAACCTACTGTGTGGCGAAGCTACCTTCGTTTGCATTCCTTTGTTGACTTGTCCTGGCAGGGTCTTTGGTACTCAGCTTTTGACTTGACAGGATTTGACAAGGTCACACAAAGCAGCACGCTGTGCACTTCGGCACCCGCTGGTGTTTGTGTTGGTGCCCTTGGGAGGCACCACATCGATGGATATTGGGCAATCCTTCAGCCTACGGAGCACGGGACTGAACCGGGGGAACTTGTTGGACCACAAGTTTAACATGGCAACCATGTTTGCAACATTTTGCAACCATGTTTTACATTGTTTTACAACCTTGTTGATCTTGTTGGCCTTGGAAAAGATGTTGAATTCTGGTGTTGACCCAAATCCTGCCAGGTCGCTCAGCGGCAGCGCTTCGTGACTACTCAGTGACCACGAGCCAGTCCACCTTCTCAAGGATGCCAGGCCCACATCGGGCTCTGGAGCTAGCGGAGCAGCGGGAGATCAATCATTGATTGAGGATTCAATATGATTCAACATGATTCAATTATATTCCATCTATATTTCAATCTGATATTGAAGGTTTTTGAATGCCTTGGTCGCTTGGAAACAGGAAACATGTTTGGAATGCACCTTGTCCGTCGATCACGTCGCTTCATGGGAGGTCTAACGGACTCCTGGGCTGCACTTGTGCCTTGGCCGCAACATGGCAAGACTTAGCAAGACATGAACAGATGATAACAGATGTAGATTTTTTAAATCATTTTTTTATCAATTTTGTACATTTAGCAAATCTGTTCAGTTCTCGTCACTGCGCATTTCACAGCGACCCTGTCAGGACGGCCATGAACGAAAGCCGATGGTCAAGGCTTTGCAAGGCAGCTCAGCTTGAGCCTCAGCTTGTTGATTTTATGTAACATAATGTAATTACTTTAATGATTTAATGCGTTTTAATGTCAACTTTCAAACCTTACCATCACCTTCATCACGATCATCAGCACCAGTCGGTTTTTGACAACTCAGATCTCCAAACCGTCCTAACTCACTGGCTTTTCAAAGTTTCTCGAAATGTTCGAAGTTTCTGAGATCAAATTGGGCTTCTTCGAGCCCAACTTCAAATCCACCAGCAGTCGATCACCTCAGCGACATCAAATTCCTAAACTTTGAGCAGCACCCGGACCCAAAATTGGGAACCCGGCTGCCAATTTCTCAGGTAACCACCGACTGTTTAGTCGAGCAGAGCAAAGTTGGGGCCTTTGTGACAGACTTTGAATTATCATGACATGTCATGACCTCTTTGCAAAACGTAGCTGCATTCCGCACAAACCCGGCACTCAAATGTTCGACCCAGGAATTTGGTTAGCCCTTTGCCTCCAAGAATATAAAGATATATAATGATATATAGTGTAATCCGTGATCAATGACTTACAGCACGAAGAGCCAATAATTTGCATTGGCATCATTTGCAGCACCGCTACTGGTAGGCGCACGGTTTTGGGGTGCCAGCTGCATCAGCTTTGAGATACTTTGAGACATGTTGTGTTTGTTGACGCCCTGTTTTGAAGCTAGGCTTCCTCGCGTCACTTGTCGGTTTTCTTTTCTTGATTGGTGGATTGCTTTGCAGTGCTGCAGTCATATTGCGCACACCATTCTTTAGCCGTGGTTAAAGGGTAGCCATGAAAAACATGTTTTTCTTCTCTCTCGGACTTGGACCAATATTTGGGTGTATCATGTAAGATCTATAAGTTAGGACACGAAACCATGACACAATCGGTCGCAGAATATGAAGCGCATTGAATTGAAGCGTACTTCTACGTCATGCATGTTTTATAAGACGTTTCATATGCAACACATTTGTCTGGACGAAATCGGCAAAGAATTTGACTTAGGAGCTGCACAGGGTTCCATGGATCAGTCGGTGCACAGCTCAGCAAAAGTGCTCGATTCTTCGTGGGTAAACTTTGGTAAACTGATGAAATCTGATGAACGTATTCAGAAATGAAACCACCCAAATGTAGTAGTGGTACAGGACTGCCTGCATTGCCTGCTGTCAATTCAATGGTTCTATATTGTTCTTCAGCTGCTTACGCCAGAACATCAAAGTGCCAAGTTGCCGGATGTTTGAGGTAAAGGCAGATTTGAGGGCTGTGCATTACAGTTTGGGTCATGCACTCAGTGGATGAACTGCGCCCTCTGCGCTTTTGCATGTTGAGTGTCGGACCAGCGTGGGTGTAGTTGTTTTCCTTTCTTGTGCCATCTCTGCCCAGAGCTGCTTTTGTCCGCCTCTGCTGCTAGCTGGCTGTTGCACAGTTTCTTTTTCTGCGGCCTATGTGCAGTTGTTTTGCTTCTGATGTTGGCCTTTAGCCATCAGTGTGGGGCCGCTCATTTAGAAGCTTTACTTCTTCGTTGTTGTGACAGCCATGGAATCTAATGGATCAATGTTTGGTCCACGAGATATCTATAGATATCTCCATAATTGCAAACACTAACAGCGCTAAATGGAAACCACGACTGTCAGGCATATCTATGTGTCGAAGCAGTGGATGAACTTGTTATGCAGCAGGATTGAGAGGAGTGTTGAGGAAGGATGGTTTGGAGTCAAGTTCTGTGCATGCCAACACTCATGCTAGCACGCAAGATCATGAAAGAGTGCGACTTTTCCCCGTGCAATCCCGTGCAAACCTTTTCGGAGTCCTATCCACGGACTGCAGGTGGAAGTATGGTATATGAATGATTATGAATGTATATCATTATTTCATGGTATCTTCAGCTGTTTGGCTGATGTCCGGTGAGGTGAAGATGGGCCCGGAAGAGTGAATTATGATGCTTGGCACATGCTTGGCTCAACGGGAGATGGGACTGGCATCAGTCAGTGGACAGCACTTCACAGTTGCAAATTCTAAACAGCTTGCTCGGAAAAGAGTGAGTACCACTTTGAGTCTTGTTTGAGTCAATAGCCTCCGACACAATCTTTAGCCAATACTTGGTAATGTTTGTCCAGCGTTGTCCGGTATAATTGAAGTTGACGCCAATGAGCCCAAACAACATGCTTCGAAGCTGCTTCACTGCGTGACTATGCGTATGACCTGAGGAGTGGTATGAGACAGAGCTGGAGCGATGTGCCAAGCGCGCTCCTCAGCCAACCTCCACCAGCATTTGTTGCCAAGAGCACACGGTGGACCACTGAGCAAGAACTAAGAACTGCGTGAGTAGCAATTGCTGAAGCTTGTTTGAAACGCCAGGTTTTTCTGTACTCCAAATCCAAAGACAAGACCGTCTAGTTTGAGTGACAGAACATGTTGTCCGTTTAGAACACTGAATGGGTCTGGCAATCCAGTGCAAGACCATGCTCTTTCATTCTGCCATTTTGCCGCCATACTGAGGAGTCACTGGGATCCTTCCAGGAAGAAAGCACTCATAGGTGTAGATCCTTTCAACACTCGTGCAGCGTAGCCTGGCAGCAAGTGAAAAAACACGTCATGTTCTGTCAACGATAGAGAAAGGACAGCAAGTTCTGGTCAAACATTCGCAGATCGAATCAACATGTTTAAATTGGAGATTGCTCAAAACATGCGCTGCACTCATGGTCAAAACTTGCCCATGGTCAACATATTCCACAACTTTCCACAACGAAATGCCCTGGGGGTGATTTCTCCAGAGCCCCTGACAGAGGCGGCTCGAGATGTCTCGTCGTAGTTTCAAGGCAGATCGTGAAGCGCCGCGGCCAAGTAGCTCTTGGTTTTAGGTCACACTTGGGCAGTCTCCAAAAGATTAGAAGATATTGGAAATTGGACAAATTGGGACAACATGTGACGGGCTGCTTGATGGCTTTACTATGCTTTACTGATCCGTGACATTCCATGACGGTTTGTTTTGTTGTTTTCGACTGCCTGAGCTGCTTAGTTAAGCAACACACCGGACTTTTGTACCAGAGATGTTGCTTGGCCTGTCGTGTGACCAAGACATTCCATCAGTTTCATGCTGAGCCGACTGACCTTTGAAGATGTGAAGGAACCAATAGTGAACATCAAAAATAAGTGACACGCAGAAAAAGATCAGATTCAGCCATCAGTTCTTTCTTCAAAGATCTTTGGCCGAGTCTCTTTGCCCAACCTGCTAAGCAGAGACACGCAAAGAGCACGGGGATTTGCAGACCTGAGTCATCAAATGTCATCAAGGAACTTGCCAAATCAATCGTTGCTGTGGCATGCTATGGCTGTTCTGTGAAATCCCTTACAGAAGATACAGAAGCTTCAGTCATCTCAAAGCCAAAAAAATGGGCGACACAGCAACGCAGTGACGTAGTGACATGTAGCAAATTGTAGCAAGATGCCATATGAGTCATACGAGGCCTTTTTTCCCCTTGCCAGAAATTGCCACCGACACAGCGACGATGCGCCTCTCTGCATCTCTGTCTCTGCGGATTTCTGTGCTCTTGGAGGTACGACTTCGGCACCTCGCTGTGTGCAGTGCTGGGTGGATCCTTTGTGGCCCAGCTGACGTTCAGATCAGTGACACCTGATTCAAAGACCTACCAAAGTCAAAAGTACAATATTTACAATGTCAAAAATATATGAAGAGTGCTTGATTCGAAGTGTTTCTTGGAGTGGGCAATAAACTTCGGGTGAAAGACTGACCATTGTTCCAGCATCCAGATGCCATGGATACCATCAATGCCCATGCCTTCCGTGCTGAGGTGGTCATGCGGCTGATTTCCCGTTTCTCCATCCACATCTCAGCTTCTTTGAAGCAACGGCCCCAGCACACGAAGCATCAAGAGATTTATTCCATGCTGTCCGGGCTTCAAATTCTGTGACTCTTCTCTAACACGAGCATGGAATAAATCTCATGACATTTCATGGTGATTCAATGATGGGTAGCCCAATTTGACGCACCAAGGCATCTGTTTCCGGGAGCCAAAGTTGGCAGAGCTGGTGCCATGAGTATCGGCCACTTTGAGTGAGGAAATGTACCAAATGTCCCGAAACTTGGAGCATCCTGGAGCCCAGTTTGCGTTGCAGTTTTGTGTGAGTTTGTCATAGTTTGTCATAGTTTGTCATTCTATTGTGATGATTGTGATGGTATTCAATGATATTTGGTGGATTTAGTGTGCCCATGAGATTTGAAATTTGAACGGTATCTATAAAGTCTTCCAAGCAGTGCCATGTTCTTGTTTTTGTTGAAATGCGTTAGGCATTGGTTGTCAGAAACTTTGGTGCTCACAGCGAGTTTCGCGGTGTCACTGTGTCATCAATCGGTGGCCTTGAAGAAACCGTGGAATCGCAGAAAATGACCGCCCAGCATCGATCGACTGGGATGGATGCAAGCTGATGCAAGCGCTTAAATCATCTTAAATCTGTGACACTGTGATAGATCTGTGACTGTGACACTGCAGGGGCAATCCCTGTAGTTCGGGCGAAGCTGCACCAGGCCAGGGGTGTCGTGACGAAATATAGCTTAAATTTGGGCAGCAAACCAAGGTGCTTTGCATATCTTTGCATGTTTTTCCGTGTTTTTGCATGTCTTCAGCATCCATGCTTTTGTCTTCCAGTTTCCAATGGGTTAGTTTCACAATCGAGTTGGTCAATAAATTTTTGATGGGCAGAGACGAAGCGATTGAGCACAAGACTTAGACTTCACAGGAATTCATAAATGTGAGGCATTTCGTATTTGTGAAGTCAGGCATCCTGAAAAGGAAACGGCAGAGGCTGGGAATGGCTGGGAGATGCTGGGAGTACTGAAAATAGCTGGGAGTTGGGTTGAAGCTGCTTCAAGATGCTTCAAGCTTATCTCTGACTCGTTTGGTCACTGTGTGTCACTTCTGTAATATCACTTCTGTCCTGCACGGAACTTCACGGAACTTCACGATGCGACTTCCACTCGTATCTTGGCGTCCAGTCCAGTGGACATCTTTTCGGAGCCCTTGAACAGTGAGCTCGCTGAGCTGCCCAAGGCCAAGGCCAGGCGGCCCGAGATTTGGGTCACTCGTAGCAGGCAGTCTTGAACAGTTTTGTCATGCATTATTATGTTCTGTTGATGGTGTGTTGTATGTTGATGATATATGATGATATATAGTTGACGTCTTGTTATATTTGTTGATGTTTGGCGACCTTATATAACAAGACGGAAACAAAGCAAGCATTACGATACATTCAATGTCATGTAAATGTTTGTCATCATGACTACATCCACATGAATGGGAAAAATACAGTATCTGATTGACATTTTAGAATATACTATATGCATCTATATGCTGTACGATACGATACTATACTTTACTATACTTTACTTTACTACACTATACTATACTGCACTATACTCTACTCTCCTCTACTCTACTATACAATTCTATACTCTACTATACATTACTATACTATACTATACTATACTATACTTATCAAAAAGTATACTTACGTATACTTATTTTATACTCAAAACTTATACTTATACTTATGCCAATACCAAAACCAATACTAATACTAACACTAACACTAATACTAATACCAATACTAAAACCAATATATACTATACTCATCTACACTCATGAAGCATTATTGAAATGTCTCAAGATGTCTCAAGCACAAACTGAACAGAAGAGTCCGCTACCCTTTTGACGAGGCAAGCCCGGTACGCAAGGCTTGGTCGATTGGTCGCATGTCACGCAGTTGTTCTCAACCGATTCTTCAATTGATGGGCTACGCATTGCTACGTGATGTTCTGTGACGTTCATGTTCTTCCCACGCTCCAATTATATCCATTCGATCCTTGCACTTTGCATCTTTCAGCTGTGTTTGTCCCCGGGCCAGATCCGATCAACTGCTCCTGTGGAGGAAGGTGATTCAAAGGTTACTAGAGGACGATCCAGAGCAGGGAAACCTACCAGGTTTCGGGATGACGCCGTGCGGAAATCGATTCAAATTGGGCTGTTCTTGAAAGTTTTTGAGATGTTGTGCTGGATAAAAATTGTGTGAAAAATTGGATGTACATGGAAATGGAGCGAAAGATAGTGCCAGGTGTTCAAGAACAGATGCGTCGATTTCCATTGGCAATGCAGTTTCCATGTCCCGTGAAGGAGACGTTCCGAAGCCTCGAAGAGGATATGACGTTTGGACCGAGTCGGAAGAGCTTTGCCCTTGGAATCTAAAGCCATTCAAAGCCACTGTTCTGATTGTTCTGATCATATAAAATTGACTGGCCATTGGCAAGGTTCAGGTGTTAGAATGTAAACAATCGCTACTGTAGCTGGGGTCTGGGGCACCCAGAATGGCAAATTGTTGCGGCTGCGATTTGCAGAGATACTAGCTAAAATATGCTCAAGTGAATTGTGAAGAAGCTAGCACACCAAGCGCAGCAAAGCATCAATCAGCAGAGGCAGATATGTGGGTTTAACATGTTTACAATTGAAGTGTGAGTCTCCCACTCAGATTGGCACAGTTGCAATTTAGAACTCTGGAATTCGTGTTCGAATATGATGGAAATTTAGGAGCTTAAGACACACAGAAGATGAATTGAATTGGGAAGACTCGGCAAGACCAACCGTGCATCTTCCATGAATCCGTGGCCGCCATGTTTGCTCTTGGTCTTGCAACCTTTGTTGGCCCAACCCATCGAGAGTGTCTTAGTTGCAAGTGCCGAGGAGACTGTGCCGAAAAGTAGTTGGGAAGCAGCAACCGTTGAGAACAGTTGAGAACAGTTGAGAACAGTTGAGAACAGTTGAGAACAGTTGAGAATGGACCCCAATTCTTCTTGCAAGGCTGAGGCCCCATTGACTTGATGATGGTTTGATTATTTTGCCACAGCTGTTGCATGTGGCCACAAGTGGCCACATTTCATGCATTTTCATGCAGGTCTTTACGAGTTTTATGACATCCCGAACTGTAGCCAGCTGGGGGTATGGAATCACGAGGCGTCCACAGACAGAGTTGACCTTTGCTGAGGTGGAAACAGTGAGCAACTGCTGAAAGAACATCCCTGCGGAAGGGGCAATAGCGTTATCTGGAAACACCCTGGAATTTTGACGGCTAACCAAGTTAAGCAAGACGCGACTGACGCGACTTTGGGACGTTAAAATTCAGTATCTTCCATTGTCTTCCCATATTGAAGCCATATTGTTCGATGTTTCCAACAGAAATATCCATGCTGCAAAATCATTTGAAGGCACCAGTGCTGGCGGGCTCTCTTGGCTTCTACGGCACCTTTGGCCCTTCGGCGTGTTCCAAGGTATGCTTTTGTCGCTGACAGCTGAACATGCTGAATACACAGACAAATAAATACAGAGTATATTACAGAATCTTGACAATTTGTTTTGACAGCATTTGACCATTTCTTGACTGAGGTGATGGAGTGCCTGGACCCTTAAGTCGTTTTCGCCTGCCACGAGCGGTGGCACTTGACGAGATGCAACAGAGGTTCGAACCGGTCGAACGGGGTGAGGAATGGCCTGAGAAACCGTACATCGTGGGATATCGTGGGTCATGATAGACCTGGGATTCGGATCGCGTGGGATTCGTATCTCAGAAGCTGAGCATGGCTGAGCCGTGCTTCAATTTGAGCCACAGCCACCTCATGTGCAAATATGCAGAATGATGAATTGTGAATTATGTAGATGATAGATGGTGATAGCAGGATGCAGTCGCCATGACATGATACACTCCATGACTTCCACATACTTCCAGGACGTCTAAGAACGTTGTGGTTGAAATGTAGCAGGGTCAATGCACTTTTATGTACTTCCTTCCAGGGCGTGCCAATACACTAGGAAAGGCTGTGTCACTGCTACGTTTCCCAGATAGTGATCAGTAGACGTAGTTGGCTTCTGTTGGCTTCACGTATGGAGACTTTACAGCTATGACAGCCCGAGCCACGCAGCCGCTTCCAAGAGGCTTTATATTTCGGACGCTGCGAATCACGCAGTTCGCCTCTTGAGCCTCTCCTTCGACAACAACTTGACCACCTTGATGGGATCTCTAGGCATGGCAATGCATCAGTTTCTGAGTGAAGCCGATCGAAGCTGACGGGGACTTTCTGACTGCAACATACTGCAACCATGTTTCAAAATGTTCAGTTTTGAAGAGTCATGGCAGTCATGGTGACATCATGTGAAATCAGCTATGTTTAATCGTGTTGCCACGCAAGGCGTTCCTGGATTTGCAGATGGATTTGCTTCTGAAGCGTTGTTACGCGAACCGAATGGTTTGGCGCTCGATCAAAGTCGACAAGAGCTTTATGTAGCCGACCAAGGGAACCATGCCATACGAGTTATCGATTTGAGCTCCGGGCGCATCACTACTGTCGCTGGTGGACCAGAGGATGGAAATAGCAGTCTCAGATATCCAGCAGGCCTGAACAAAAAAATTGGAACAAGATAGTGGGACAAAAGTTTGAATATATGTTTTTGGCCGATGAACACCAGCAGGGTATGTTTCTATGAAATCCACGGAAATCATGCTTAGTACATACTCAATCATGCTCATACCCAGAATTTGTTCCAATGCTGTCCAATGCCATCGAATACCATGTCCTAACATATCTAACATGTCACCCTGCAGGATTAGCACTGGTGGAATCTCAGAGGCTTTTGTACATCTCGGGAAATCACCAGATCCAAGTGTTGGATTTAGAGTCCGGCAACTTGTCCTTGCCAGCTCCAGAGGCAAGTTTTCAAAGTCCAGCAGGTTTGGTATATAACGAAGCACTGAATTTCCTCTACGTGTCTGATTCTGGAAGTCATGCTGTCTATAGCTTGAACCTGACAGCAGAGTCTCCCATGCCGATGGTGGTGGCTGGGCGACCTGGTCACCCTGGAGGTCCTGGGGATGGTTCGACTTTTATCAGTCGAAGCTACGAGGGAAAACTGAACAGACCTGATGGCCTCGCATTGGATGCGATTGGACAACGACTTTTCATTGGTGACTCCACCAAAGCCATTCGAATTGTCGATCTCATCACTGAAAACATGACCTTGGCAGCTGTCAGAACTAGTTTTCAACATGAGTCTGGACACCTGGGGCCTATTGGTTTGGCACTGGGCAATACGACTGTGCCCGGCTTCAAAGTCGAGTCTATTTGGCACAACCCGTTGATTGGTGGACCTCCGACCTTTGGAAATTACTTCTATTTTCAATCTTCCAAGGGCTATGCCAGCAGCCACCTCAGCGACCTCAAACACCTCAGTCGAGGCTTTATGAATCTCTATGAGATATTCGGATATGCAGATCTGATCAGCTCTTTATGCAAGTTGTTTTGTTCTTCTCCATGTCATGTTAATATCTTTTGTGTCTACACATGTCTACAGTGTATGTCTACCAGCAAGTCATAGTAAGTCTCAGGTCCAAAGACTGCGACCGGCGTCTTGCGGAGCCGACACTATCGCAAGGGTGTGCTGCTCTGGGCTCGGGGCCTTGGCGATCGAATTACATCGAATTAAATGATTTCATCATATTCATCTGAAACAAAAATATCAAAAAATAACAAAAATAGATGCGTTGTATTGCGTCGCAGATTGTCCTTGGCACTTTGTGTCTATACTGTTTCAAGATGTTCCGTGATAAAGTTCTTGTGATATGGAATGGCAATCATGGTGTTGTGACGTCGCCTTGTATTGCCAATGCTTGCCTTGCAGTAGCTGTTTGTTTGGATTCTCGTGAATTGATGTACCGTTTGATCCTCTAGTGCCAAGGTCGGCTACATTCAGTTCTTTGGGGAACGGTATGGCAGCTTGCCACACACCACATCATGTGGATTCATAAGATACTAACATATACGAACTATAGATGACATAATTATCAATCTTGACGAAGAAAGTCGGGATGTCCCCGAATCCGATCGATTCATCAAGTACTCCACTGTAGCTGGAAGAGAATCATCCACTTTGACCTTGACAACAGCTCTACAAACTTCTGGTCGGGGCAATGAGTTTCCAAGACCGTTCCTTCTTTTCGCTCAGTCCCTGGTAGTAATATGTGCTATCCAATGGTCGGGCAAAACAAGAAGATGTCAGCTTTCTACTGTAATATCTCATGACAATTATGACAATCCATGATAATCCTGATGTGCCACCTATGTGAGAGACTTGCAGATCTCAGGAATTGGTCCAACACGCCAGTCCTCACCGCGATTTTGGCTGCAAATTAATTTGATACGATTTAGGAAAATTGAGCACTTTAATAACTTTAATGTTTCAGACGCCAAAAAGGGATAAAAAGGGAAACTGAGGTTTTCGTGTTTACAATTGTTTACATATTAATGGGCATATTTGGGCGGTGATACATCCGAAGCCCCGACCGTGTTTTTGTGTCATTGACTGCATATCTTGATATATCTACTGCATATCTTGTGTAGAATCCAAAAGAGCAATCATCCCAATGGGAAAGATCTGCTGTGTCGTCCGACCAAACTGAGGGAGCTGGATAATGCTGGCATCAGGTACCCACCTCCTGCAGCAATCTCAGAGAATGACATGGAGATGTTCCATGACTTTTGGAAGATTTTGGAAGATCTTCCCATTTCTTTGTGTTTACGGCTACTAGTAGACTCATTATACTCATTGTGAAACATAATTTCTCATGGTTTCAACCTGAAGTTGAACATGTTTGGATGTTTGTGTCGTCCAAAGGTCTCAGCAGAGGGTCAGTTCCAGATTGACGACATCATTTTGGTGCCTGAACTTCTAGACCCCGGCGCAACGAACTTAGCGACCATGGCCAAAATGAAGAACTCAGTCAAAAGCATCCAACAGTGAGATTCGAGATCTTCTTGGTTTCGCTCGTGCTCAAGCACTTAGATGTCCCATTTGCACATGCGACTCAGGAAGAAGCGAGGCAGATGCTGTACATGGCGGAGGTGCATCAGTGTTTCGTAATTTTCTGAATTCATATATATATATACCTTGATCTACAGAAACCTTTAAAAATAAAGGGTCAGAGTGGAAACCCGAGGTTTCCTAGGAAAACCCGAGGTTTTCCATTTCATGAGATTTCAGGGATTCGCCACCTTCAGCCACGCGCCTCAAAGCTGCTGCAGCAAGTGATTTTCCTCCCCTACGGTGCTTCATGTTACCCCCTGGATCCTTGGCATGATACTCAGGGTGGATGATGTGGCCTTGAAACTATGAGATATAGATCGTAGAGAGTTGAAAGTTGTTAAATCTTCAGAATGTTTATACTCATCTCACCCAGGACGTACCAAATACCTAGATCTGACAAACTCTCGATATGCTCTTAAAAGATATCGTTCCATTATTCTACGCAGCACGGGTGTCTGCGGGGTGACACGGCGAGCCAAGCGGCTCGGTCTTCCAATGAAGTCTTCACTTTGTTGGCATGAAAACCCCAAAGGATTAACAGCCCACGTGTTGCGCTGGTGCGCCTTCCACAAGGTCATACAAAAGTGATGTAAACTGTGAATCTTTGGCTGGTAAATAAAGAAACATCTTTGGTCATTTTTGGCCATTGTGGCCATTTGGGAATAACGCCGCAGGAATTGGAAACCCAACTCCGCCACTAGTCTACACTGACCAGCCTCCAGCCACAAACCTGAACGGTAGATGATCCTTGTGCATCTTTGAATTGCAGCACAAGCGTCAGCAGCCAGAGAAAGTAGTGGTTCGTTTGGAAATGTTTCACTGGCAAAACGTGATGCTACCCACTTCATGAGGACAGTGCTCAAGGCACCTCGGTGCAATGATCCTGTAGGATACGTACTCCTGTTTTCCCAATTGATGCTTTCCTTCGTCAAACGCATCACAAATGCTCTTTCAGAATTTTGATGGCACCACCTCCTGTACTTTTCACTGAGAGATGCGAAACGTTCATCGATTGAACCCTGTTGCTCTTGGTCCGACATCAATGCAATCACTGAACCGAGGTAGTGCTTGAGAACCCCCAAGCTCATTGTGTGAAACCAATCGAACTGAAACAAGCCTGCCTCCTCCCCTGGCACACACAAAAGTTGTGTAGTGAAAGGTGATGGTTGAGCAAAAGGATCTTGGACAAATTCCGTAGAAGCCCAAATTGGCCTGCGTGTTTCGATTTGTTCGAAAGGGCAATCAACCTGACCAGCTTGGCATAAGTGGCAGATGCCCACTGGTGCCTTGCGAACCCGAACCTTTTTCTGAATGTTGTTGAATGATCTTTCAAATCCCGCACACTTGTGAAGGAATGGCCAGTCACCAATTATCCCAACAACGATTCCCCAGTACCGAGGGTTGCAACCACTTTGAACACCAGTTTCCCACATGTAGCGGGCATCCTGTGCCACTGTTTCCATGAGGGTTTTCCATGTCCCAGACTGTAAATCTGCGTAGTCTCGTTTTCGTAGGGTGCAAATGAGGAACCTGGTTGAAAATGTGTGACCAAGGAAATTGCATTCCATCTTTGCCCATGTCTTTTTTTGTACATTCTTTCTATCTTTGCCAAATCCAAAGCCCAACAAACTGTGGAATGACAGCACAAAGTGTGCCGCATGCCGTCTGCCCCGACCCTCATCTCCGTGTATAACTAGTGGCACTGCTCGGGACAAAGACAAAGTTCCTGACCTTGCTGCTTGAAAAACTTGATGTTGTGGGTGGACTGATTCAAACCGGCCCCAGAAGGCCTTGAGGATTGATTCCTCTCTAGCCACATGTGGTCTCTGCAAACCATGTAGGATGTGCATGCAAGAGTTGGCCGCAAAGAACTGAAACCAAGCTTTCATTGTAAGCATAGGAACATGGGGGTGCCCATCAAGCTCAGACTTCTCTATCTTCAAAGTCAGGTCGAACTTCTTTGCTAGGACTTGCTGAACATCCCGCTCTGGTTGTTGTTCATTACAGTGTGCAATTTCTACAAGTCCTCCCGATTTTTGTGCAACTTGTTCACCAACATCAGCCACAAAGTCACGGGCCGCTGAAATGCACGAGGTACATGAGGCCTAGGGCGGCAAGCAAAACCACAACCAACCCCGACCAAAAGATTCAAGATCTAACAACGTTTTGCAAATGCAGGTCTTTGTGACATGTTACAGTTGCGCGCAGCACCTTTGATCTTTGCAACGCGCACCAATGCTAGTTGAGAAAGTTTCACGTGTTCAGTACACGCGCAACATCTAATGCGTTGAATTAACTGAGAATTTAAACACATGTGGCCCTCAACCGTACTGGCTGTGACGGCTTGACTGGTGGAGGGTGCTTGAAAGATTTGTACACAACGTATGTGCTGCACTTGTTGGTATCTAAGGAGATGGATGGTGGCACCATGACGCTGTCGCCTCCAGCTCTGATGTTCTTGCAACCTGGCTTACCTGAGAGACAGGTTGCTTGGGACGGGAAGGTCATAACGTGAAGTCAAAAAAATAATGCTCCACTTGATCAATATGAAATCAAACAATCCCCATTGTGAGATTTTTGATCCTTGTTGGTTCAAAATCATTCAAAAAGTTTCTCAAGCTTGACACTGTACTTCGGAAGATCTCGATAAGGGAAGCCTCTAGCATGGCAGGTCCAAAAGGTTCTGTGGACTCGTAGAGGATTAACATGTTCGACCACTTGTGGAAAGTATCATGCTGGTAGCCATAAGTCTTGTTTGACCATCGCCACATGGCATCATGTGTATAGCCGATTTTGAAAACCATCGGTTGCTCTCGTTGGATCAGCCCTGATATCACAGACTTTGCATGTTGGAGAACTTTACCTGCAGTAGCACCAGAAGGTGGCACCTTGTAATGCAGAAACTCTAAGGCATCGCAAAAGCCACCAAAACCAACTTTGGGCGTAGATGGCTTCAATCCCTGTGACGCAGTTGATTTTTCTACACATGACTCAAGCTGTCGTAAGTCGACATCAGTCCGTCCCCGAGCCAGTACAATACTAGAGGTTTTGGAAACCCCAGCTCTGTCAGAAACACTGCCGGTCTCCGCATTCTCAGGCTCGTTTGGATTTGGAGATTCAAGCACGACCCTTGGCCATGGAAAGGGTCTCAATGCATCCTGGGATGAAGAATGATCCGGTGGGTAAACAGACAAGGAAAATTGAAGTTGTAGAAGGATAGGGGATAAATTCAGAATATATTTCCCATAGTATATATCAACCTTTATCCCAGTAGTATATACCACAACATACCACCACTTTTAAACAATATATTTGCATATATTTGCCACCAGATGGGTGAAGACAAGATTCAGAACGGTGACATGTCAGCAAATCCCAAAGCTCTGCGTAGGGGCTCTCATCGCCATCATCATTCATGATATCATTGATATCATGTCGGGCTAGGTGACTGCGGCTGGCATTGGTAGTTTGAACATAAAGTGGACAAGTTCCAAACATATCGTCTCATGTCATGGCGTGCTAGCACTCAGACCGTACATTCAATGAGCATGACTGCAACCAGTGCCGGCCAGAGTTTTCGAGCACCGGACACCGTCTCCAATCCTTTCAGCAAATCCTTTGAGCACGTTGCCAGCTCTAGGACCTGGCTGGTGCAAATAATGGTTGGTGTGTAAAGGTAATCTATATGGATGGAAAGCCAAGATTGAAGGATTGAAGCTAACCCCAGATCGAAGCGACCTTCCATACAAGGATCGGAATCACACAATTGTTTTGTCACGCTCTTCAGATGTCAATGCCCCACAAGATTGGAAGTTGATCTATGTCAACTATGTGCAGCTAGATGCCGCGAATTGGTACCCAAAAGGCATCATGCGTGTCCAGGTGCTTCCTGAAAAGACAAATTGCTAAATACTTAATTCTTTTATTCTGCATGCTTGCATCAGTGCAATGGCAGTGTAATGTCACATTGACGCCTTGGAAGCAACACGCTGCCTGCGAAGTTTTCAAAGTAGAAACAAAGTTCCCTCCAAATTTAACATGACTCTTACTTGCGAGTCTTGCGAGACTTGGAAGGAGGTTCAGCGGCAGCATCAGTGTCTCGGGGTTTGCGCTTCTCCTTGTTGTCCTTGTCCTTCTTCTTGTCCTTGTTCTTCTTTTCCTTCTTAGGCTTGTCACCATCGGGTGTGTCCACAGCAGTCTTTTCGAAGAACTTCTTTAAGCTCCTGGGACAAGGCTGATTTCAGGCAAAGGTCATGAAACTTTTTTTTTCCACAAGATTGTCCAACCAAGGTTTGCTAGCAATCAAACACTGGAGCTAAACATGTTTCCAGAGATATCCAACCATGTTTATCAAGGATTGGCTGCTGTGTGCATGCATGTATTGAAAAAGCTTGTGTCCACCCCAAGGTAGCTTCGCTCCTCGTTTTCACTTCTGCAGCCACTGCTTTCGAGCACCTTGTGATCGAGCTGAGAAGGTTGAAGCTTGGATGATCAATCAACATGTTGGGATATGTTGGGATGGTATTGGGGACAAACATGTGAATAAGTTGAATGGTAAATGCGGAGATCACCAATGAATGGCATGAACCCACATGCTCTCCTCTTGAAGTCCCTGGGGCACCACACGCCAGTGTCGCAGTCTTCATTTTTCCCTCAGCTTCCTTGTAGAACCTGGGAGCGGAAGGGTCCTTAAAAGATTTCATGTTTTTATCATGAAGCAGAAGTATAATTCCTGTTCTTTTGAGATCACGCATCAAATTTCACTGCATTCTCAGGGGATACCGTGCTGTCACCAAAGCAAAGTAAATAATTGAATTTCGATGATTTAATCCCCACGCTTGGTTTGTTTTGATTGTTTGCCAGTACTACTTGTCACATATGTTGGTGGACTAGGAACTGCTCAGTGAAGAATCCATTGGCTTCTCCTCTGCTCCAAACTTCTTGGCATGAATCAAACTCGGTGTCCAAGACCGAGACTTCCTTCTTCAAAGTCTCAACAGACCTAGGCACAATGGCGATACCCTGTCATTGGGGCTATGTTCTTCTACTGTTTCAAGTTGCACCCAATGTTTAATGTCACTTGGCTGCACAATGAAACCTAGGGGATATGCTTCTTTGCACCATCGTCATCAGGATAGTTTTTCTTCAGGTCTTTGATCAGCGAACGCAGCTTTCCAACTTTCTGCATGACACTGTCCATAAACTTCTTGAAGCGATCTTTTGTCTATCAGGGCCAAAGATTGTTTGGATGCGACATCACTCCAAAAATGGTGGCAGATAGAGCAATTCCGGTTTATATATACATATATTGACATATATATGTATATGCTTATACTTGTGGTGCGTGAATCGATATATCTTAAACTGTTATGTGACCGGTCCTGCCCAAACTTGCTCTCAGCGTTGACGCCAAGGTGGGCCGCTTTGTCCTTCTCAGCAGTCTCCCGGCTGGAACTGGCCTCGATGCTCTTGAATTTCTCTCCCAGCTCGAACTTGGGGTCAACTGTTGCCTCCAGACAGAGACATGGATGGTGAACATCACTAAAGTAAAATGACGAAAACATGATGTTGCCAGAAAGAGTTTCAGATATTCTTGGGTTCATGGAGCCAGCTAAGATTATATATTTTCTGGCCTGGGTTCGCTTTTCTTGCAGTTCTTCATAGCTGTGAGACTCTTGTCTCTTCCCAGTCTCCTTCACGGTGATCCAAAACTCTTCAACGCCGTCGTAAATGTTGTGCCTCTGTTGAAAATCTTGCCATGCAGTTGTCTTGGGTTTACTGGCTTCAGAATATTCTATGCAACTGTATTCATATATATATATATAAATATCATGAAGATTTCCATTTTTTCCATACATCAAGAAGGTATGACCAGGATAAGACTGAGAGTGCAGAATCATATGAAGCATCAAGTGCAACTATGTCCAGCCTGTAGAAGCCTTCGCCCAGGCTCTTGCAGCGAGCAACTGCTCCTTCGATCCTTTGCCTGTGAGGTCGCTGGATGTGTTGATTTAACATGCTAATCTGGTGACCCAACATGGCCAACCACCATGCATGCAGTTAGATACACCATCTTTGTGTTGTTCACTCCAAAAATGTTATTGAGGTATGACTTGCGACATCTTATAGATCGATTATGTGGGTTCTTGAATCTGAAAAGTGTTCCAACCTTTTGTGGCAGTAGAATTTGAACAGCGACAATAGTACAACTTCTAAATCTTCACCAGGCTGAGGGCAGAACTTGGACCACTTCAAATCTTCACGCATTTCCTCTTGGCTGTACCAGCCCTCCTCCTTTGTTACTTCCACCAGCTGTTTTTTGGAGACCAAAACCCTGAGCTCGTTCAGGAAAGTGTCCTGGCGCTCAGTAAAATTATATGTCATAGAATTGTCTTGAGTAAGTAGGATTTGGTCGAAGTAGTGCCAAACAAGTTTGCAACATCCACCAACACCCCCAAAAAAACAATCCTCCTGAAAGTTGTTCTTGCACAGGAGATCTGCTATGGCATTGCGACTTCCCTTGGCCCACTCAGTTCTGAGAATCTCGGGCGCATTTCGGTCCAGTCTTCGGGTCTTTGGTTTGACCCATCGATTCAACTTAGCTTTGGCAGCATTTCGAAGTCGCATCTGCCAGGGCACCACAACTAAATTCATGAAGATAGTGCAAACATTGTACTGCATGATATATCGATAGTAAACATCATGACAAAAGATGCCAGTTGTAGTTTCTTTTTTTCTACTATACTGATTGCTTGTTGATGGAAAGACTTCACTGGCCTTCCGGGTGAGCTTGTCTTGAAGATCATCAGGTTCCTTCTCAGCGCCAGCAATCTCAGGATCGGTTGGTGTGGGGCTGGCATCACCTGGTTGTGGAGACTTGGCCTGAATCTCCACATCACTTGGTGATGCAGTGGGGACGACCACCTCTGTGGGCGGGGGAGTAGCAGCAGGTTCAGAAGGAGTCCCAACTGTAACTGCTCCAACCATAGGACATTTCACTTCCGTTCTAGCTGGTGTAGCAACTGGCGGCTGGGCAACCGGAGCAGCCGGCTCTGGAATGCCCTGCGGGATACATGCACAAGGATTATTTCACTTGAAGATTTCAACTGATGTTCTTGAAATACGGTTGAACGGTCAAACATATACAAACTCAATTTAATGAAATTGGTTTCGGTTGTATGACATTATGTCCTCCATATGTTGTCCAAACACGACGTACCTCCTTGGCAAGAGAAGTAGCAATCTCCTCTGCAGAAGCCTCATGATTGCCGATGTCCAAAAATTGGAGTTTAATGAATGATCAAATCCTGCTTACAGGTCATATATTATCATAGGCTCGATATTTGTCATCCCCAGACCAACCAGATTGCCCTGAGGATGTCACTGGCACAGTCTCTGGCTCTTCCGAAGCCTAGATGATTGGCTTCTCGGCGAGAAGAAGGGGATGGATTATATGCTGAGTGTCGAACGGTAGAGGAAACTTCTTTGTCCCCATATTCCATCTCCAGGTGCTCAAGTTTGTACTCGACATCCTGGCCCCCACATGAACAATTAAAAAAAATCAAACGACCGAACATGTCAAGATTCACTTAGAAGTTTGATGGATACGGAAGACATTGGCAATTATAAAGTTTGTCCTGAAGCATTTGCTGCAACTGTTGCTCTTCAGCTGCCATATTCAAAAACGAAACACCGTCTTGCAAGGTAGCACAGCTGGATCCCAAGGTCTCGTATGACCCAGCCATAGTGGTAGCTACTCAGCCGGCTGCACTTGAACCTTCCCTGAAACGAGCATAGGGCTAAGAAGCATTGGCACATGATGCAATGATCCGAAAATTGGTTTGCATTCACATGCACCGCACTGACAATATGTTGTGAAACAAATCCTTCAAATGCTTTGCGATTTCCACATGCAGAAAACAATAAACACGCAGACACTGCATTGTTTACTCAAGATTCTGCATAAATTTGTCTTCAATTCGCCTTTGGACTAGTATCAGTCCCATGAATTGCTATCTAGCGGGTAAACCAGCCACTGTTCGAATTGGTCCGAAGCTGCAAAAATGAGGTGACCAAAGGGGTATCCCAACCCATTAAAATTTAATGGGTTGATACGGGTAAAAAATGGGTTGGATACTACTTCAGTACGGGTTTGGAAAACCCGGGGTTTTGTCCGAAACCCGAGGTTTTACATTGAGAAATATGGGTTGATACGGGAAAAAAATGGGTTGGATACTAGTTCAATACGGGTTTGGCTGCCAACCCTTTATTTTTTTCCGAAATACCCGAAAAAGTACGATCAAGTGTAAATAAAACACGATTCGAAAATTTGGATTTGAGATTTTTCCATATTTTCTATGATTTGTTTCGGATCTAGAAATATTTTTTCGACAGATCATCCCTCGGACACCTCATGCATATGGGTCGGCACAAATGCCTGCCATTCTACTGGGATACGTAACTTCTTGTTACGCCTCAAGTAGTTGAACACCGGGGCTAAGTGGGCATGTCTCCAAACGCTGGTGTCAGCACATTTCAATTCCTCAAAAGAACTTAGTGCTGACGGCACTGGATTGGGAAGCTGAGGCTGCCCTTTGGAAGTTCTTTTCAAATCTTCCAGCATGTCTGCAAACACCCGGGCGAAAGGCACCGGGTAGATCCTGGGCTCGATGAGATGGAAAGCGCATCAGATAATTGTTAGATAACCTTGCCAAATTTTGGGGTGGAATTAACTGAGGCCACATATGTTATATACAGTTTGGTGATAGTATATCATAGCCGGCTATAATGCAACTTGGCCCACTTATGTTTTGCAGGTCACCTAGTCACGACTGTGAATACATGATTCCGAAACCTACCGACTACTGAAACAATGTGGTTTAAATGAGCTACAGAAAGGTTAGACCAAAACAAATCCATATACACAGACTCACAAAAGAAACTGGTACAAGTCCAGGGTCTCCGTTGAGCGTAGTTGTTTTGTGCCTTTATACCGTTTCTTGCCACTAGCATCTGTGTAACGCACTGCAGTCACAACCTTTTGGTCCTTGTTTTTTTTCCATCCCTGAAGCACTCCTTTGTCAAGACGATGAATGTAGTGGGAATTGGAATATGCATAGTGTCTCTTCGGAGTTGATGATTGATAGTGTGCCATCCACCACTTTACGCAGTGCACCTCATTTTTGGAACTGCTGGACAAAAGAAAACAACTACGAGTGAACCCTCGACTTGATCACAATATTTCAGTATTTTGAACATGTTCTACACCCATGTGAAAGTGTTTGGGACCCCCGCTGCATGTGGACCACCACATGTGAAAATGTTCTGCATGGTCTCTCTGAAGGCTGGATAAAACTCCGCCAACGATCCGCTGGGCTGCTCCAGGCTCCACACCGCTCCGAGACATGTTGCCAAGGAGATGAGTAAACAGCTCCTGGGGGAGTTTGCAGTGTCGATGATTAGTATTTTAAATATATAAAATGAATGTCCAAAATATATACAAACAGAACTGGATCAGAATGCTTGATCACCATACATTTTATCAACACTAAAGCACTGATCAGGGCAGGTAAAAGCATAAGTGCATGTTGGATCGCCAAACCCATCCTCTCAAGTAGTTGGTTCCCCATCAACACTGAGCAAAAGCTTTCAAACCCAAGCGATGCGCATGCGGCACGAGAAGAGGTCCCAACGTTCATCTTGCTAAATGATGCACACTTTAGGCCAAGGTGGATCCCAAAGTCATCTGGCAACCCTCTCAACACCCATAGGATTGCCAACCTTAGTTTATGGACGGGGTTGGACTTGTGAAATCCGAAGATCTTTGATCAAATCATTTCAACAGCATGACGTGTTCTTTAGATTCTTTATGTGAAATACTAAATTGAAGACTGGATTAATTCGAAACCAACCAAGAGACGCAAATCCCGAACTATGTGTCAAGTCCATGAAGTTGGATCTCCGGTGGGACTGCTGTTGGTGATCCAACAGATCGAATCGGGCAGCCTTGTACTGAGATGCAGCAATCACACGTGTCAGATTCCCCTGACCTGCGAAGAACTCCAGCCATTCGTAGTCCTAGCCACGGATTTGGTTTGAGATTTTCATCAACTGTTATGTCACAACACGGCACTGTTTTGATTTTTTCACATAGAACTCCGGTTCCCCCCCGCCTGTACGATGTCAAATGACCAAATGATCAGCAACACGACCAGGACAAACTCCTGAAGCATTTGACACAAGACCAGGGATGGGTACAGTAATCTAAATCACACCATCAGGATCCAAAGTCAAGGGAATAGGGAAAATAATTGCCAGCTTAAAAAATGACTTCACAGAACATATCATCTGTTTGTGACAGGTGTGGAACAGCTCCTTTGGAACGGACAGGCTTCGAAGGCGCCACAGCAAATGGTCGATGTTCAGCATGGCTGTAATGACAGTGTAGGGTCAACCAAATGTTCGGAAGGGCAATGAATGATGATGAATCATCTATTGTATCGACAAACTGAGTTGGGTATTATTTGCGATGAGTTGAGGATCAAAGTCATTCTAGGATTCTATATCATGCATTCCTCTCAGTTTTAGAATTCACACTCAACATGGGTACAGCTACTAATAGCGAGAGTCGAGTGGATGGCTGCACATGCGCAACAAGTTCCCCACCGCGCCCACACTGCAAACTAACTATTGCAAAGTATAGAGGTCATTCCAAGATGGTGATTCTGAATCTTATATTTCCTGTGGAAACATGTCCCGCTGACGTTTCTTCTTCAGCATTTGCACCCGGGATTGCCACAGGCTGTTGCGCTTTTGGAGTGTTCGCCATTGGCCTGGCCTCAGCAGGACCGAAGGGTCGTCAAAGGGACCAGTTGATCAAAATGGTGATGTCAAGCATCTCGGGATTTGAAGGTTGAAGAAGAAGCTATTTCTTGACCATTGCCAATGATTGAGACAAATTATGAGTTAGTGTGTGGGGTATAGGCATCGGCTAATTCAGAGATACATTCAGCGTTCCTTTTTCCTTTTCCGGTTCAACTCTCAATGTTCGCTAATGTTCGCTATGCCAGTGCCGCTGCTGAGCTGGCATCAGAGCATGCTGGGCTCAGCTGTCTTGATATAGGTCCATAAATTCCAGATGCCGGTTCAACCAAAAGTTTACACATGTAATCCAAATTCATTGTGGTTTTTCAGATCCCATAAAGCTGTTCCATCCTACAGCATCCCAGTGCGTAGCCAAACATGATTGGAGCGTCTAGTCAAAAGCTGACGCACACTGGTTTGTGCCATCCGGCCTCCCAAGTCTCCCAAGATCACTTAATTTGGAACGATATATATATGCGCAAACAAGAAAACAGCACTAGAAACATTATCATTATATATTATACAGTGTATGACTTAGAATCTTGATAAACAATAATCTCATGTTTGTTCTTTTTTTTAAGTTTGTCACTTGTCACCCTATGGGAAGCGAGTGCCACCTGCAACAACACACATGTTTTGTGTGCCCACCCAACGACAAGATGGTTGCACCTTGCATGCCCTTTGCACACAATCTACGGTGTTGCAACCTATGTGACACATGAATACCCCAAACATGGAACTTCACCTGGTGTGCGAGCGTGTTTGCTCCATCTCTGACATAAAATTCAAAGAGACTCTTGAAACCGAATCAAAGCGTCAGTGTGGATGTACTTGAGCTGAGTTGACATGTTGATCACCGCCGGGTTCCCTTTGATCGTCCCATCCCCTCCATTGTTCGGCCGCTCCTTCACCTCGTCGATGAAGCGTGCCTGAGATAAGCAGGGATCACATATATCAGATAATTTTTACCTTTGTAGCAGTAAGGGAATTTATCAAAACAAGCTTTGAGATACTGTCAAACTAACAAGAGACACATATATATATATATACAAAGAACATATCTATGGGTTTGAAGAAGAATTTCTTTCAAGAAAAACTATGGGCAAGACAAGATTAGTGCCTGCAAGTTGCAAGCATTTCTGCTGCTTTAAATGCTGCTGCCATTCTGATAAGCCGTGGGCCGTCCGTGGTTGGACTGCTAAAGTAGCCCACATCAGTCTTTTCTGCCCGGCATGTCACGCCAATTGCTGCCCTGCTCCAGTACACATTCATGCGACACGCGCTGAATGCTGCCAACCTAGATCTAAGCACTTCATACTTGTTGTCCCCTGTGACATCTTTGACCAGCTCGATAAAGTTCAGAATCTCTTGCACCCTTCCCTCCCATGTTGCATGCAACACCTTGGACGGCTCAGGTCTGTCGGTGCTGGACCCTGCTCCTGTTTCTGGGTTGTAGTTGACATGGGTTTCCCTTCTCCTTTTCGGTTTTGCTGCCTTCTCTTCTGGCTGTTCGACCTGATCCTTCTGCTTTCGCTTTGTGCTGTGGCTTCTGGTTTTGCCCTCTGGTTCATGCTTTTCCTTGTCCTCCGAATCATGGGTTGCCGCTTGCTTTGTTGTATTCTTTGGGGTTTTCTTCTTTTCTGCGACCTCACCATCCTCAATCTCCATAGGGGTTTTTCCTTTCTTTGCCTTGGGTTTCAAATCTGCTGTGTCATACTCATTCTCCTTCGTTTCCTTTCGCTTGCTGGCTGAGTTGGTAGTCTTTGCTGTTTGTCTCCTGGGTTTTGCTTGGGAGGATCCTGATGGCTGTTGGGATTTGCTCAAGGCATAGGCGCTGCTCCTCTGATCCCAGTACGCTGTGCTGTCCCATGCCCAGGCCTCTTTGTCTTTTTGCTCATCAAAAGTTTGACTCCATGCCCCATCCGTGCCCCAAGCAGCCCACTCATCTAGGGTGTACCCAAACCAGATCTCCTTTCCTATGTTGCATTTCATCTTTTTTTCCTTGGGGTCTCGTTCCTTTGTGTCACCCTTGCTATTTTTTGGCTTGGTTGCTTTGGGTTTTGCTTCCTTTTCAGAACCATCATCTACACCTTTGCTAGCACCCCGCCCACCTCTTCCACGACCTTTGCCCCGACCTTTGCCCCGACCTCTGCCACGAGTGGGTGGTGCCCCCTCCTCTTTGCCATCTTGCTCATCCTTTTCCTTTCTTTTCTGCTTCATCATCAGCTGATCCAATCTCGTTGTGCTCGCCTGCTTTGGTCCCACCTGCCAATACAACCCCAGAGCAGGCTGGAATGTGCCAAATCTGATTCTTGTACTGTGAAAGGTTTGACAAGAGAACCATTTTTGCGACACAGTGTGAATCCCCCATACAGCAAAATATTTGTTGCCACACTGATAGGACATATTTTTAATATTTTTTAATCATTATATCAATGGTCGTAACAAAGGATAAGATGTGGTAAGGTGTCCCCTCCTCAACATCGCTTGATGTGAACTCCTCAGCTTCCTTGATGCATTCTTGAGGCTGCCTCTTGCCTTCCTGGTTCTCAGGTGTTGTGTCATCGGTCCTACGTTGCTTTGGCTGGCCGCCCTTGGTGTGGTACACTTCTCGTTTTTGCTCTGCTGAATGGTCTGGTGAAGTGAGATTTTCCTTCACCTCTGGTGTCTTTGTATGCATTACATCCACTGGCTGTGTCTCAGCTTGGTCAATGTCCACTGGCTTTCTTTTTTTTGCTTTGTCTCCTACAGATGGAACCACATCATAGTTTCAGAGACCCCAATATTCTATCGATATATACATGTACACCCTATACATGCACATGCCATCCATGGTATCCATGCGTAAAGTTCCGAAACATCCCACACAACCCTGTTTGTCTCCTCCACTCCCTTTAGATTCTGAGCTCTGCGTAGTCCCATCAGACAAATTCGCAGAAGACTTGGCGCTTCGAAGCCTCAATTTGTCAGCGATTTACCAAATTCAGATTGATCTATGTAAGTTCTTGGTTGTTCTTGGTATTGATTGTTCGCAAAAAAAAGATCCCCTATATATGATCTTGTAGCCATCCCTCAACATCCAATTGTGCTGTCTAGAGGCTTGGCAAGTCGTGCAAGAATTTCTTCTCGCTGTTTCTGCAACGCTGTCACATTACCTTAGAGCCAATATGCGATTTCTTGAAAATATGTGCAATCCTTTCCCCCACTGCGACAATATAAGAATTTAAGCTGCGCTACTGATACAGTTGGATTCTTTCACAATCTAAACCTGCAATGTGTTGGGTCAAAAAA